CTAACTAACCCTAACTAACTAACCCTAACTAACCCTAACCCTAACTAACCCTAACCCTAAACCCTAACTAACCCTAACCCTAACTAACCCTAACTAACCCTAACTAACCCTAACTAACCCTAACTAACCCTAACTAACCCTAACTAACCCTAACTAACCCTAACCCTAAACCCTAACCCTAACCCTAACCCTAACTAACCCTAACTAACCCTAACTAACCCTAACTAAGCTGAAAAAGGGTGCCGGGGCATCGCTCGCCGACCTCGTCACCGGTACGGCCAACACATCATGTGCCAACGTGCCCTTTGCGTGGCCGGTCTCTGTCATCGGTATAGAGAACGAAGGCTGCAAATTGCATGTCAACAGGTTTCCGGGGGTCACGTGTGCGTATCTAGACAGCACCACTCTCGGTGTCGTGGCCGACTACGACGAGGGCAAGCCCTTTGTGAACATGACCACAACCACCTTCGGTTGTGCGCCGACAATCGATGCCGCCGCCGTCACCACCGTGATGTCTGGGATCTGGAACGCGTCTTGTACCCACTCGGGCAACATCTCCTGCCCTGCAAATATCCCTGGAGCACCGCACAGCAACCTGGCAACCGTCTCCACGCCGAGCTTGGCGGCAGCAATGGCCGTCGTCTTGGGGGCTATGGCGGGTGCGATGCTCCATTGAGCAGCGTGCTGTAGCACCACTGCTGTATTTGTAATGAAGCGTACTACGTCGCCCTCCTGGGCCTACTGCTCAGCAGCCATGTTCCGCTGCTCCCTGACGGCCACGTGCGAGATCTTGCCGCGCTCTTTCCATTTTGTTTCCGTGTCATCCACGGCCGCCGACCACGTTGGTGGCGACCCTCCCCGCCTGTTCCAGTTGCTGCTGCTGCTCAATGGCCTCAGCCTTCATCGTGGCAATTGTCGCGTTGGCGGCGTTGATTTTCTCGAGGAACTTGTCGCGGGCCGTGCGCTTTCCTGATCCGGTGCAGCATCAAGTCGCCGAGGCCGAACATGCCGTCGAGGCTCTGCGTTGTCCGCGACAGTGGCAGCACCAGCTGGATGGCTCTTGTCGACAAACATATGGTGCAGTGCCGCGTCATCCGATGCCCCGGCCAACACGCCGCTCGCTTCCACAAACTCGTCAATGGCCAGCCCCGTCCTCGCAAGAATTGTGTCAATATCCTTGCGCGCGAGCACTACCAGCGCCGTGACGCCGTAGTAGTTGGCAATGGCGTTGGTCCAGATGTGCCGCGCCGCAGCAGCGGATTAGCGTCGACGGCCGGTTTTTTGTCGCCTTCGTCTGCGGCTGCGTCTGCGGCAGCGTGTGCGACACCGTCGACGGGCCCGCCTGCGACCGCCTTGCCGTCGACGTCCTCTGTGTCCTCGGCAGGCAACTCACTGTACAGCGGGCTCTCCTCGCCATACAAGAAGCTCAGCGTACGCCTCACCACCGCCGCGCCAAACTCCTCGACCTTGTCCGCATGGTTCCGCGCTTCCTCAAAGTGGCCGCCGAGAGGAAGAAAAGGTAAGAATTAATCTTTATTATAATGCACAACTACCTTCGCTCTCGAAGTTTCTACTACTACCTGACGACTATTATTATGAAGACATATCCAACTATAATTATAATGGTTAAATTTTAGGGTGTAACTTACATTGGTTTTATAATTTTTATTAATAGTGTTAACCTTCGTATTCTTGCTTGATTTTATGTTCTTTTAGTGTAGAGGAGCGGCTTAAAAAAGTCATATTTTAGCTATTAAGGAGGTAAAGTAAAGAGACTCTTCGAATAAAAGGTTTTATTAATTATAGTTATTTCACCGATGATGATCAGATAACTGTAGTATATTAACCGAGACTATTTCATCGGCATCCTTTGTTTGAAAAAGACAAAAGGTTTCGGTCGACTCTTCCCCTTCGGTAGAGGCGGTAAGCATAGCTATGACCATAGGTTGATTTGTATCCCGTGGATTGCATGCTACAACTTGAAACATGGGCATTGTTTTGTTTCCATACCGTATAGCCAGCATGTAAAAGATGTAACCTCTCTTCTCCAGCTGCATCTCTTTCGTGAATAAGAAGGTCGTCTCCTGCACTAGTAATATCAAGTATCCAACAATCGTTACCAGCGTCGGGGCCATTATACACCATACTGTATGTCTCGTCTCGGTCTTGGTCTTCCTCTTGTTGTCGAGGATCGTTTCCTACACGGTAAATGGCCGGTTTTGATCGTATGCTATTGCCGTTAACATTGCTGCCTTCCTTGGAGTGGAAATAAAGCTCCTTCCTGGCCCAAGCAATGTGGCTGATGGAAAAGGGAAATTTTCGTGTATGCATTCTGTGTCTTGCTTACGGCGACCGTGTGAGGATGACGGTCCCCGCCGATCCACAGCTGACAACTCCCCGCCGGTAATGTAGACTCAGTAGAGTCAGATACTGGATATTCGACCAGCATCGCCACCCGTCCATTATCTGGAGTGTAGCAAGGGGCATCTTCTTTACACATCCCTGACAGTAGATGGCAGTTTCGCTATATCGTTGTGGACGCAACTCGTGGGGTTACCTGGCGTGCTGAATGTCCCTCACCAACGTTCGCGACCCAAATGTTGGAGGCGTATCGCGGTTGGGGTTGGTCATGCGCATCGTCATCTGGCGTGCTTATACGAGTCCTGAGATGGTAGGCTACTTTGTTGCCGTGAGGTGACATGACAAGGCCACCGAGCAAAGGGTGAGGACTTTGGAGGCAGGACATTGGTTTTTCTTTTTTGTTTTGGTTGTAGACAAAGGAAGATTTGTTTTACTTTCAACGTTGTGATAAGATTGCAGCGCTGCTAAAAATGAAAAGGCTAGTTGAATAGGAAGTAGGTTGACAAGAAACGCGTTATCTCGCCGTCAATTGCCTCAATAACATTCAAATGTCAGTGCTTACACCGGTGAAGAGGGGTTGGGCATGGTTTCTGCAGGTCTGAGGCACAGTAGTTGGCCTAATGACCTCCCAGTGTACTGTTTAATGTGCCTGTTGGGTGTTGGTTGTGCCGCACTGCAGGTAAGTGGCGTGGCTGGAACAAATATATTTTATTAACCGATATATCTGTGGGGGGCAAGGGATCAATGTTCTTACGCTACGATGCTATATCTATGCAACAGTATGTTGATTGGTTTGGGTTTATGGCTTACGACCTTCATGGTGTGTGCATATAATCGTATACCCGTTCTCGAAATTGTATCTTAAATATTAACATCTTAAAGAGGCTTCGGACAGTAAGGACAACAAAGTGCTTGGTCACAGACGCCAACGAAAAAAGCGGGGAAGAGGCTGTTCGTTTGAGAATGCCAACGGCCGCTTTTTTACTTTTTGGATTAGCTTATTGCGGTCGTCCATTCTAGCCTTCCGGCCTGCCAACCTCAGCCAGCCACAGGTGCAGGTGGCGTTCAATACTCACAAAAGCGTCAGGCCTTATTTGAAATAGCGCTTTGAGCTCTAGCGTCGTGTTGCATTCATTGGCGTAGGCCGGCAGGTCTGGCAAAGCACCATATGCTTGTTTTCGGAGTCGTTTTCAGCCGCGTATTGAATATGTGCGTTTCAGAAGCTTAACCTCTTTGGGTGTATTCGACCGACGTGTCTGTTCAATGTCGATGTCAAACGCTTTCATACAAAAGGTGGTTCTATGCGTCTTTCTTCAACAACGCAGAACAATACTCCGTCTATTCATTTCTCAGTCGACTCTCCTTAGTTGTTGGTATACAAAATGTCAGAAACAACAGTATTCGACGTCATCGTCATTGGAGCTGGCCTCTACGGCATCCAATCTGCAAGGACATATCTTGAAATCCACCCACATGACAATCTAGCAATATTGGAAGCGGGCAAATGTTTGGGTGGGGCTTGGAGCAGAGGTAAAGGCCATTCCTGTGAACTCTGGTATACCATACTCTGCCAAATATCCTGGTTTTGACTGACAGCCTACAGACCGTGTATACGAGTATTTGCGAACACAGGATTCTGTGTCTGTTGCCGAGTTCTCCGATGCGCCACTTGAGCTCGAGCCCAAAGATAACTTTTTCGGCCTCTTTCCAGCCACGCGTATGACACAGTACCTGGAGGATTATGCACGATGCCACGAATATGCCGGCTCGACTCTAGAAGACCGTATCGTTTTCGACGCTCGTGTGAAGACGGTGAAGAAGACAGAAGAGCATCTTTGGCACGTCGAATTGGAAGGTGGCGGTGGTTGGGCAAAATTTCTTCGTGCCAGAAAAATCATTGATGCGTCTGGCATTACCACGGAGCCAGAACTTCCCAACATTGCAAACCTATCATTATTCAATGGCACCCAGACACACATGAAAAACCTCGCCTCATCGGACATCTTCACCAACACGACCTGTAACCGCGTTGTGGTGATTGGTGGTGCCAAGTCCGCCGCGGATGCGTGCTATTCTGCTGCGCGGGCCGGAAAGACGGTGTACTGGATCATCCGCAAGTCGGGAAACGGTCCCTGTTTCTTTGCACCGGCCCACGCATCGCCGCCATTTAAAGCACCCGACGAGCCTCTCCTGACCCGAATTCTGTTCTACATCTTGTCTTCCCACTTTGTCGATGACACATTTTTTGTGCGCCTCCTGAACCGGACAGCAATCGGGCGCAGCGTCATCCGTTTCTTATGGCGGTTAATCGAAAGGGACTGCCGTAAGGCAGCGAACTATGGCCGGCCCGACCCCAAAGGGAACGGCTTCAAGCATCTGGAGCCAGATACGCCCCTCTTCTGGGCTAATGACAACACTGGTGTCGAGCAGCGCGACGACTTTTTCGACGTCATTGCCGAAAATGTCAAGATCTTCCGAGAGGATATTGCGCATATGGAAGCCGATGCTGTGGTCCTCGCTGATGGGACCCGTATTGCCGCTGACGCGCTCATTTACGGAACAGGATGGAAACAAACTCTCGGTCACTATGATCCGCAGACATCATTGTCACTCGGACTCCCTGTCCCCTTAAGTCTCGGCCCCGCGGCCGCCGTCGACTGCCACAAGTGGGACGCATTAGAATTTACTGCCGAGAAAACAGTCCTGAACCGGTTTCCTATCCTTGCTCACCCCCCACAATTCTTTAAAAAAGAGCCCAAGACGACGCCGTACCGTCTGTACCAGACCATTGTGCCCATAAGCGACTCGTCGATTGTGTTCGTGGGCCGCATGAGCTTCGTCAATTCTTGGCGTGTTGCCGAAGTGCAATCCTTGTGGGCTGTCGCCGCTCTGGACGGCAGGATTCAGGCTCTCCAGTCAAAGGCCGCAGTGGAAAAGGACGTTGCGGAAACAGTGGTCTGGTGTCGCCGGCGGTACCTCAACAAGGGCGATATCGCAAACTGGTTCTTGTGGGACTGCGTCGCGTATACGGACTGCCTCCTCCGAGAATTGGGACTAAAGATCCATCTTGGTAAGGAGGGCCTGTTGTCGCCGTGCCGGGCGAAGAGCCTCGGCGGTCTGGTGGAAGAATACAAAGCGAAATATTGTACTTAATGGCTGTGATGGGAATAAAAATTTCATTTTTTGTCGCGTACACCAGATGGGTACTTTTCGCTTAAAAACTTGTTTGTGCCACCTTGAGCCATATATTCATACTTGACCACATACCTGCGCTATCATACTAGCATTTCTTCCTGTTGTTCGGGATATAGACAGTGCAAGTTCATCTGATGTTGAAGTCAGGCATTCTCCACGGTATACGGCACAAAGACACGGTACCAAGTCCGTTGACTACGGGCCCATTGCTGGCTTTCACTCTCGCTCTACCTTACCGCGTCCTTGAACCTGTTGTAGCAAGTGTAGTCAATGGATGTATTTTATTTTTGACTTATGTGCTAAGTGGCCTGTTGTCACTTTCCCCATTCTGAAACGCGATGAAATAAATACGCTAGGTTAACCAACGAATCTTGCAGTACTAATCCTACACTTCCGGGAAGGCCACGTATTTATCGTCACTAGGACTTTCGCTGGAGTTGTGAGGCACAAGCTAGGCTCTACAAGTACCTAGAAGTTTTTAAAGGACGAATATGACTACATCATGGATGTCAACATCCTAGACGCATTCAACATGCTCTCCTAAGAATTGAGACTTGGGGCCTTAGAAAGAGCTCTGCCAATGGCAAGCTGGCATGCAGCCTGATTCACGTCTCAAGCATCCACTTTGTGAGAGGGTACATCATTGGCTACGTCTGTAAAATGAACCACGATGCTACAGTCGAAGTGACAAAGAGTGCTGTGATAGCGGGCTGTCGCAAGAGACGAACTCAACACTGTAGTGCTGTAAGCTGGAGCAGGCTGCATATCCTTCTGAAATAGCTTTGGTGTGGCCTTCATACTTGAGGGATGGAAGCAGCCTTGTGATCCGCGCAACCTGGTGCGTCGATGGAGCGGTGCACACGCGAGAAAAAGCGGTCTGAGGTTGCTGTGGCGCCGCTCTGGGAGATCGTGAGAAAGAACCTACGTTACGGATGAGCCAATGAAATCATGTAAAACACATGGTGGTATGGCTAACAGATTTGACACCGAGAATAACAAACACGACAAGCTGCTGTTGTAACCGCCGGTTAAAGAATGCCTTCGTGGCAGCACGACGGTGGGGAAACGCCATCGTCAACAGACGACGACTAATCACAAATGACCGTTTGGCATAGGGCCGGGACCAAGCGACCTTTTACGCCGGAGAACGGGGAGCAGTTCTTGGATAGCGTAGATAAGAAGTTAAAGAAACACTGCAGCGGCCCATGGGATAATTGGCTGAGGTGGACATAAGTAATGGATGAAGAGGTTTGGGGCTTTGTAGTACGGCACGCCTGCTTTACCGAGGCTCGCAAGAACGGGACCCGAAAGGGGGTTCCGAAGATAAAGGTCAGAATCCATTAACAAGCCACGGGTTATGGACATTCCATTAAGACATCCCCAACTCTAAATCTGGCTTTTTTTAACCTTTGATGCCACGTTTAAATAATACCTGGCTACGGTTGACATGGTGAGTGTGTCTGTGGTGGGTGGGGGCTAATACCGCCTGGCTTTTGTACTTCCGCCATATAAACCATTAAAAGGATGAGAAACAAGTAAATTAGTATCTAAACTTAGCTCCACGCTCATATATAACTGAACTGTCGTGCAGCGTCTGTCAGGAAAAAAACTGTCAGGAATAAACTGCGCCTTCGAGCCATCCCCCCAAGACCAGAGATACCATCCGGCCCAGCTCCGAAGACCCGTCTGCCCGCACCATGCTATTGTCCATGTCGCGTAGTATGGCATCAATGTAGTCTCCCGCGCCTGACAAATGCAGGATGTATGCAATCGCCCGGTGCACAGCAAGAAGGCGTGGCGACGGAGGGTCGATCGTGTGACTGTTCGTAACGAAGAGCGCCCGGTCCACAGGTAAACCGTGTGTGAGGTTTAATCGCGGAGGGAGAAACGACTGGATCCGGTATGTGTTGTATTTGCCCGGTACAGGATCAAAGTACACATTAAATGAGCCGAAGTGCTGGTGAAGGGCTTGCGTAAGTGTTAGGGCGTTGCGTGGTCGGTCGATATCAACACCATCAATGATATACGCCACGCCATAGTCAAACATATTAAGAATGGCGAGGGCGGACTCGCGGGACATGTTCTATATCGACTATTTAGCTTAAATGTCTGGGATAAGAATCGTTCAAGAAACAGAACGCCGTACCAATTCCGTGTCTGCGTTAGTCTTGGTCAAAGAGTGCGGCAAGATATGGGCCACTTCAAGGCAGTCAAACTGGCTAACGTCAGCAAGCAAGACACCATCGTCGTCTTGTGCGTCGTCGCCGTACTGATTAAAGCGCTTAATGTATTCGGCTTCACTAAACTTGCGCGTGATCACGCAGCGATGGCGGTCCCGGACCAAGCAAGTGCCCCGAAGTGAAGAAAGTCGTTCTGGTGTGCCGACAAAGGCTGGGGCCTCGCTCCCTTGTGCTCGAACGACTGCAGAATGGTAGGCGGGTGACGGTTGTGGTGTACGTCTTGTCGTCGTTTTCACTACCAAGTGTTAGCATGTCTAGGGAAGAACAGAGGCAACGAATGATTAAAATAACGGCGAAAAGTCAAGCGATCTCACAAGGTAAAAAGAAATTGTTCAACAGGTATTCGGCAAAGCCACTAAAAAGCGGATTCAGGTTCTCAAAGTCCAATTCCCTGTCTTCACCGAGTTCGTTTTCGTCGAGGCCGAGTGCCACGGCTTTGAAAAAGGCACGCAAAAAGATGTCTCGAGATTCTTCAGACAACGCATATTCGTAGGTGTACCGTACTAGCCGCGGCTGACTGTATGTGTGACTCCGGCCACGGTTGCCGTCGTGGTTGTCGAGAGCGTCAAAGTGCTCGACGATCCGGTAGAAAACACGTGTTGCGTTTGCGCGTTGGGCTGGGTCGAGGGGAGGTGGCGGTGTCGGATCAATCACGGACTCGAGAGATGCTTGATGCCGATGGTGCGGCCCCGGCGAGGTCATCTTGCCAGTCGACTCTCGTGTCTCGCGGCCTCATTAGATGGTAGTCGGGTGTCGTCTTTCCGTTGGTAGCGGCTCCTTAGAAATAAACCTGGGCTCCTCCGAAGTGCCGAAAGTACCATCACGTGATCCAATGACAGACAACTACGTGTTGGACCACAATACTTCGGAGGCTCTCTATTTTGCCAGTTGGCTTAGTGGTTGCGGTCTAGTTCCTAAACTACGCAAAACGCATGTTGCATTAGCGCTCACCTCGGGCTGTGCAGGACACTCGTATATTTAGACAAGAACGGACAAGCGTCTCTTCCGTGAGCGGTTATTCTTGTCGACATAAAGTCCGTCCCGTTGCAGCCGTTTTCGCGAAAACGCTAAATTCAGAACTGTTCTAATATGTTCCAGATATGCGCCTCACCCGACGCAAGAAAAACAAAAACCGATATTTGCCAGACTCGCACATCGACAGCAAAAGCCAGTCATTTGCGTCGACTAGAAACACAACACACATGGCGACAAAGCGGCAACACCATACGCGAAGTCGCTCCGGTTGTCTTACCTGCAAATACAGACATGTACGGTGCGACGAGCTCCAGCCAATTTGGTAGGTGTCATACTGATCAGAGTCTATAGTCGAACAGGACTACTGATACCAATCGTGCCGTACGCTAGTGCAACCTGTCTCAAAAGTCGGAAATCATGCATATATGCTCCGCCAGATGTTCCACTACGAGAGAAAAGACGACTGCTTCCGAGCACACCTGGCTGCCTGGTGTGGCGGTTACCCACGGCGAGAACAGACCCATTTGACGTGCTCCCCATCAAGATGCCCCTTAAGTCCCAAGATCTATTGGGGTACTGTGAGTACCGAGCGTGAAGGACCACAAGGGTACTGGAGGTGCCGTTGGCAACTAACCGAATAATCATGAAATAGTCTCCCAAACCACGCCCACGGTGGACCAGGGGGGATTCGACGGGTAAGAATAACGAGTTAGGTACCCGAGAACAAGACTACAAAACTGGCGTGTCTACTAAACTCACCGTCAACTTCCTTTGCATAGCTTACATTTGACCATCGACGAACCCACGGCACTTCGCAGTACCGTCCTTCTTGCTGGCCTCCACTTTAGTTGGAAATTTGGCGACCTTGGAACCTTTGAAAAGACCTTTTTTTATCACAAGGGAGAGTGCATACGCCTCGTCAACCTGTGGCTAGGAGACTCCTGTATGAGGACGAAGGTAGTATGCATAAAGCTTATTGCAATCCTATCTATCATCGAGGTACCACCCCAGGCTTCCTACACTGAAGAAAGAAAATTGTGCATTTAAAAAGCTAAACCAGTACTGTGACAGAGTTGTACAGGTAATCTATCCGCTGCGAGAGCTCACTTGCATGGCATCCTGATCCTTCTAGAGATGAGAGGGCACCGTGAACCTAATGGAGAAACGGAGCATGATGCCATGGAATGGGAAATTCTCCAGCGATGCGTTCTCGTGTAAGTCTCTTGTGTTGTGTTGCCCACATTCAGCCTTCGCCTGGTTACTTCTATCAGTCTTACACGTGTCTTTTTACTTACAGGGCCCACCATTTCATATCGGCCATTTCCTCTCGCCTTGCCAACCGCACGGCAGCCGGTATGCCTCCAGACGGCGATGACTCCAATATATGGCGGCGCTCCTTCACCGCTCTCTCCGCCAATACCGACGCGCTGCGGTTGATGCCATCTTATTTTGCCACTTTCGACAGCCCTTCCTTTTCTACGGTTGGGCTGCATGTCAAGCCAAACACCAATGCCAACGAGGTTATCCTTCAGCTGAAAGTCATTACCAAGCTATTGGACGGACCTCAACGTAGAACAACAAAAGATAAAGATACGGCACATTTTGTGACTGATCAAGCTGCCCCCTTGGCCAGCGGGAGTCGGCTTTTCTGTGATAGCAACGACTCGATATCCTGCAGTGGTTGCAAAGCCCTCTGCGGGCTTCTCTTGGCACACACGCGGACGCATACCATAAGCTTATCCCGCAGCAGTGGGTTAACAATCGATAGTGGCGCACTATTCTCCCCAGATCACAAAGCGGGGTGTCTGGTAACTTCCTCATGGTGTGGTCTGGCCGCCGCAGATAGCTTTTATCTCAATTACGTTCTCGGACTATGGAATGCAGGGCAGCCTATCGAGACGAGGATGTTTCAGTGGCTGATCGCCATCGTCAAGTTAGACGTCGAAGGGACGGAGGAAGTGGCTCTTTCTTATCTGAGTGGTCAGATAGACGACTTTTCGGATCGTGTACGCCAGCTATACTGTGACCTGTGGTTCTGGAAGGTCTTTGTCAGTTGCGTGGCCCTTGATATGACACCACTCGTGTGTACATCCCTACATTCTGACGGAGAGTGGTTCAAAACGCGTATATGTCAGTGGGCACGAAAATCCCAAACTGTGGAGTGGGACTTGGCAAAGGTCGCTCTTTCGAGGATTGCGTGGCCAAGGTCATCGATGGCAGGGGATAGCATTGGTGCACGAGTATGGTCAAGAGCAATCCAATAGACCAGTAAATTAAGAATAAATGTAAGGTAGCATATATGATGTGCAAGAAGATGTCGTGAGTGGACCTTTGATGTTTGTCGTACTAGCGACGCAAATGGCAATGGTCGTCGCATTTGGCGAAGTTAATATGCTTGCGTGGCATAGACTTGGAGTCGGCAAGCAGAATAAAACGACAAAGGAGCCGTATTAACAACCAATTCGGCAACAGCTTTACATGCAGCTCTTTTGTTATTTTTCCCGCCGCACAGTTCTAACCAGCAACGCGTAAGGCTGGACGGGAAGTAAGATGACAGTCGGAGGATGGGCTAGTACAAAACGGGCCATTTATACGAAGCGTGTAAAGCTAGCCCTGTGCTCTTTCTCCGTACAGCATGCGAGATTGCTATATATATAACGTGAATCCAGCTTCAGTCATTTGCAGATTCTGTCATCCAAGAACAGGCAATCATATCATGGAGAAACCTATCGTTCTTGTTGTTCACGGTGCTTGGCATCGACCCTCTCACTACACCAAGCTTGTTGAGCCTTTGCGTGACGCAGGATACACTGTGGTTGTTCCAGCACTCCCCAGTGCAGGTTCTGAGCCGCTCACCGCCAACCACACACTCTATGATGACATCGAGACTATCCAATCAGCGATTCATCCCTTCATGAATGCCGGACGAGAACTGGTCGCTGTACTTCACAGCTATGGAGGCATCCCAGGCACTGATAGCGTTGTTGGTCACACCATCGAAGACCGCAAGGCCAGAGGTCTTCGAGGTGGTGTGAAAGCAGTTATATACATAGCTGCATTTGCACCGCCCGCTCCAACAACAAGTCTCTTTGCTATGGTTCGCATGAAAGACGAGTCCGATCCTCATCCGGATTGGTGGACCCCCAAGGAAAGTGAACTCCTGAAGCACGTCACGTTGTGCTCAAGACGAAATTTTGTCTATCTAACTAACAATCGAAAAGGACGGCCTTGTCTCTCTCAACGAAGGCGCTCGACATGCACTTTATCAAGACATCGACATTGAAGTGGCCGATGACGCTCTTGCATCCACGGTGAAGCAAAGCACGGCCAGCTTCAAGCAAAAGTGCTCTCATGCTGCGGGTGCTATCATGGCCCACAAGACTTACGTTGCGTGCCAGCAAGATGCAGCTGTCCCGTATGAGGGACAGGTCTTCATGGCTGAAGCGGCTGGGGCAAATGTGGTAGCCCTGGATTGCGGGCATAGTCCTTTTTTGAAGGACGAGGAGTCGGCAAAACTTGTGGCAATTATTGCTGGCATCTCGGTCTAGCGCAATTGGCGCATTTCATGAGCCAAGTGAATGGTGTGCATCGAAATAGATACGAGCGTCAGGTAGATGGAAAGTACAGATAGAAGGACATATCGACTAGTAAACTTTAGCTATTTAAATCAATCCATTCGTACTATCGGTCAAATACCATGGTCCCTGAGCAACTGAAAACATCTAGCGATACAAGATTCCGTTGGCATAGCTTTTCTTGGGCATTCAGTCTGTGAAACGAAGCAGAATATTCCCAATACCTTGAAGAATGGTTGTTGCGTAAAGTCTTTGGGGTGTCAGTGCATGCCGGCTTTGCACATTATATTCAAGCGACCGCATCCTGCTTATCGTGAATCTGATCGGCGCGCATCTGCACGTCTGTAAGATATCCCTTGAATTTGCGAAGTGGTACTCGTTTATTGAACCTATGCATGTCAGTAGGTTAAATTTCTTTGGTATGACGTAGGAAATCGCTTGTCTTGGTGCAACATACATCTCGTCAATCTCCGCCGGCGTCCGACGAGCCACTTCAGGAAGAATAAACCAGGCAATAACGGTAGCCACAGCACCGGTTCCGGCGAAGCTATGGACCAGTTAGTAACATCCCATAACCATATATCTTGAAATTAAAACGTACAAGAAGCCAGTCTTGACACCCCAACTGGCAGTGCCATTGATCATCAGCGGCGTGCAGAAGCTGAACATAATGGAAATCATGTTAGAGAATGCCAGCGCCCAAGCAGACGTTCGCGCACGGAGGCGTTGCTGTGGGACTTCAGTTGCGTATGCATAGCCAATTGCCGAAGCGCCGGTAGTAGAGAAGGTGGCCAGACAGGCGAAAAAGATCTAAATCGTTAGTTCAGCTCACATATTCGACAATGTTAAAATTTATAGCATTTGCCTACCAAAAGAGAACTCAGCTGCTTCGTGGAGTAGTTGAAGCAGCCCACAATGCCGAGGCAGAGGACGGAAACGACGGTCACAGCATATGGGTAGACAGTAAGAGGGCGGCGACCGAATCGATCCGTCGTCACAGCGGTGACCAGCATAGAGATTAGCTGCACACAGGACAAAATGATTGTTACCATAAACGTGTCGGTGCTTCCGGCTTTTTGGACTGTTGATAGAATTCGTCAGTGGATGTGTTTGATGTGGCTCGCAGAAATACTGGCAATACTCACAAAAGTACGCAGCGTACGTGTTGAATACAGACAACCCGACGAACTGTTGAGCAATTTTGGGCCAGCCAGCAATAATGAAGCGTAACAGGTTGCGGCCTTGGAAGACTGCCCACTGGCCAAGCTCATTGCTGAGTTCGGCCTGGTGGTGTTCAGCAGCAACGGTGGCACGCATGACCTCCTGGACAGAAGTAAGAATATGCACTGGTTCGACAAGCTCAATGAAAAGAGCACATACCAGCTGCTCGTCGCAGTCATAGTCTTTAATGTCGCCGTTGCATGATTCGAGACTTTTTCGTGCTTCGTCCATTTTGCCTTGGCTTACCAACCACCAAGGTGATTCAGGCAGCAGGGCAAAAACAATTCCAATACCACCAATCATTGCCCACTATACAGTGTTAGAGAGCCTGGTCATGGGAAGCGCAATGGGGCAGAAGACGCACCTGTGTGTAGATGGGAGTACGGAAGTTGTATGGGTCCGACTTGTTGAGCGAGTTGAGCGACACTGAGGCGAACAGCTGGCCGATGACAAACCAGCTATGCAATGTCAGTATCCATTACCAGGGCTCGGCATGGCTGGGCAGGCCGATTGATGGTCCGACTTACAAAGAGTAAGCATTGATGTAGAAACCTCGGAGCTGTGTCGGGGTGATTTCCGAGAGGTACAGAGGCATCGTGGATTGCAGCATGCCTACACCCATACCGGACAGTAGCTTGGCAACGAGCCAGTGATCCCAGCGCGTGGCGAATGATTCAGCAAAGATGCTCTACCAGCAGAATGGCTTGTCAGTGGGTGCACAAATACAAACTTGTCAACAGCTGACACGTAAGGTAAGAACTTACTGCAGTCAAGATGACCCAAAGGACAATCAGAGCCAGTTTGCGGCCGTAGCCTTCCGTTACGTATTGAAGCAGTATCTGTCCAACGGCTTGGCCGGTGGATTGGATACCGCCCCAAGCCGACACGTATTTTCCGGCAATGATGGTCGTGCCAGGGCTGGCCATCTGGCGGATGAAGCCCTTGTTAGCAACAATGTTGCCGTTAAGATTGATTTCTAATGTGTCAGTCGAATTCGTTCGATGCAAGCCTCGGTGACTACTCCTTACGGTATCCGTCAAGGGACGCGCAAAACGCGGCCGCCATGGCGATGAGACCGACGCGCTTGTGGCGGAGGACGGTGCGCCAGATGCCAAAGCTGTCTTCCTTAGAGCGCATCAGCGGGCCAATGTCATCCTTGGCGGTCTCGTTGGGATGTTCCTGCATTTCAACCGCCTGGATCTCATCTTGGTCTTTCTGGGCCATTGTGTTAAAGTGTGTGGCTGTTAGGTCGAGGTAGCGATTCATACGTATTCTGTTTGTGAGCCGTAACGGCGAGACAACGAAAATAATTCCGATGGGACAAGAAAATGAGGATCTCTCCGAGTAATATATCCCACCATTTTATTTCCGTGCTTGCTACTGTGACTGTCGCCCCAGCTTAGTCCGGGGTAGGTGCCGGCCCCAAATCGCCCATCCCCCGCTGCTACGAATATACTGCGTGATCAAACCAACCTCATATCATCTAGTCACCTATGTGGAACTGGAGCCCCGCGTTTTCGCTCTACCAAAGCAAGGATCATCTTTAGCTGGGTTTTGCACCTTTGCCTCGTTTTATCTTTTTCACAAGGAAAGGTCGCCAGATGCAATTAAGCCCAGTTCGTACTACTTCGGCCACAACAGCGGAAGCAAGAGACCCTCGCTGATTTCGGTTAAGCAGCCACCGTCTTGCTTACCATAAATTACGACCCCCGCAATCATATCGGTACATCGCCTGCCGATATTCGCAGCCCAAAGAGCCTCCGACCTTTAACCTCGCGCCAATCTCGGAGAGTGTTTATGTTTGTGTTTACGAAATAGAGCAAGATCGCATTACAAAGATCCAGCGTCTACGGCTTTCCATCCCTTTCTCGCTTCAGTCCGCTGACCAGCTCGTATATATGCGACCAGAGAAGCGCAGACAAGTGCCGAGATTGGACAGGACGCGTCAAAGCTTCACGAGCAGCTCCAGTAACATAAATTCAATATTTCCAGAGCAGACAGCCTACTCGTCTTCCTCACCTCCTCACCGTCGCCGTATTGGTCTAGCTTTGACACCTTGGCCCCAAAATGCTTGTCAATTCGGACCAGGTTTGTTTCCCTTCCCTCTTACCTCACCATTTACAGCTGCCGTTGTCTGCCCCTGCCATGCCCTCCAGCCTACTTCTTCAAACCTCATCATACTCCTCGGCAAATCGGCCCCGCCACCTTATCTTTCATTTAAGCAGTGTCTCTCAATCCTCGACATTGCAATTCTCTGGGACAAATATAATGTTCCTCTAAAATTACTAACCATTTACTCCCAGGACACCATCAACGCACTGACTTCCAGCTGGGTATGGACGCCAGACTGGTGCGACTCAACCTTGGCCTCGTCGTCCACATCGAATGAGGTAGAGGATTCAAACACTGCTGGTCGCATCGTGCGGTTCACCCGCTCGGTCCATCTCCCAGCCACTGACTCTTCCTCAACTGTGACAAGCAAAGTCTCATCTGCCATCCTGCACTTCTCGGCCGACACTCGATACAAGCTTTATGTCAACAGTAAGCGTGTGGCTGTGGGCCCGGCGCGCAGTAGCCCGTGGATCTGGTACTATGACACTCTCGATATTGCACCGTACTTACACCCGGGTGACAATCAAATTGTCTTCCTGGTGTTGCGTTATTTCGTGACCCTGCGCGGGGCCATGCCCTTTGCGCGGACGCCCTTTCCTGGTCTGACAGTCGTGGGCAACATCGAGCATGGCGGCAACGCTATCGATGTGAGCACAGCTATGCCCGGATGGCTCGCTCAAACCGACCATAGCGTTCGATTTCCAACTGGTCTGATCGACGACGGCTTCCTCCATGTACAACGTTCCTTTTCGTTTCCCTACGCGGCATGTAATTCTTGTCCGGTGCTAACGTTCACCTTCAGATCAGTGAGCGCATTTCTCCCAAGCCACTGGGCAGTGAACTGACACCCGTCGGTTATGAACTACGAACGGCCAATGGCGAGCTGGCACCGTGGCGATTGCGCCCGCGTCCCATTGCCATCCCGGAAGAAACACATGTAGCTGTGGAAACGATCCGAAAATGTGACAGTACGGTCAAACTCGACAAATGGTCAGCCTACTTCTCGGGCCAGTCATCGTTAACCCTATCGGCGGGCTCGCAACACACGCTTGAAGTCCAAGCTGATGTCCACTCCACTGCATTTCTCCAGTGGACATTCCGCGCTGTCACGGATCCCTCCAAGCAATCGTTTACCGCAGAGCGACCCCGGATCCACTTGAAAATCATGTACTCGGAGGGCTACGAGAATGAGCCGCGTAACTACCCTTTCTTCAGATCAAAGTCCGACCGACTCGATGCTGAGAATGGTTACATCATTGGCCCTTTCGATGAAGTCACCCTGGATCTCCCGACTGACGGAAGCAACGTCTCGTATGAGCCCTTTTGGTTCCGCACCCTCCGCATCATGCGCTTCCATGTCTCCATCACAGGTCCGGCGCCCGTTGAACTTATCTCTTTTGGGGCTACACAAGTCAACTATCCAATGGGCATCAAGGCCAGCTGGATCAATCCCAATGATGCAGACAGTGCCGCGATGTGGGACGTGTCCATTCGTACGCTTCGCAACTGCATGTTTGACGGCTATGTCGACTGTCCATTCTATGAACAACTGCAGTACTCAGGCGATTCACGGTCGGTTGGTCTGTTCCACTACTTGCTGTCAGGTGACGACCAGCTCATGCGGCAAGCCATTTCCAGCTTCGGGGCCTCTGTGCTTTCCGAGGGACTGACACAGTCCCGGTTCCCGTCGCACGTGCCGCAGATCATCGCCGGTTTTCCGCTATACTGGGTGATGCAAGTCTGCGATCACCATCTGTACTTTGGTGATTCGGCATTTTCACGTTCTTTTCTGCCCCGTATTGACGGCGTACTTGACTTCTTCGCCCAGCACGTCGACACGAGAGGCCTCGTGTCCCGTCTTCCCAGCGACGTGTGGCAGTATGTCGATTGGGTGACGACATGGGGTGCTACAGACGACCACCCGGACAAAGGCGTCCCGACGGCAGGCCGTTCTACCAACTGTCACACGTTCTTCAGCATGCTATATGCCGTCGTCTTGCGGCAGGCGGCTCGTCTTGCTCGGGATGTAGGCCGCCCTGGTCACGCCGACGAATACGAATCGCGTGCCGATAGTCTCGTCACTGCTGTCAAGGACCATTGTTACGACGGTCGTTTTTTCGCCGACACGACCGTGGACGTTCTTCCCGAAGGTGAAAGTGGCCACGGTAGCCCAACCGCCTACTCGCAGCACTGTCAAGTATTTGCCGTACTTTGTGGCGCCTGTGGCGAAAGCGACCGCGAACGGCTACTGACAGAGGCCTTCTCGGCCGATACTGGCCGTTTTTCCAAGTGCAGTTATGTCATGCAGTTCTACGCGCTGCGCGCATTTTCCCTGGCGGGTGACGAGGCATACGAAACGTTTCTGTGGCCACGTGTATGGCAGCCGTGGCGGAAGATGCTGGCCAACAACTTGTCCACCTGGGAAGAAGATGACGTGCGCCAGAGGTCCGACTGTCACGCTTGGGGCAGCGTACCGATTTACGAGTACTGTACGGAGCTAGCAGGTGTACGGCCCATCGGAGCAGGGGCCAACAAAGTTTTGTTCAAACCGCGTCTCCGGTTGACCGACAGACTTGATGCAAAAGTCTGCCTGGGCTCCAGCAATGTCGCCAGTGTGGCATGGTATGTCACTGGGGACGGACTTGAGGGGGAAAGCAGTGCGAAGCAAGGCGCCACGGCTAGAAATAAATTCTACACTGTTGCGCTGCAGCTGGAAAAACCAGCCATGGTTGTCAGTGTCCTCCCAGGAGGCCGTGAAATCGATCATGGCTTGGTAGCCCGCGTTGCGCTTACATGGCGCCCTGAGTAGATTATGTTGCTGGGCTTGGATGGCCTTGTCGAGCGAAATAATATTCGAAATCTATGGAGGCCAAATTGATATCGCTGCCTTTCAAATGCTTTGTATCCTATCGTCTCTGGTCAACTCTTGGTATGGGAAATTCCACAAATCAAATGTTTGTTTGCCTACATCGATGTTGCCGATATTTTTGCTACTGCCTACTAATATTTAAGGGTTTGTAAACAAAAACTAGTTCGCATGTGACGCAAAGCTCAATTACTAACCAAGTCTTGGACAAGATGAATTTTGTACTCTGTGACAAAAAATTGTCATGTTAACATATTGTCGTGTTAACCATTCTCGGTCGATGAAGATCTTACTTTATTTCTCTCGCGATATCTCAAGTTTTCTCATATATTTCAAGTTTATTTCATCGCTTAATTTCTCGTAAACAGAAATGGTTTCTAAAAAACTCTGGGAAAATACCAACGCGTAAAAAAATACACCAGAAATCCAAAACTTATTCACAAGCATATGGTCGTCAGTTGATGCTCTTCCGTGGCTAAATCTCCAGTAAGCGCAGTCCCCCTTCCAATTTGCGTATGTCTTTCCAGGGACACCCCACAACGGGAAACATCTCCGCAGCTGCATCACATGACCCAAGGACCACCATTTGGAGGGAAGATATTGAACCGTCGCTTTGTCCTTCTCCTCCACTCTTAAGCTTGCACCTACATCTGCTTATTTCCCCAGACACTCGGCAATTCATCCCCACTTCGGTATCCGGGGACTACACAACTGGACCATGAACGCAAATACACCGCCCGATACGCAACGTCGCCGCTCGCGCATCGGCACACGAAAGGGGCGGCGCATTTCGAGCGCAGCCTGCGACCTCTGTCGTGCTCGCAAACTACAGGTATGTTTGCTCTGTTGCCCTTGCTGTTTTGACTTGTCTGCGAAGAGTAAACGTCTGGCTTCTGGGGTTTGGCCCGCCTCGCTCACGGACTTGATTACGCGTAGTGCTCCTTCGAGCCGAACGCCTCGGGCTGTCGCCGATGTCTTCGGTCTTCTGCGCCGTGTACATTCGATCAACTGCGACGCCCGCGGGGTCCTCCAAATAAGTGAGTCTTGTATTGCTGCCTTTGAGTTTCTGTTGATTAACTCTGAATGGTGCCAAGGATATTATCTTGTTCTTTCCCACAGCTATGATACACTCGGTTTTTCACTCCCCATGAACCACAATCACTCACACATGACATAGAATTGTTGCGCTTGCAAAATCCCATGGCAACGCGTCGTCCCCTACAAGTCCGGTCGCTCTGCCTGCGGTGTCGTCGGCAGTGGCCACAAAGACTGTCCCCATGACCATCCCCTTCCTCAACATCAAGATATCACTAGACGAATTCTGTCCGCCAGCGGCCTTTGCTGCTGTCATGGTGGACTTCTTCGATGAGATCTATCCCGTCATGCCTCTAGTACAACATGCCAACGAGGCCGTCCTTATGTTCCGCGAGCTAGGACTCTACCGTGCCGAGGCGTACAAGTGCTTGTCACGCGCTGGGGCCATCATCAGTCGCCGCATGTTCTGGGTTCTATACATGATGCAAATGTATGCATTTTCACTTCATCTGTTTAGTCCTTGCATAGCGCTTGGGTCTGATTCGATATAGGTACTCTTACACTTCTGCGCCAGAACCACTCACTGTTCTGCACTTTGATGCTTCAAAAACGGACTGGGATGCGTTGCGCACAAACGATATGGACTATGTGGGCATAGAGCCCGACCCTGACGACAAGGACGAGGATATTGACGAGGCTGCCGACGTGGACAAAAGCAAGCCCCCTGAGCCTGGAACCTACTCCCGCCGCCACCGACACAAGCACACACTCATCATGGCTGGATTCAACGCAATTATTGCCATGCATATCTGCGTGACTGAGATGATTGTTGACCGGCTACCAAGACCTCCGCCTTTTGCTCCGGCTTTGTCGTATTCTCGGCCTACGTCTACAGCCCTGCCGTCATTTTCAGCTCTCTCCACATTTTCAACGCCGTCTCCATATGAAGACCAGCACTTTGTGGCGCCTCTGAATTATTCAGACCCTTCACAGCCCCCACGACTACCGCCTATCAGCCTGTCAGTTCGATCATCGGCGGCAAGTACCACAGCTGCAGCTGCACCCTCACCGTCATCTACAGTGACGACTACTCTGCAGATGATTCAGTCCGGTATAACTCGAATTCGCCACGTCCTTGACGGGCTTCCGCCTGAATTTCGGTTCCCACATGCCCTGGACATGCCAAGTGACGATTGTGAGAACCCGTCGCCTCCGGACCCATACCGCGCCATGCGTGCCAACATTCATCTGACGGGAATTTTCCTGCAAAGCCTGGTGGTCGAGTCGTACGTCGCAAAGATGCTGCACACACGACATGCACCACGCACGTGGACGACCTCGGGACATGCTGAAAACTCACCAGCTGCATCTGCAGACAAAACGGACATATGTGAGGCCCACTTGAGGTGGAATGACCGCTTCGAGATTTGGAAGCTGCGCGAAGGAATAGCAAAGGAGTTGCAAAATTTGTTGCAGAGTTTCCCCATGTCAGTATTTGAGGTTACGGGCGTGGCCATGACTGTCAAAATTCGGCGCGTAGCTGCTACTCTACTAGAGCACAGTGATCCAACAGCGCCTCCAGAAGAGGCTGGAGAGGCCGAGCGGCGACGGCAGGGCTATCTGGACTACTTTGTGCGCGTTTTGACAGAACTGGACCACAGCCCAACAGCGAGCTTCGGTTTTGTCAAGAGCCGTAGTTAAGCCGACCTGATTGCTGCTTGCAGGAAGTAATTTGTAAGTGGAAACCTACGTGTTTATTTAGATTGAGGAAAACGTGCCTTATTGCAGAAAATTCAGAAATTCTTTATCCAAATCAGGACCAGTGGTGGCACCCAGGTACACAGTGGCAATGACCGTTCTATGCCAAAATGAATGTAACAATACTGGACTGGCCTAGCCACGTTACCACTGAAATCCGCTGGCCTACGGGACCCTGTGGAACCATTCACCTTTTCCATGTGTCTTCACAATCTTGTAAACAGGGTGCAAAACCGTCTCGGTGTTGTCGTGGACCTTCCTCGTCCACTCCGTATCTGTCAGTGCCCTGAGAGCATCCAAGTCGATTTGCTCACTTTCAAATTCGTGTAGGGCCAGAAATGTGGGCGGGTTTGGTTGGGGCTCGTTAGACGTCACAGGCAAACCCTTGAGAGCACGAGACTGGGCGTTCGAGCGGGAAAACACAAGCTTAAAGCGGGTTGTGCGCAGATAACCGGATGCCGTGGACAGTTGGTTCAGATGCTGTGGTGTGTTAGTGCGTAGCCGCGACGTAGAGACCATAAGGACTCAAAAACTACAACTTACCTCCTTCCGATACCAAGCGTCAAAGTCGCCTGCCGAGTAGCCATTCTTCAGCTCGTATTGAGCAGATATCAGAGTCCTTGTGTGTCCAGGGCCCTTGTTTGTAGGATCGTAGACCTGTTCGAGGCGGTAGTACCGAACGTTGTTGTCGGCCAAATCGTAACAGAGTTTCGTGCCAGGCAGAAGATCGCTGTACACGCGGATCTTGCGGAACTCCTCGCCTTGCGTGAACGCAATGTCGCGCATTTCGTACATAGCAAGGTACGGCCATTCGGCGCCCTCACGCTTGTAGCGAAAAGCCGAATCGACGCCGCTGGTCTCGATGATCTCGGTAATGTGGTCGTTGTCGTACCAGTTCATGTACGTGGCCTCGTCCATAATATCTGGGCGAGAGATCCGCGCCTCGACATAAAGTATGCCTGGGCCTCTGATTTCTCCCATTGTTTATGGTGCGGATGTCCTTTTTGGTTGGCTGTAGGTCAAATAACAGGTTAATGTCGAGGTCTCACTTGCGGAAATTGTGATAAAGTCGGTTCATGCCGCCCTTAATATGGACTGTCTCACACAACGTCGCTCATAGACTGGAAGAAGCAGTGACTGCTTGTACTCCAATTAACCTTTCTTGTTGGTAGGGCACTCCGAATGTGCTGCCGTGCGGTCCATTTGGATCTAGCTTAGACATTACACGAACGGATATACTTACGCGCTAATGGACCACCCCTGACAACATCGGGGCATAAATCTCTGCGGGGAATCCAAACCAACATTAGTGTGCGCGTGGATGGCACAAATAGACCCGGCGACATTGTTCACTCGACCGTTGTCGGCCCACGCCCGGCAGATATCTAAAAGTCTCGCTCTTTTTGCGGAAGGTCCCCAGTGTCAGCGACGAATATTTCCATGGCTACTGGCGGAACAATCACCTGGTGCCTGCGTTTGCCAACGACACGTTTATGAGCAAAGTCCGCAAATACAACCAGGTGTGTCTCGTTCATATTATTCCACCAAATTAAAGAATCGTAGCCCATTCGCTAATACAGGGAAGCACCATATCACGCCCGACGTGCGGGCAGAGGCCCAGTCTCTGGGTATTCCAGTGCTCGACTACGATGGTGTGGCCGAGGTGTGGGTGGATGGTGTGGAGGACTGGAAACAGATTGTGACTGATACGGACTTTGTCAAAGCTGTGGCCGAGGACGAGAAGCACTTTATCCTGCATCCCATCAACGTCATGTTTGGCTGGGACAACTTGATTATTGACAAGGAGGCGGGTATCAACAATGGTCCGAAATAGGTTGGAGGAAACAAAAGATGCGCTCAAGAAGGGAGATTGCCCGCTTGCATTTCCGCTCATTAAACATACATTCTGTGAAACTTTGAAACGTGTTGTATGTGCCATCTCGAATGAAATCAGTGTGGGGGGCCGATTTGATATATTCCGTTGCCATGATGGCGTATCGGGATGTCGGAAGCGCCCGCGACAAACGGAAATTTATTTCCCTGCGTAATCAATAGTTTAGACTGTCCCTCCCCAAATTGGACGTGCCGCACAGGTCGAGCAAATCGCAACTCCCTAGTAATTTCGTGACAATATAAACTATCCGCGCCAGCAGGGCATAGTCTTGAGTCTTCGCAACATCGCATTTTGCAACACATAATATTTCGTCCCTACATCATTCAATCATCTAATCTTTCGTCTCAACCATGTCCGGGCACAATGAAAGCAGTTCAATGGGATCCGGTGAGTGCTCTCCTACTTTCAACAAAGTGACTCTGCATTACGTCTAACAAGGTCAAGAATCAGCAAAAGGTCGTAGTCAACACGGTCTCAAAACCGACTCCGGGTCCCGGCGAATTTTTAATCAAGCTTGCATCGGCAAGTCTGTGCCACTCGGATCTCATGTCTATTGCCATTCCAGGCCGGAAGGAACCAATTACACTGGGCCACGAGGGCGCGGGTTATATTGAAGCGATCGGATCAGCCGCTGGAGGCAAAGGCTTCAAAGATGGCGATGCGGTCGGCTTCCTCTACGTGCAAGGCGGCTGCTTCGAGTGTAAGGGCTGTCTACAACATAACAACCACTGCGTCCGGAGCCCCGGCCAAACAAACGGCTTCACCATTCCCGGTTTCTTCGCCGAGTACAATGTAGTCGACTGGCAGAACTGCATCGTGCTTCCCCCTTCTATCGATGTCAAAACGGCATCGCCTATTTTCTGTGCGGGCATTACATCTTTTCACTGCGTACGGTCGTGCGAGCTGAACCCCAACGACTGGATTGTTGTCATCGGGTGTGGAGGTCTCGGCCAGCTTGCTGTTCAGTACGCTAAGGCCATGGAGGTACGGGTGATCGGCCTGGACATCAACGACGATACACTGGCCAACGCCAGGGCTCGGGGTGCTGACTACGTCTTCAACTCGCGCACTGACGCAAATTACAAGGACAAGATCATCAAGATTACCGAAGGTGGAGCGCAGTCGGTCGCCGTGTTCAGCGCAGCCGAGGCTGCATACGATTCGGCGCCTCCGCTGGTGGAGGTGGGCGGCATTATCATGGTGGTAGGTCTACCCAAGAACGGTATTTGCTTCGATGCCCTCGATATTGTCACTGGTCGGTACCGTGTCAAGGGCGACAGCACGGGTACGCCACAACGAATGCCCGAGGCAATTGATTTTATCGTGAAGCACGGCATCAAGCCTGCAATGGAGCTGCATGATTCCCTCGACGATGTGCCCAATATGATTGAACGCATGATAGCTGGAAAAAGTACGAAGAAGATGGTCGTGTGTTTATAAACGAGTTGGCATTGTTGGTCTATTTGGCAGGTGTCGTGTAGCGTTCAAAATTGAATAGAAAACTGTAACCCATTCAGACATCTAGAATTGCACGAGTTTATGCATCATAGTTCGCAATATTTGGTACTCGCTTTTTGATTTTTTTGTTGTGTTTATTGCGAGTTTCCATCTCTTGGTCTCTTTCCCCTTCTCTCAATTTCCCCTACTGTTTTCCCTTCTAGTCTACCGATTTGCCATGGTGCGCTCGAAGCTAGCAGTGATGAGCTCGACAACATTGCCCCAGGGATCTGCGACGTATGCGGCTTTGTGGCCGTAAACAGGCACAATTTTGCCAATCTGCCGACCGCCAAAGGCAACTATCTTCTCCAGGGTCGCCTCAAGCTCCGGTGTCGTGACAGCAATGTGGAAGTAGCCGCCGCGGACGTAGTTCTTTTCAAAGTTGGCTTGCTCATCGGTTGTCATTTTCGGGCTAGAAAACTCGAACAGTTCGAATCCCACACCGTTGCCCGCGCTGAGGTAGGCCATACGGACCTTTTGCAGCGACTCGGGATAAATCTGGAAGATGCCACCTTCTGGGTTGGTAGCGCGATCCGATGACGAGCGCGCGCGCAGCTCGTGGAAGCCCAGGACATTGATATACCACTCGACGGCCTTGTCGAGGTCAGGCACGGAAACGCCGACGTGGTTTAGTGGATAGCTACCGTGGTGCTGCTTTAATTAATAGATTTTCACTAAGCATCTCGATTGAAACTGGCCGGTACATACCTCGGCTTCTCCTGTATACGGTCCGCACATAGTGATTTTTGTTAGATATAAAACTGAAAGGTTGTGTCAGATTTCCTCATGGTGGTGAGAGTGTGTTTGTGCAGTCTGAAAGAGCAACCAACTAATACAAGGTGGACAGGGAAATTGTTGGACGTAATGTTGTACGGTTCCCATAGGAGACTAACTTACTTCTCTTGTAGTCCTTCGGAGATATCGAGACTCAAAATATGAGGTTCTTTCTACGCTAGAATACGGCATGCAACTGTTTTCGCTTTTCTGGGGATGTCGCCCCCTCCGGAACGTTAAACAACATGTAACACGAAACTCCATACTCCGCAACTTCTCTTCCCTACCTCTACGGAAATGTACAGCCCCTCTGAAAAACAAACCCATTTCCTCCACACAACCTCCGCACCTCCCCTGTCGTAAGTAGATGCGCTAATTCTGACTCGGGAGATCATGGGTACCTTTTGTTAAGCGGGGCTGCGTCGAATGTTAATTGAAATTCAGAAAAATGAACAAATGTTCAAAAAAGTGATGCAGGGACGTCATCGCGACGAAAACGGTGCTCCACTGTCCGGGCACGGCAGAGCTTACCCCTTCGAGGTTGGAACAGCCGATTTTGTAGACAAATTACAACGCTCGAAAATACTTATTCTCAATGTGGCAGTGAATAGTCCAAGAGGGGTATGTTGTAGGGGGAACATGCAAGAATCAGTGAGGACACCTCGAGCTAGCCAAAACGATAACGCACGTTAGGCCGAGATGGGCAGTTTGCTATTGCGTGTGTAGGCTGGCGAAGCGGATAGAGGTTCTCCGAGCTCATTGCCGGATGTGGTCTACCTGGCACGGATAAGGCGTTCGTCTGTCTTTATTTAACTTTATTCATGTCAATACGGCCTAATCTCTTACTTGCCGTTGCAGTCCATGGACAGTGCTGTTCAAAGGACATCCGACAATACCTTAACTGCCTTGACTCCTCCCGCTCTCCAGTTCAATCAATCTCAGTCTCGAGATGTCTGACGTTCCTCTACGCCAGCTGGGGAGCAATGGTCCCCTTGTTCCAAGTCTCGGCTTTGGGTGTATGGGTTTAAGCTCGTCGTATGGTCCAGTGGACGACGACGAAGCCCGTTTCAAGGTGTTGGACAAGGCTCATGAGTTGGGCTCCCGCCTGTGGGATACGTCGGATGTTTGTATGTATCAATATGCCTCTCGGGATGGTTTATTAAGTCCAAACGGAACACAAAATCTGGCTCTCACCTACTGACTTTACTCAAGACGGAGACAGCGAGGACCTTTTAGGCAAATGGTTCAAATACTCTGGAAAGCGGTGTGATATTTTTCTGTGCACAAAGTTCGGCGTCAAGGTCATGGACAAAGTCTACTCTATGCACAGCGATCCCGAATATGTCAGAGAAGCGTGCGAGAGGAGTCTTCGTCGCCTTGGCGTCGACAAGATCGACCTCTACTACTGCCACCGTGTGGATCTCAAGACTCCTATCGAGAGGACCATGGAAGCACTTGTTCGGCTCAAAAGGTACATTTATATAAGGCATTCCAAAGCTCGCCACCTTTCGACTCCGACGCTGACCAGAAAACCATGTAGAGAGGGAAAGATTGGCCATATTGGCCTGAGTGAGGTGTCCGTATCCACGGTTCGTCGAGCACACAAAGTGCATCCTATCGCGGCGCTTCAGCTGGAGTAGTCGCCCTTCTCACTGGACATTGAGTTGTCCGACAACAGCCTTTTGGACACTTGTCGTGAGCTGGGTATTGCTGTGGTTGCGTATAGCCCACTGGGTCGAGGCTTCTTGACAGGTCAGCTCAAGTCTCCCGACGATTTTTCCAACAACGACTTTCGCAAGTCTGCTCCCAAGTACAGCAAGAAGAACTGGAGCAAGAACATGGAGTTGGTATATCTTTTGGAGTCCATTGCTAAAGACAAGGGCTGCACGCCGGGACAACTGGCGTTGGCATGGGTCCTCAAGCAGGGCGATGATATTTTTGCAATTCCGTACGTCGTGCCTATTTACCGTCCCGCGTGGCTCAAACATACACTAACCCATCCAAATTCAGGGGCACCAAGAAAGTTAAATATCTTGAAGAAAACATGGCTTCTCTCAAAGTTACACTGACGGATGCTGAGGCTAAGACCATTCGTGATCAGGTTGAGAAGATTGAGCTGCAAGGCGAGCGCTATGTAGGCGTCCTAGAGCACTACTCTTTTGGGGAAACGCCTCCATTGGGCGCGTAAGTGGTAACACGTGTACCGTTTAGTACTTTACGAAGCATATTTGGATGTCACCGTCTAGGTAGTAGTAGCAATTTTAATGATAGAAGGCAATAAGATACGCATAAAGGGAAACCTGGTTGTTAATAGCATTTATTTAAAAAAAAGTATGCGCCCTGAAACATGACAAAATGAAGTCCACTTCTACACTGCCTAGATCGTTCCCTTTTCCAAGAACTTACTGGGGATGGCAACCGGCTTGCACCGAAGATACTCGGCCACCAGTTTGCCAAGAACATCGTAGCTGCTTGGCGAGTTTACACCGCGGTCAAGGTGGTCCCGCAGCAGAAAATGCACAGCGCGAACACCCTGTATTTCAAATCGATCCACTGCACCACCATTGCATTCCTTGTCGAGCAGGTTCCGCACTTCCTTCACCGTCAAGAATGACCGTAGCCAGTCCCATTCGTCTTTATCACGCGCCCAGAACCCGATATTGCAGTCGGAGTTCTTGTTGCCAGACCGTGCGTGAACAATAGATCCCAGTGGTGCCATCTGCGTCGGTCCCCAGGCCGACAGCGCCACGGGCGACTCTGTCTCGTAGCTGGCCTGTCGGCGAGGGTACTCTCGCACAATGGGAGGGGCGCCGACCGGGAAACATTGACCATCATGTGTCCAGACGGTGTGGGAGAGCCAGATCCAACGGCGAGGTACCTGCGATGAGGTTGCCAGCTTGATTGCGTTCCTCATTTGCGATGAATCAAAGTTTGTCTCGGGCGCCGTCTACCACATCGATGGTGGCTGGGTGTGCTAACAAGTTGAGACAAAGTGTCACACCAATAATATCGTTATCAGAAAGCTTTGAAAGTCAAGAAATGAAATAGAGAGATGTAAACATTGATGTCAAGTTGCAACGTATATTTCTCTGTCGTTGCTAAATATGGCAATTCCTGGCATGCAGTACAAATCATATCACCGTCAGGACCAGCAACAGGGCAGCACCTGTTGCTGTCACCCAATCCATAGCAAAGAAGCCTACTGCGCCGCTGCTAATGAGTGTTGCCGAAGGTAGCATTGTTGAAACCTGTGGCGTATTGTCATATGTGGGACCAGCGGTTGCTGTTGCAGTCGATGTAATCACCGTCACAGAGTCGGCCGCGGTTTCGGATGAAGTCTTCGTTGGATCCCGGCTTCTTGTTGTCGTCTCGTTTACCGGTGTGTCCACTGGCGTTGTCTCTGTTGGGCACTGCAAGCTTGCCGCCAGTTCCCAAGGCTCGCAGCGCGAGAGATATCTCGTGTATTCCGACGAGTGCGTATCCATCCATGCATCGACGGCACTCGTCCAGCTTGACCACTGTGATGACAATGATGCCGGCGGTGTAATGGTTTGGCAGCCCGAGGCCGTCATGAGGTAAGTTGCCTCAAAGGACAGAATTTCGAGCGGAATCGTCGGTGCGTATGTTGCAAGGCTCTCTGCCAGGCTGCGGCAAACCGAGGTTTCAGTCGTGGGCGTTGAGGTGCTGCGAGGTAAAACGTAGCCTTGGCGATGCCCGGGACTCCCACCATTAAGCGAGAACCGAGGCAATTCTGTCGCCGACGCTATCACGATACTCGCTTCATGACACATGAATAAAGCTATGGTCATGACAGCGACAGAGCGAATGGCCCTTGTCAGGGTACCTCTTCGTTGGGGAGCCATTGGTCGTGTCAGCAAGGTCTCGCCAACAGGATATCCAATATTGGTGATCGACAGATGATTTGCGTCCAGATCCAGCGAAAAGATTGCTAGCCAGGTCTCAGCAAGACGAGCAGAAGAGGGTCTTAAAGCAGATAGAACACTCATGCAGTTGTCCCACAAGACGTCGCCATTTACCCTCAGAGACGGCTTGAGACCGGTTCATATATTCATCCAGAATAAAATATAACACCAGGATATAGCAAAGCCGCAATTGACGAGTCTCTTCAGTTAGGCAAAGGTCACTGGCTCGAATGCGTGCTGTCGTTCTCAGGCTGATTTGGCAGGTTCCTATGCCGTATCCATCGTCAGTTGCCATCGCAGTGATAACACGAACAAAACGGAAGTTTGCGCTTACCAATACAGCACTTACCCGCCCCACCCCCCCCCAGACTGCCTGAATTCTGAAATCAAAACGCATTCTCACCACATTGCCCAGACCCGAGATGCAACGGCGTACCAAAAAGTCCAAAAAAGTCGATATTATATTGCGCCCTCTTAGCCACTTAAAACAGGTCGTTGTAAGCTCTTGCGTGCACAAGAATATGTATATAAATAGTCATGTAGACATATCGTCGTAACAACGTGACAGTAATCGTCATAGCATGATTCGTCCGTCACTCGCAAATGTATTTGCGGTCTGGCGGGTGTCGCTGCTGTTTCTTCTGTCCTTCCCCAGCATGTAAGTCCACACAAAACTGTAAGACTGGCCTCTGCCCTCTCTCCGCTGTCTCGTCCTTTGACCAGAATGGGCCACCATTAAGTAGCAGCAACGCAGTAATTCCGTTTCGTAGCCTCCTTCACCAACCCCCTCCTCCCAACGCCATCCCCCTGCCGATAATGTGCGCGTAACGACTGCGTGCGCTATCCAAAAGACCAAAACTAGCTATCGGGCCGTTAATTCGAGAACTGAATTTCAGAAAGCAAACGCAGCAAAACACCACATAGCTAATCAAAGGGAAAAGAAAATCGTCGTCCATGGCGGAGGGCACATCACTTGCATATGCACCTATCACACCGTCGCTTCGTTAGGTTGGGTGGTTTGTAAGGCGCCCAGTCGTTGAAACCGTTCGTGTCATTGAAATCGATCAGGGAGCGTATTCGTCGTAACGTCTCGTTTCGTCTCATCTTTTGCTGCGTAGATTTTCCGACGCAGGTCGTAAATGGTGGCAAACGGTGGCCACCAAGTCTAATCCTCCATGACTGCGCGGCCGCCGTGTGACAATTGCCTCTTGCAATGCAGTAAACACGAAGACACTGTCTTCATAGAGCGTAGAAAATAAAAATAAAAAACAGCGCGATCAAAGGAGCCTTTGATCACCAATAAAAGTAAAGACAGAAATAAAATACCGATGATCCAAGGCGCACAAAAAAAGCAATAAAAATAAAAGGTAAAAGGTACAGAACAGAGAATCAAAAAAGAAGAATGCGAATGGATCCAAAGGACAGCAGAAGCAGTAACCAAATGAAGAAAGCCAACATCCAGAAATAAAGCAAGGAAACCGACTTAGGTGCCGTCTAATTCCGAGTTAAGAGTATTTTGTTTGTCGATTGGAAGGGCGAAACGAGAAAAGGATGGGGTGTTGTGGTTTGATGGTCAATCGAAAGCAAAGAAGACCGAGCACAGCGAGGCGCGGGAAGGTCAAATATGGCGGAGAGTCAAGTCCCAAATCCAGCCAGTCCCTGTGTTGTTGGCGAGCTCGGTCACATTATTGGTACACGGAGGAGCTATGGGGAGCACCGATCCGGGGTGCATTCTCAGACGAGTCTTAACGTAGACGTTAGCCGACAAGATTCAAAACATTGGAGTTTACCTGACTCAATACATACCACTACTGCGCTGCATATGGCCATTAGAACGACCACGAGTGAAGCCACCGGCCTTCTCCCAATCACCAGGTCCCCGTGGCTGGCGCTCCGGAATACCTCTGGTGCTGTTGCCATTGGCGCTGGGCCGCTGGCTGCCAATAGCGCCGATGGCACCAGGTGTTTCTCTCGGGCGGCCTGAAAGGCCGACACTGCTATCATAAGACGACGAGCCCAGACCCAGCGAGCCCAGGCTGTTGACCAGCCCAGAGGCATCCACAGACGACGACTGCGGGTTGATGGCCGATCCAGGCGTCGTTGGTGTGGTGAGAGACGGACCAAAGGGACCATCGCTCGGGAAATGCGGCAGGAAAGGGGCACCGCCAGAGTTGTGGCCGTTGGTAGGCGCGTTTCCGAGAGCGGCACTGCTGACGAGAGAAGGTGAGGGGCTGGGGCTGTAAGAACGCAGGTCTGCAAAGCTCTTTACTCCGCGCAGTCCATTCAATCCCTGTTGGTGATTTTCAGGGCTGTTCGGAATGGCCAAGGTCGGACCACGGTTCATCGAATGGACAGACGGCTGCTGGCGGTCGTTGAAGTCGTAGGTCGCCGCCCGGCTGAGGCCACGGGGGTGACCGTCCAGTGTAACGCCAGGCTGCTGCACAGTCGACTGGCGGCCGCCGTTCGAGAACTTGGCTTTGCTGACGTGCACTTGTCGGTTGTCGCCTTCGCCAATAGATGTATGTTCTAGGCCCATGTTGTGTGCAAGAATGTGGATCAGGCGACGATCTTCAGGAGACGTGTCGGTGGGGAAAATGTGCACCTCCCGCGAGTCGTCGTTGTGGAACATGTACAGTTCGAGGTAGAAACGCAGCTGGTGGGGGTCGTTCAAGTCGAGCCGGCTATTGGCAACGGCAGCTGAAGGATCAAACGAGATCTCTGTTAGTAACGCTGTTGGATTGTGACCAAATCGTAGAGGAAATCGCGTGTACAGTGACATGCCAAAAGACGTACGTTCATTTAACGGTGTGCGCTGCGCAGAGGTGGCGGTGGCCAGAGAGGACATGGATATCTGGTGAGTCGGACCGCGATGCTGCTCTTCGAGCTGGCCACGTTTCTCACGCTTCTCTCGCTCAATGCGCTCGCGTTCGTGCTCTGGGAGCATTTTCTTGTATTCTACGCGCAACTTGCGCCCCTGTATATCAAGGCCATTCATCCGGTCGATAACCAGTTTGGTATCCGCTGCGCTCTGGAAGTTGGCAAACGCAAGTCCACGGAAGACGCCCTGGTCAAAATGGTAGTTGAACGCATATGGCTGGGGCAGGTGCATGTCGATCATGACGGTGGTCAGGTACTCCTTGCGAACGTTAAAAGGAATGTTCTTGATGACGATGGCGGTCGGTATGAGGTCGCCCATGTCTTTTCGCGAGTCGGACATCGTACGGATCTCGGGCGGACCGAATGCCTGGAGGTTGACACTTGGGGGTTGCACCGTAAAGGGGTCAGGGGAGCTCGTAGACGGGAGTCCCATTGCCTGCTGGCCAACGAGGTGTTGCTGTGAAGAGTAAAATGGCATGCCTTGCCCGTTGGGGGTGCCCAATTGCGGAGGCTCGTTCGTGGTCCATTCCTAAAACGAACGCAGTTAGCCACACATGCACAGCAAAACAAACGTGCATGTAAGCAGAGCAACCCACCGGATGCAACGCTGGCCGGCGGCTGCTAGCACGAATGCGCGAACCGTCGTTCATGGGACCGCTCATGGGACCGCTCATAGTCGCAGCGGCGCCGGCGCTGTAGTTCCATGCCGACTGGTTGGCACCGGCAAACATATTGTAAGCCCCGGGTGGCTGCAGGGTGGATTGTGCAGGTGCGTTTCGATCGAATCGCTGGCTGGGCTCAAACGAACCGAAACGGTCCTCTGAGAAAAGTAAAGATGCTTGTTGGCCGAGGCCAGGCTCGCCTGACGGCTGGCTTCGTCGTCCACCATTCAGCGCAGAGATACCGACAGTTGCGTATCCGGGCCGGGTAGGGTTCGGCGAGTGATTCATGGGGCCGCCGTAGCCGTTGTAGTATTCGCCTTGCGGCTGTTGGGCGTTCATGGCAACAATTGCGGGGGATCGATAGGGATATTTCAGGGTTGAGCACGTCTCAGAGGCGAAGTGTGCCAGCTAACAGATGTTCTAAAACACGAAGGATAAATCGGCCCGCGCTATTTCTGTCGCCAAATGAAGGTAGATCGTGCAAAAGGTTCGTCAGAAGACAGGCGGGGGGCTAGCCCGCGTCGACGAAAAAGTTGAATAGATATCAGATATTTTCGGATGTATACTATAAGATATGTTGAGTGTAGACGCCTTTTAAAAAAATACTTCTTGGAGATGTTAGTCAAGTGAGAACCCTCCGCGAAAAGGCACCGCGGTAAAGACAACCGCATAGATTATTGAGAAGCACGGCCCGCGGCCACATCGCAATAGATGTGTAGCCGCCTACCAAGGTATCGATGGGGTTTGTAAGTGTGTTTTGTACACTAGCCTCAGGCATCACGAGACGTCACAGCACCGCGATGCCATGTTCTAGTCCAGGGGGTGTTGGTTGGGGATGAGATGAAGAGCAGTTTGAGCAGGAAACCGAAACGGTGTGCTAGCGGTGCCGGGCCACGCAAAGCACGGAAGTAAGCGGGAGAAAGGAGAGGGGGCCGATAGCATGCGACAGAAAAAGAGGGTAGAGAGTGGCAGATGATGGGCGCTGGATGCAGGAAACAAAGGTATTGCCAGGTGCAGAGTAGAACAAGACTTGCAGACACTCACCAGCCAAGAATCGTCGAGGGCAAAAAAGGCGCTGCGCAAGACGCAATCGAGCCTCGTGTCGGTATCAACGAAGCGTCGCAAGCGAGACAAAGTTAACCGTGTCCGTATGCGATATCTCGTGGTATGGTCCCGCCGCAGTGGGAAGGTCGAAGATTGCCGGAGTCCAAGTCGGGAGGTTGGCCAAAGTCGTATGGTTTGGGGAGGAGTTGTTGATGTTTTTTGGTTTGTATTTTTTTTGGCGTAGGTTTTGGCCTGGCTCAGTCCTGGCTCGTCCTGGCCCGTTTTTCCTGGGTTAGTCGGGAAACGGGAGTCCAAAGCTCCACTGAAAAGGGTAGGCTAAAGTGGGAGGAAAGAGCGAGGGAAAGTAGAAAGGGTGAAGGGCAAAAAGAAGGGACGACGGACATCAACTATGAGAGGCCATTGGTTGGGGCTCAGGCGTTCCACAGGAACGGTGTGGACACTATTTTTGACTGCTGGAACAATGCAGCTGCCAGGGAGGCACGGGCGGGCACAAATAGTGGGCGCTTTCTCTGCCAGGAGGAAGGGAACAGTGCGAGAAGGCGCGTTGTCTGCTGCCAAATGACGAGAGGCTACTTAACTATGACATTGGCAGACACAACTCGCAGAAGCTCTCTACATTTTACGCCATACAGGAAGGTGGCGTCACTCATCCGTCTGATTTCACAAAGCAATACAGCATACAGCAAACGATAAAACGATATGTACGTAGTTTCAGAGTGTGTATTCAGTAAGTGTGCACTCAGTAAGTGTGTACTCAGTACCTAGTTTGCTACCATTTACGTACAGTGCCAAAATATGCAAACACTGTATTGTGCTCTCAAGATGCGACCCCTCTGCTTGCTTCTACCGTAGTGTATTTATTTGCTCCATTTTTGGGCCTTAACATGCCCAGTGCCCCCTAAAGCCCCCGTAAATCCCAACACGTGCACACTTGCCCAGCCTCGACAACAACGCACCCAATAGGGGCTGGAACACATGCCATAGGCCTACGCACTCCACCGCAAGAGGTGTATTTCCCCTGGTGTTTCACAGGGTGGAGGCAAAAGGACACTGCGAACTGTCTGCTCAGCTGTGCCTTGAGCAGATGACCACAGTACATGTGCATCTGTCCATACGGAATTTGCATCACGAGGCACGCTCTTGGCAGGGAAAACAGGACACGAAAAGCGGCCAAGCACCATGAGATGGCAGTGATAAGCCGATGCACTGTACGCAAGTGATATTGGATACTTGGGACCAGTGGAGCAAGTCCATCCACAACCACGCCTCCGACATACCTTTGATAGTTAGGAAAGGCGCGACTTCAGACGAGGAAATAGGGCGTAAATACGCTTACAGGGTGCGTATGCCTCAGCACATGCTTTCGTCCTGTCTTCCTTCTCGTTATGGTTCGTGCGCCTTTATGGACATCTTGATCGCACCGACGTCGGCGAAAAGAAGCTTTGCACTACGAGTCTATTCTAGAGCTGTGCTCATCCATCTAATGCTGCCACGCTGCTCGCGTTTTCCGCGCGTGTTCGCTGTGCTATTCCGACATTAGCACTCGAGCCGTTGCTAGGAAAACAGTAATACATAATTCGTACTATGCGATATAACACAGTGGCACGCATGTATTACTCATATCTCCAGCCACTGTTTAACTATATCATCCAACAAGGCTGAACCCCACCTTCCCTGACGATCATCGCGGCTGCCATCCAATACCGAGACCTGACCTCTCCTCACCAAAAGACCTTCCCCCGCTAAACGCCGATGGTTAGAACAACTTGCAGCAATTTGCCATCCAGCAAGCCCTTACTACCATTCTTTGCGAATTCATCATCGACGAGCAAAGTACGACGTAAGCATAACAGCACTCGCAATGGCAGACACACAACCAACCACGTTCACTCTGCCCGGCGGGCACCGTTTACGCTACACTCTCACGTTTCCGGGTGCACCTGAGCGCCGCACAATCCTCCTTTCGAGTCTGCTGGCAACCACGGCAGCCGTCTGGGATGACGTTGTTGCCGTCTTGCACCAAAATGGCTTCCGGGTGCTGACATATGACCATCCAGGCCACGGCGGCTCGACGGTCAGGACAAAAGACCTTGCGGAGAATACACTCGATGGCATGGCCGACGACGTGTACACGCTGGTCGAATCCATAGGGATCACACAGCTGCACGCCTGGATTGGCTGCTCGCTCGGCTCTGCAACTGGCGTTGTGTTTGCTGCCCGCCACCCGGGTGTTGTTCGCCGCCTCGTCGTCGTCGACACCATCAGCGCTTCGCCCGCCAACGCGGGTGTCGCAGACGCGTTCAGCCCGCGGGTAAAGGCTCTTCGCGACGGTGACCAGACCCTTGAGGCCGCGCTGGCCCAGACCCGCGAGCGTTGGTTGGGTGAGGAGTGGCTCACGGCACACCCTGACAAGCGTGCGTGGCTCGAACGGTTGATGGCACAAACCACCATCGACGGCTTTGAGACATGCATTGCGGCCTTGCTGTCATCGCAGTTTGATCTTCGTCCACTTGCTGGCAGGGTGGCCAGCAGCGGCGTAGAGCGTGTGCTCGTTGTCGTTGGGGAGAAGGACGCCGATCTGCCAACATCCATGAAGGCACTGGCAGACCAGATGCGTGATGGGTCAGGCAAGGACATCGGCTTTCACGTCTTGCCTAATGCTGGCCACGCGTCCTTTATTGACGCATATGGCACATGGCTGGATGTTGTTCTTCCGTTTCTTAAGGACAACTAAGTAAATATGACTGCAAGGACGCCTACGTGCTTCTTTAACTTGATGAAAATGGTTGGCTTGACTACTAGTTGTTGCCTTGTTTTATTTAAATTAACGTGAAGTATTATTAGTATTGTTATAGTATTTTATTTTCCTATTATTTATACCTGAGCAGAGAAGGATGCTTATTTTATATTATTTTATATTATTTACCAACTTTCACTTTTTATTTTTACGCAAGTTCTTTTTTTTTTTTTTTTTTTTTTTTTTCGAAAAGGAACCTTACAAATTACACACATCTGACGAAATCTTCTAATTATGCAATCATAAGTATTGACAGTCACGGAAGGTCTACAACATGATACAAAGAAAGGAACAAAAATAATAGTCACCACAACCTGCTATTTCATTTCATAATTCCCATCACGTCACCAAGTTCGCCCACGAATATGTCGTAATTTCCGAACCTGAGCAACAACCAACTAACAAACAAAACAGCCCTCTTCAACCTCATTTCAGAAGGTACAAATAAAGAAACAAGAAGCAAAACAGGACGGAATAAATCGTCTAGCCCTAATGTTACAGTACAAAAAAACAGGCCACAGCCTGACCGGGAGTCGAGAAAGCAGTAGGGAAATAGGCGAATCAACACAACGGATGCCGCATTGCCCTCCCCACGCTCGGGGCCGTTGCCTTCGTTGCCAGGAGTATTCGTAAGAGCATACCAGGCCTGAAGTCTCACCCGTTCAATTGGGACCGAGCCACTTCCGCATCGTAGCATGAAGCCGGGTATCGTGAACGGGAAGTAGCTAACGAGAGGTCGCACTCCCAGGTAGGTAGGCGGTGGAGAGGGTATCGTGTCGTTGGCATCTCCACCTCTGATATGGCCCGTTCATTCTCCGCAATAATGACTTAACGAGACACAAAACGTTCAAAATGGAGGGCTAGCGAGCCCGGAAACACAAACAGGAAAAAAGGTAGTGAAGGTTTAGCCATGGCAACAACGAAGTAGAAAAGAAACTGGTCGTAAGTAGACGCCAGTAACCATGCACCCGTTTGTACGCTCATGCCTCGAGGGCGGCCTTATTCTTCTTCTTCTGCTCGACCTTCAGGAGGAGAGCGCGGTTGATGTGAGGCAGCACACCACCAAAAGCGATCGTGGCGCGAATCAGGGTGTCGAGCTCCTCGTCACCACGAATGGCAAGCTGCAGGTGGCGAGGCGTGATGCGCTTGACCTTGAGGTCCTTTGCGGCGTTCTAGTGGGGAAATAGCTGTCAGCGGATGATCAAAGGGGCGGCTTGCAGCCACGAGCGCGAGGGAGTGAACTTACGCCTGCCAATTCGAGAACTTCGGCAGTCAGGTACTCGAGAACAGCCGTCACATACACCGCAGCCTTGGCGCCAACGCGCATCTTGTTCTGGGTGTTGGCCTTGAGGAAACGCTTAACACGACCGCATGGGAACTGGAAAGAAAGTCAGCAGTTGCAAGCTAGTAGTCGTAAAAGCCAGCCTTATCTCGGCAAATAGGCCTGGTCGATGCGTAGATGCGCAGTTCGTGGAGGATGCCGCGTCAAAGAAGGCGTGTCGTGGGGCCATTATGTGTTTGGTGTCACGCCGCAAGTGCAACGACGGAAAGAAGAAATGACCAATGGCGAGAAGCGCGCCGGCTTTGGATATGCCTCTCGAGTCACGAGTGCTGAACGGGAAGGAAACGAGACGTGTAGAAGCTGCTCGGGCGATGATGCTGCCCTGCCAATCGTGGCTTTGCGATCGTTTTTCGTCAGGCGCGCCGGAGAGACTTTGGGCGACATCATATATAGTTGCGCGTCTTCTTCGAGAGCGCATCGTGGCGCATGTTGTTTTGTTCGGGAGAAGTCGAGAAACAGGCGGAATCAATGTGAGCGTAGCTGGTACGCGTGTTGCTTCGACGTCGAGACAAGTATCGAGGAGTGCCATCGCATGCGACCAACTCACGCGCCAGGAAGAAAGGCAAGCAACATCTCGTAAACAGGCGTCGACAGGCGCGAAAATCACAAGAAAGTTGAAAGAAAAGTTCTTACCTGCAAACCAGCGCGCGCCGAGTGACTCTGCTGCTTCTTGGGGCCGTCTGCCGAGGTCTTGCCACCGGAGCTCTTGCCGCCCGACGATTTTCCCTTGCCGCCAGCCATTGTGTCACGAAAGCGAAGTTGGCGATGGATAAAAAATTATCGAAGAAAGTCGCGAAAATTCGATTGATTTTTCGCGAGGTGGTTGAAATCGAGATGGAGGGGATGCAGAGGCGCAAAAAGGTCGGTAGTTGTGGTGGTGTATGGTGGTGGTGATGATAAGAAAAACAAAAGTGAAAAACAAAAAGAAAAAGGCGAGAAAGTGCGGTTGTTGTTTTGTTGTGATGCAGAGACGGGGGGAGCAAAAGGCAGATATCGATAACAATGCACGCGCTGATTTGGGGGGGAGGGGGGGTCCCGATTTTGGGGTACGCTGGCGAAACGTGCAGAAAACAGTTCTGAGTGGCGGGTCGCTGCCTGGAATTTGAACGCAATGGGAAGGAATGCAACTGCAATTCAGAGGCGATACAGTAAGGCCGTTTTGCGTTTTCCCTTCTGTTGCCAGACAGGCCTTTTTCACTCACTTGAAGTTGGGGCGCTGGGGAGCTAAAGCTCTCTGGAGATTCGCAGTAGCAAAATGTTGGCTGGCGCTGGTTTCTTTGTTTGTTTTCCTTCTGTCTTTGGTGGAAGAGACCGCCCAGCACCCGAAGAGAGCGGTTTCCAGCGGCAGAAATAGCACTTTCCTTTGTTTTGATTTTGACGGGTGACACAGGAACAAAGGCGAGCCACTAGGGTCACCGATTTTGCCCCACTTTCAACACGTGACCAAAGGCCTCATGAAAGTGGCATGGGCAAGATGCACAATCGATGAGCGTGAACGCTGAGACGAGGTCGGCGAAGAAAGGTACCGGACGAACGGAGTCTCTCGTAAAGTTGAATACAAAGTGCCATGTTTGAGAGGAGAAAACCTGGGATTGGAAACTGGCAGCTGTCGGTCGAACTTCGAACTGTCTTGCCTCGAATTCGGCTCATCGCTGGATGAGAAAGTTGGCCAGAGAAAGTGGCCAGATGCCAAGATTCTGCGCATCCTCTGTACTTGTACGTGTAAGAGCGTGTCAAGGATCCCATAGGTTATACTCACCACTGAGTCAAACAAGTGCAGATGTTTGCTGTTGAAGATGCTGGTGCAGCTCTGGTGCTGTCGAGTTTGACGCTCGCAGGTCTACGTGTTACGTCGGTGAGATAATTCTTGGTTAGCGGAGAACCTGTGGCTGTGTTGTGGCGCTAGTTCCTGCCAACCTTGCGGAGGTCCGTCTACGTCGAGAGATACAATCAACGGCGTCAACACCACTCAAGGCCGTTGAGACTACTGCTTAAAACTGCAGAACGCTTCGATTCAATGTTTTAAATGTATGCGGCGCTCAACAAAATGCAAAGGCCAATGTGAGAAAACGGAAACAAAAGACAAAATCAAAACAAAGAAGCAACACACATGTGCTTTCCTGTTGTACAATCAAGCCGCCTGTGCGCCGTTGCAGCAACAGCTTTACTATAAGATACATTCCCAAATACACACATTACACCTTCAAGACTCCCTGCACCAAACGTCACCGGAACGGACACAGGCTATTGTCCTCCCAAACACGACCGTGTGGTCTCGTTACCGTGCAAACACCTTGACCACACCGTCACCACCACCGCTGACAACCCACCGTCCATCCTGGCTCCAGACGACCGAGCAGACGCCCTCACCGCGCATGATCCGGTGCGACGTGATTTCTTGTGTGCACGATCGTTTCTCGAGACTCCAGAACCGGAGCGATGCGTCGTGGCCTGCACTGACAAGTTCACGACCGTCAGGGCTGAGGGAGAGCCCAGAAATAGCCGCCGGGTGCGCCAACATGTTGTACGTACATTGGCCTGGAAGAGTTAGAAACCGTGCGCAGGAAAGCAGGAGGAACAAAACCAAAGAGATGAAAACAGAAGACAACTCACCGCTGTTCGCGTCGAAGAACCGGATGAACTGGTCCTCGTGGCCCGAAATAATCACGCCCTCGACACCTGACCCCGCCATGGACCGACGCCCGCCGCCTGTAGGTCCTCCGTGACTCCCGCCTCCACCAAGATCCTCGTCGCCGAGCTGAGGCTGCTCGAGTCCAACAGTCGTCGCCACCACCGCGTTCACGCTCGTCGCCGCTGTTCCATCGTAGGTTTCGAGGCTGGCCATAGACCCAATCTCCTCGCCGGTTCGTGTGTCGTAGACAAGGATTGCTGCATCCGAATAACTTACGACAAAGGTTCCACCACTGCTGCTCAGGGCTGTAATGGACGTCGGACTGGCCTTGGAGTTGGCGCGGACAATCGTGTGAATCAGCGTGTAGTTGAAAGGGCTGTTGCTCGCCACCGTTGGCTGCGGACTACTCGGGAAGCCCGACCCCGAGCTCATCGAATTGCCCCGTACGCGACCACCGGTTCCACCAACGCCACGCCGGTTGGCATTCGGTGCCGCACTGCCTGGCTGCGGCGAAGTCATCTGAGGCGGCGCGCTCACTGACCAGACGCGGACAGTACCGTCGGCCGCACCAGAGGCGAGGAGAATGCGATCTGGGGAGCCGTAGCTGGTGCTGCTCTGGCCAAACACGGCGCCAAGCGTTGCTGGGAGAACACACAACGCCCAAACGGCATCGGTGTGGCCGTCAATCGTGGCCTTGGGGTCAACCCGGCCGCGCTCCCACACCCGAATAAAGTTGTCCTGTCCGCCGGAGAATATCCATCCATCGCCCTGCGCACGTCCACCGGTCGAGAAGTTCGGTGCTGCAAACCAAGAGGCGAGGCATAGCACCGCGCCGTGGTGGCCACGGTGTGTAAAGTCCGCCTGCACATCTAGGTCAGACACATTGCCCGAAGCCAAATACGTCGTCCGCGGAATGTGGAAGCGTTTTATCAAGCCATCGTCACCGGCCGTGCAGATCTCAGGTTCGCCGGGACTGCCGCCGCCAGAGAAAATAACCGTACGCACTGTGTCCAGATGCCCACGGAGCCCGAACCGCATTTTGAAGTTTCCATTCTCCGTCTTTTGCGCCTTCTGAGAGGTGGAGTTGAGGGACAGCTCATGGTCTGCGCTCCGCCGTCTAGACATGCTACCCTTCCGGCGGTGAGAGCCGGGAAGGCGGTTCGGCGATTTCGGTATACTGTCGGCTGCAGGGAAGATATCGGTGTCTGGGCGGTTGGAGACGGGCTGCTGTTGCGTCGCGGACAAGGGACTTGGCTCCGGGAAGGAGGCCGGGCCGTCGTTGAAATCCCACGCGTCGGGCTCGGTCGTAGCCCCAGCTTCGGCGGTCTTTTCGCCTAGGGCGACAGCCCGTGAGTCAGCCTGGCTGACCCGGTCCCGATCTTCCAAGGGATGGCTGCTTGATGTCGTCTGCGCTGCCTGGGGTGGCCAGTCTGATGCTGCAGTCGCGGCTGCGTATGCCGAAGCATTCACATCTGCACCAGATCTTGTCATGGGCGCGGGCTGCAGCTCAGCACCTCTCGTCGAGGGGTAATTGCCAGCCTGGACCTGTTGTTGCTGGTGTTGCTGGTGTTGCTGCTGCTGTTGGCTGACATGGTTGGCAGCGCTCTGCGTCTGTCGCAGATTCTGTGCTTGTTGAGCGGCCCGTGTTGGAGGGGGCGCGAACTGCTCCATCTGCTGCTGGCCGGCCGGAAGGCCAAAGTCGTCTTCAGGGAGGTCGTCCATGAGAGGTAGAGGGGGGGATTCGCGGGGTGGCATAGGGTTGGCGGGCGTAACCATGAGGTAGGTGAATTCGGCCTGGCACTGGTCTAGGAAGATACGCAAGTCGGATCGCTGGTCGTCTTCATCGCCAACAGCAAGGCTGCGGCCGCCGTACTCGGGGTTTGCGATCGATTGCGAGTGTTGCGAGTCCTTATCGTCTTGAATGCCACGGAGCTTCTCGAGGATCTTGGATGCTTGCTGTTGCTTTTCAGACTCGGGGCGCGTGTCTGTGGCATCGGTACCCGACGCAGATGACTTGAGTAGTGCTGATTGGTCTTTGACCTTCTTCTCCAGGATCGTGACGTATTTCTTGAGTGCCTTCTGTGTCGCGTCGGCTCGCCGCGCAGAGCCTTCCAGGGATGCTATCCGGCCCTTCATCTCTTGCTTCTCAATCTCCCACGCATTGCGATCGCGTTCGTGTCGGTGCCATTCTGTTTGTAAAAAGCGCATGACGCCTGTATTGCGGTTAGTCAATATGCTCCCCTTTAGACGGTAGTTGAAAAGAAAAGACAAATCAAGCGGTTTCTCACCTTGCAATGTGTACTCGGTCCCGTGCGGCTGGCTGCCAGCATTGCCAGGCCCGCCGCCAGACATGTCGTTCGAGACGAGTCCGCCCAGGCCACCGCCCGAACTCGGCCCCATATTGCCCTGGCCGTTCCAACTCATGCGCGCAACCAGCAGAGGCCCTTGCTGTTGCTGGTCGCCCTCGTCAGAAAAGTGGCACGAGACGTCCGCAGTATTTCTCCGCTACAGGCGTGACCAGGTCGAAGAGGCATTCGCCAAGTCCAAAGCGCGCGATTCAGTCCGTCGGTTGGGTATCGGAGACGCGAATTGAAACGATGAGGATACCAGTAAGCCGGGGAAAGAGTAAGACGTGAAAAGCAACAATGTGTATGGGAGCCTATACAAAGACGCGAAAGCTGGATGCCGTTGATATGCGATGCAGAAACCGGGCCGGCGAAATGAAGAGATTTGAGAAAGTATCGTACACGCAACACACGTCGGAATCGAAGCGTGGCAAGAAAAAGAGGGAAACTCGAGAAAACGACAACAGGGCGGGAAGAATGCAGCCTCACGCAAATGTCGTATGGAGAGAATAAGGAAGGAGAAGGACAAGGCTGGCTGGAGGTCGTGCTTGCCCTTCCTCAGTTGCAGTTGACGAGGGAAAAAAATAGTGAAGAGCACGTCGGCCAGGTGCTCCAAGCTGTTGACCACTCTGCTGTTTCATTCACACTACTCGAGGATGGCCAAGCTCCTTCTTCGTTGCTGCAAAAACGGTCCAACGCAGCAAAAGATGGGGCTGTCTAGCAACACGCTAGCCAATCACAGCTACTGTGACGGGGACTTCAGGCGCCAAGGCATCAACGGACAACATAGTAGCGCTGGAGCTTTATCACTCAGGGGCTGATCTCAGGGGCGAGAAGCGCGTTCAGCGACGTGGCGCGCACAGATGCAATTTTAGTTTACAGACGCCGCACGTGACCATTTATGGATTGTTAGGTTGGTTGAACAGATTTGATTTCTTGATTTTTCGTCAGTCGTGGGATCATTACCGGTATATTAAGTCGTACACCAGCATCAGTCGTATCATCCAAAATGCACATATCATACAAACCCGTGGTGCTCTCTAAAACTCCAGCTCTTCAACTTCCATGCCGCACGAGATACAACGCTTGACAGACATGCCATTGTCGTTTTCAATGGCACGTCCCCACTCGTGTACATGACGGCCTCTGTTTCCAACAGCATCGCCAAAGGTCGTGGCCTGTGTCTCGCCGTCTGCTGATCCCTTTCCTGTTGCGTTGCGACGGTACGCCTCCGACCGGGTCTTCTTTTTGAGCTGCAGCAACTTTTCCTTGAACTTTGCGTCTTTGCGACGCTTCTTATCGGCCTCGCGGCGTTCAAACTCGGCATCGAGAGCCTCCGCCGATCCCCATTTTGTGTTGATAGCGTACTCTTCCACCTGGCAGCGGAGGAACAGCATCATGTCATGCCAATGTGACTTGTGGGGGTTTGGCTTCGAGAGATGCGGCAGAAGCTCTGCATCCTTCAGCTCAGCTAGGGGGGGACGTCAGTACATATGCAAGACTATGGTCGATGGTAAGAAAGAGGCAACCTACGATCGGTCAAGAGATAGTCCTCCCGGCACTCTGTCTTGGTGAGGAGACTGTACTTTTCAGGAAATTTGTCCTTGCAGGGGTTGCAGACACAGATGTGGAAGACATCCTCCCAGACGAAGTCAATCTCGAGGCTGTTGCACTCTACGCATCGCTTCTGATCTGTTGCCTCGGCCAGGACACTGAGACCCGGCTCGTAAGGCCCTTGCTTGAGCCGCTTGAGGTTGCGGATCGTCTGCATTCGCTCCCACTCGGCCACGGTCATATGCGCAGGTCGCGCTTCCTGTCCGTTACCGCCCCGGCTGGTATCTGCAAACGCTTTGTTGAACGGGTCGTCGTCCGTAGACAAGAAACCGCCCTTGGTGTCTGTCATGGCGCTGAAATTGTAGTCGACGAACTTGGCAAACTTCTTCGCCGGTCGGATCTCGACATCCTGAGCGCTTCCCGCATTGCGGCTGTTCGCCGGCACGTCAGACACGGCAATGGATGCGTGTGGCCGCTTGCTGGGGCTGTGAGTGACGTTCGTGGAGCCTGTCGCCGTGTTCGGCGCACTTCTCGTGCCCCGCGCATTCTTGTCGCCGACGACGTAGACATCATCGGATGCAAGATAGCCCCTGGCCGGGGGCTGACTCGTTCTGGTGGCGCGTTGTGCAGCGAGTTCGTTCTGCTCTCGTAGCTCTTTAGATCGCAATCGTACTTCGTCCTATAACGCAGACACCGGAAGCAACAACGCTATTAGTGGCTGTCTTTAATAAGGTGAAGAGGCAAGCTGAAAGTGACGGCTGTGGCTTACCGATTGTCTGTTGTTGGCGGACGTGGTTGCGGCCTGCCCGCCTGCTCTTGTTGAACGATCCATCGGCGTGTGTGGTAAGAGGACAGATACAGCTGCCACCTTGTCAACTGCAGCGGAAAGTGGAAGGGAGAAAAGACAAACGGGAGGCGCTGATTGTGATGACGTTTTATCATTCGGTATTGAACAGAGGCAAAAGCGACGGTGCGTATTAGTCAGTTTTGCCAGGCGGAAAGAGGAAGCGGTGCCAAAATACTAAGGGCCCAAGAAACGCGGGCGCATTTACACAGCGCCAAAGGGCATAGCTGAATCACGGCTAGCACCGGGCCGCACCAGGCTTTTGTCACTCGGTTTGGTAAAGCAGGGTTTGTGGAGCAATTTGAGAGAAAACGTTTATTAAAATCTATGTTTATAGCACTGTCGCCTAAGTATACAACGATAGTCAACCATCGCGCCAGCGAGTGCAGTATTTAGGGCGTGTTCCATCAGGGACCTTCCCTGTTAAAAAGGCGAAAAAAGGACCAGTGAAAAAAGATGACAAGGCAAGCGACAAGGTAGCAAAACCAGAGTGGGTAACGGAGATGGTCGCGCAAACTGTTCTTGGGCCTCGTGGTGAGTGAGATGGCCTGTTTGTGCCATCGCTTACTCCTCCTTTACGCCACCATGGCCGGCGCGCTCGGCAGCCTCAACGGCCTTCTTGTCGCTCTGAGCAGGGCCGCTCTGCAGACCGCTCATGAGGCCTCCGCCGGTCTTGAAAGGGCGCTTGAGGTCGCCGGACGCGGGCTGGCCGAAGATGTAGATCTTGGAGAGGTTGGCCTCGAGGGCGCTCTTGAGGGGGATGATGGACTGGATCAGGAGCGGGTTGGTGTACTTCATGTACAGGTGCATGAAAGCCATCATGCCGACACCCATCAACTGCCCGCGCATGAGCTGCTTCAGCTGGCTCTTGTCGTAGGCATGAACGGTGGTCGTGACGAGCTTGCCCTCTTCAGACGAACCCATCGGGGCAGGCTCGACATACTTTAGAGTCGTGAGGTCTGCAGGCACGAGTGTTAGTAGTGGTATGGGCCGGGGCGAGACGCTTGCGACGAGGGACTCTATTAGAACGCACCCTTCTTCTTGTTGATTTGAGCCTGTATGTACAGGTAAATGGCCAGGATAATGGCGTTGCTGGCGGCGTAGGCGATGCGCACCAGCTGGAGGGTCTGCGGGTCCTCAAAAGGGATGCGCTTCGACACCTGCATCATGCCAAGGATGATGACCAGGTTCGTCCTGCGCAGTTAGCACTCCGGTATGTGTTGGCGCAACAGACGATGTTGCGTGGCAATGCGCTTGACGTGGGCATAGAGATAACGAAACAAAGACGGAAAACAAGAAAGTGACGATGACGGAAGCAGAAAGGTGCAGTTTCACTTACACCTGCGGGCTGATGCTCGAGAGTCCGGCCATTCTGAACGAGTTTGTGTCTTCGAAAGAGGGAAGAGAAAGTCTGCGTCCTTGTTGTCGAGGTCGTGTGACGGTTGTCTTGATGCGATGGAAAGGGGAGAGAAAGGAAGTGCTGGGCCTTGGAAGCTGGGAAAGGAAAACCCCGACGCGAGTCTGTCGAGATTACCCCTGCGGCTGCACAAGAAGAGTTTACGATTTAGGGCCCACGCTGGCGCTAGCATTGCTATGGACGACGCCCCATGGAAGCCTGTCAGTGCCATTTTACAGCGTGCTGGCGCAACTCGGGTAGCGGATGTAATGTTCTTCCGTGCTTTAGGGAAAGGCGAAGGGGGTGGAACGCGGTGGAAGGGACACGTTCTAATTACCTAGTCGTTCTACGTCCATGTCCTGAAGTCGCCGGGGTCTGGAGCTATTGTGTGCTGGAGAACAAGGCCCCACAGGCTGCCACCACCTTCCTTTCTTCGCCATCCTTGGGGGAAGTCTAGCTCAGCCAGGCGTAAAATTCGCCTTGAAGAAAATTGCTAGTCAATACTTTGAGGAAGGGAATCGGCATATCTTTATCTTTATTATACATTTAGAAAAGTTCTGAGAGCCGCCTCCGTTTAAACGAGCCGCTAATTCACTTAAAAAATAGTATCCATCTACTACACGACACGCCGCAAAAAACTCTATTACGACGAGGGTAGTCGAGCGGTCGCCAAGATAAACAAGGCTATACCACACAGCACCACGGCCACAAAAAAGGGCAGACCGGTCCAAAGTCCGCCGAGACGGAGGCCGGCACGGTAGGCGGCCGCTAGTAGTGGACCCGCGATAACGGCACCGGTACTCTCGAGAAGTCCAGCCGCATTATAAAGTGTTCCACGGTGCTCTGGCTCCACGAGGACGGCGGCAAACTACGCAGGATGAGGTTGTAGCCGTTTCCCAGGCAGTACACGACGAGGCCCGCGATCATGGAGGCCGCAGTGGGCGCCAGACCAACCACGAAACACCCGACGATGAGAAGGACACAACTGGCGCGGGCCAGCCACAGGTCACGCTGTTGCGGCGTGCGGACGCCGGCCAGGAGCGGCCACCAGCGGGTCAGCGCGTAGTTGGTGCTGATGGCGGGCAGGAGCACCAGGAGGAGGAGCAGCACGACAAATGCTTTGAGGGACACGAGGTAGCCTGCCTGGGCCCATGACCAGTCGTAGCGGCCACGCGTGAACTGCAACAAGATGTCCTGCGCATGGCGGCCGAGGGTTGTGGTGAGAAGGGTGGCCAGAAGCAGCCCGACCTGGTGGTCGGCACCGTTGAATAGAAACGCCGTGGAGGCAGCAACGCTGGCTGCCGTGTCTGACAAGGCGTTCCGTATGGTCTTTGGTCGGGATGCGGGTCCGGCTGCATCGTTCTCTGCACCGTTCGCTGTACCGTTCTCTGCACCGTTGTCTGTACCTGCAACATCGGTCGAGGTGGGACCCTCCTTTCGTAATGTTTCCGGCAGTGTCAAACACAGCGGAACAACCGGCACAAATAGGGCTAGGCTCAACTGGATCGGCGCCCAAACACTCACACGTTGCATCAAAAAGGCCGCAAGTGAGCTAAAGACAAGCTCGACGGCGAAGACGGCGGCGCCAAAGTAAAAGAAGACGGTCGACCGCGATGCCTCGGGTGACACATCGGACAGCATGGCAAACACAATGCCGTTGAGGATCACCGGCCCGCCACCAATGAAGGTGAAGACGGACGCTGCCCAGGTCAGCCGCACCGGAAAGATGTCGGAGCGCCAGCAGACCAGCAGGTAGAACAGCTGCGTGAGCAGAATGTCCACCATGCAGACGACGAACATGACCTTGCGTCCGTATCGATCCCCGATAATGCCGTAGGGGATAGCCATGAGGATGCCGGGGAGCAGCTCGAGCGTCAACTGCCACCCGCGCAGAAACGCCAATTCGGCCTGCACGTCTGCGTCACCGGAGCAGCCGCGTGTGCCATTGTCTCCATTGTCTCCATTGTCTCCAATGCCCATCCGGCCCATCTGGCGGCAAATAATGTCTTCGAGGACCTCGTAGATGGGAACATCGTTCAGAATGGACGCCGCTTCGACAAGCACCACGGTGCCAATGATGCTTGTGACGGCGTAGATGCTTTTGCGTGTAAACGCAGCTGACTGATTGGAGGTGTTGGAGACATCTCTGTCGTTGTGTACCAAAAGAGGCGAATCTTCGTTGGCCGCACGGGCGTGCCCGTCATTGCTGTCTGTACTTTCCATTGTGCTAGGACCGTGATGACCCTGTTGCCGTGAGTTAATGTGTGGATATCGGTGCTGGGGGAGAAGTTGCAAGACAGGTGGGGTTGACAAAACAACGAAAATATATATCTGGCGAATGTCATGTTTCCTGCACCGCAGCGGCACAGGAGTGGCTGTGCCACTTTTTTTCAAAGCTCGCAACGGAAAGCGGCGAGTCAGTCCAGTAACATAACATTTCCCGGCTCAAATCAACCAACAGACAATACGCGAGAGTATGACGAGTGTTCAGGTGGATTTATCGAATATAAAATCAAGTATAGACGAAGATATGTGAAAAAGATGGGAAAGAAAAGCAAAAGGATAAGAAAGAAAGGAGATGGAGAACAACCGTAGCCACTTCCTCCATCTACTACTCTCGACCGTGTCATGAATGCTGTCTTGAGCTGCGGTTCCACGATGTTGGACTTGAGCCAGTGGTAACCGATGAGGCTCGTGTCAGCATTAAACATGAGCGACTGCCGGGTCGAGTCAATGCAGTGATCTGTGATGCTAGTAGTGTGTATCTCGTTATGACCGGGCCGCTGTGACATGCCAATGTGCATCCACTGGCTGTATTTGACCGTTCCGTCTACATTCACCATGAAGGGGCTGTACCTTCGAGGATAAAAGGCCATGCGAATCTGATTCTGCAAATGGTGTCCATATAAGTGAATTATTGTCTCCCCCACGTACCCTGAGAACTGGGAGATCGCTTCTCCTACCAGACAGTATAATTAATGAAACACGTCGATACTAACCAAGTAGTCGCGCTTGTAAACATAGACTGACACATGTTCGATGTAGTTCCTCCCCCGGAGCATCCGGTTTGTTTGTTGGGTATCCTTGGTATGGCGATTTGGTGCGACCAAAGCCTGCAACAAACGTCACGGGCACGTAGCGGACTGCTTCTTCGGCCGGACGTAGATTTTTATTAGCTTCGATGTCTGTTGACCAAGAAATGTTCTAACATGCTTTGCCAAGTGTGCTTCATTTGCGGTCTGTTTTATTTACCTTTGTGGCATGCAATGCAGTTGTCTATTCATCCCCGGGAATACCTCCCCTTTTATCCTTCTTGCTGTCAAGTCTTGTAAGTCCCTCTCTACCAACTACCACTTCCTGTAACATATTCGCTCACAGCTCTGTCTGTTTTGTTATTGATGCTACGGCGCACACATCTCAACACAGGTCATAACCTTGATGACCCCCACACGAGAGTCTTTGTTTTGAAATCCGTCGTCCATTTATAAGCACTGACTAACATTTTCACAGCCCGGCCAACAACCGACGACTGACGCCAGTTAAAGACGCTCGTACGCCACCTTTTTTTTTTTTTTGCATGTCTCTCACCATGCCTGTGCCTCCGTTCCACAACGTATCTACGCCGCAGCTCCCTTCTCGGCCGCCTGAACGAGGCTCGCAAAGCCGGTCAGCTTGGCACTGCCAAAGTCCTGGGTCCACTTGCCCTTGGCACTGTGGATGCCGAAGCGGCTGGCGTTGTTCGACGGGTCCGCCGGCGCCGTGGCCGACGTCGCATAGGCCAGCGAAATGGCGGCGCTGGCGGGGTCGAGCGTCTTGGCCTCGCTGCCGGCCGCGCCGACCCATGTGCTGCAGCCAGTGCAAATGGCGTCCAGCTGCCAGTGGGTGTCGTTGGTCTTGGACGAGGGCAGCACTTTGTAGCTGGCGCCGTCGTAGGCCGTCGGCAGGGTGTGGCCGGTAGCGCGGCGGCTGGACACGACAGCTGTGGCAGCGTTGGACCAGCCCACCGTCAACGGGTTGTTGGCCATGGCGCCGCCCCAGGCGACAGCGGCCCACCCAATGGCCTTGGGAGCAACAATGGAGAGCGCAATGTCGTACGGCGCGGTCGCGGTCGCGGTGTCGGGAATGGCGATGCGGAACGAGACGCCGTTGGGCGAGACATACTCGGAGTAGCAGATCTTGGACGTGGCGTCGCAGGCCTTGGCGTCCGAGGAACGTGGCAGCAGCTCCGTGGCAGGTGCAGCGAGGGCCGACGCAGCCAGCGCCAGGGATGCGAGTTGGACACGAACCATTGTGCAGATGTTGCAGATGTGGAGAGAGATAAGGACGAGTTGTTGTTCGCGATTCGTTGGCAGGAAGAAGGAATGCAAGAGAAACGATTGTCTGACGTTACAAAGTGCCAAACCAAAAGGAAAGGAAACAAACAGAAAGAGAAAGAGAGACGAGGGCCGACGCTGTGGCAAGGGGAGGACAGGATGGCATGCCTTTATGAGAAGCTGCTTCCAGGAGCAGTGGAAGTGGCCGTTGCCCTGTTTCCCAGCCAAGTGAACCACGACGTTTAGCCGACCCTCGCTGTCTACCGATAAAAGAGGAGACGAGGGGAGGAGATGACGAGGAAACGAGCTCCGTCATGTTCTTTAATTAGAAGTAAAAGAAGAGGAGAACGAGGTAGGTACATTGGGAAAGCAACAAGCAATGCATCAATAACTGGACGTCATCCAAGCGATCATCCCGCTGCTGGCAGTCCGTCCTCGACTGGGCCTAGGTCCCGAATCGGCCGTGCTGGTTAAAGGGTAAAGTTGGGTAAACTCCCCTTTCGTTTGCTCTGGACCAGATGGCACATCACTCGGTGCCTGAGCAGTCGGCACCTGCAGAGCAGTTGACCATTCAGGTGTGCAGTGTTGTGGGAAGTTGCATTGTCAGCCGGCAAGGAGCTTATTCCACGGTTAAGTTGCTATATGAAGGGACAGCAGCCGTAGCAGGCCAACGAAAAGTGGCTATAAGAGAGCGAAAACAAAAAGATTGGAGTTGCCAGGACGTCCAAGTGTCCAGAGATAGCGCGGCCAATATGGCCTCATCAACAAGGCAAAAGTATCTCAAGGATGGTGCTTCTGCCCGGCCTAAATGAAAATGCATAGTGTCTTCATCCAAAATCAAAGCCTTTTGTCAATGCGTTGCCGTCACTTATACGACATACACATCGCAGCTGTGTTCTCTCTGGCTAAATGGTAAAGGGAGCTCCAACTACCAAAGTGGTAGCAGAGCTTATTATCGGAGGTCCGCACGGAATCTTCGGCGCCTTAAATGCTGCCCGTTCCTGTTTCTTTTATTTTCACTTCGTCCCGTCCGCATCCATTGCCCAATAGTACTCGTCAAGTTAGCAATCACCGGTTCCTTAATATACAACACGGCAGACGGCCTATGAGGAGGAGCATTTGTCACCAGGGAGAATCTCGTTTTTCCACGATTTTCCACCAAAACGACTATATGGATCGGGGAAAACAAACCCAAACCGGACCCGAGGATCGTGACTGTGGGCACTGAATTGCAGCAAAGCGCCGTGTGGCCCTATGTTTGCATCTCCACTGCCGTCTCTCTACTTTGGATTTCGTTGTATCTCCTCGTAGCAGACCAGGGCAATTCCCGCTTCTGTCTTACAAAAAGTGCTCCACAGCCTCCCAGAATGCCTGCGGGTTCTCGTACATGGGCAAGTGGCCTGCCTGGGACACAATCTTGAGCTCCACGTCTCCCTTGCCAATGTTCTCGCGGAAGGCCCCCATGGCCTTCGCCAGAGCACCCTTGCCGTCGCCGTCGCCGACAACAAGAAGGCCGGGCACGCGCAGCTCTTTGGCGGCGGCGCGCATGTCAAAGCTCCACAGCGCCTGGCAGCTGTACTTGAAGCCCTCGCGGTCGTTGGCCGCAACCATGCTGACCATGTCCTGTGTGGCCTCCGGCCTGGTGCTGACGGTCTCCGGATGGAACCAGCGCGAGACCGTGATGCCGGCCAGCGTCTCCATGCCGGTCGGCGTGTCCTCGGCAACGCCAATGCGCTCCTTCCAGGCGGCCGTGTTGGCGTCGCTGCTGAGGATATTGAAGTCGCAGGCAATGAATCTGCCCACAAGCTCCGGGTACGTGAGTGCAAACTGGAATGTGGTCGCGCCGCCCATGGACACGCCAATCAGCGCCTCCAGCTTGGCGATGCGCAGGTGCTCGAGCACGGCTCGCAGATCGTCCGCGAGCATGGACACGGTCGCAGGCACGGGCGGCGAGGGGATGGCATGGCGGCCGCGCGTGTCGTAGCGCATGATGCGCAGCCCGGGGCGGTGCGTCTTGAGGATGGCGACAAAGTCGTCCCACATGTGCAGCGACGTCAGCAGGGAGTTGGAGAAGGCGACAATGGGCGCACCGGGCGCGGCACTGCCCTCGAGGCGGTAGGGGATCTCGAGACCGTCGGACGTCGTGACATACGACTGGAGAACCGCGTCCCGGCCAGGCGTCGAGGCCGTCTTGGCGTCCGTGGACACAAAGGCCTTGGCGGCCGGCAGCGGCGCGAGGTGCTCGAGGTCGCGCGGCGCGCTCCCAAACACGTAGAAGAGCGAGTATGTGCGGCGGCCCTTGTTCGCCACGTACTTGGAGAAGACGTCGGTGCGCCGCGGCGTGTCCATGGACGCCTTGTGCGCGGGCCCGCCCAGGCCGTTAGTCGCCTTGTACTCGTGCAGCGTGACGATGCGCAGCGGGGCGCTGCCGTTGGGCGGCAGGTCAAGACTGGACGTGCGGAACCGCCGCGTGCGCAGCCAGCCCGGCACCTTGGTCAGCATGCCAAAGTGCTCCTCCTCGTACCAGCGCACCAGCTCGGCCTCGGCCGTCTCAGCGCTTTCGGCGGTCTCGTTCAGCGTCACGTCCACGTACACGAGCACAGTGCCGTCGGCCGCGCCGTCGCTCTGGTCCGCCGGCGGCACAAAATCGTCGGCCTGGCGCGACGACTGCAGGTCGAACAAGTAGCGCTTGACGGCCACCTGGCCAATGGTCGCAGCCTCGCGGGGGCTGCGGTTGGCGCGCAGATCTGTGTACACGGGCTGCGTTAGAATCGCCATGTCCGTGACGTCGTACGTGGCCAGGAACATCGGCTTTTCGCCGTCGGTTGCGCGGTAGCGCTGGCCCGTTGTGAAGATGGCCGGCAGTCGCAGCCGCGTCGGGCCGTGCTCGTTGTTGTACCACTCGTGGAACTGGTCGAGCGACAGGCCGTCCTGCGGCTCCATCGTGACAAAGAGCATGCCGGGGGTGGGCGTAGAAGAGGCCATGGTGGTGGCAGAGAATAAGAAGGAGGAGGAGGAGGAGGAGGAGGAGGAGGAGGGCGAAGGAAAACGTAGAAGAGGAAGGAGTCGAAAGACAAGAGGCTCAGTACCTTTGGCGGTTCGTAAGCGTCCCAACGACAAACAAAAGATGTGTCTATGTCGTCGGTTTGATGAAGCCAATTTCGTCGATGCTAAGTAGAGTCGATTCAATGGGGCTGCAGTTGCTAAGATGCAGATCTCAAACTGGTCAAAAAGGAAACCCGGCTGGCTCTGGCAGCAATCCAGCGAGTCGGGGCGGCCCGTTCAATATATACCAGGTTTGAGGCCCTTTGTGGTCGCCATCATGCCGTTCACCGGCGATGCAGCGCGGCGGGATTGCGGTTCGGCAGTGAGGGTGGTGGGGCAGCTCTCACTGCACGGGACTGCGCTGAGTTAGTGCTGGGAGACCGCTGGAAGGACGCTCGCGGGGAAGAGTACTTCCTAGCTCTAGGTTCGTGGCGAGACTTGGCCTGGTACCTGAAGAAATGTCCCGAAATGGAAAGGCACGTCTCACGCGTCGTGCCTGGAGCCGTTCGCTCTTTCTCGTCAATGGAAGATTGCATTTGAATGTCTCCGCCTGCCAGGATGATGACTTGGCCGGCTGAGAGCGCAGGAGCACTGGAGTCTACCACAGTATGGGTCACAGCCTGGAGCAGTGGAGACTCGCAATGGCAACTGCCAGGGCCAATGAAGAGCTGGTCGCGGTAGCTTCGAGGCCAGTCGCGCCTGCCTCACGGCCTCGCGATAGCTCAGACGCACCTGCCAGCCTTGAGGTGCTTGCCCCATGACTCCGTGCCTTCCTTGGATTGCAGAAGCTTGCTTTCACTGGACATCGTGATCTCCACCACTGTCCCACTCCTTTTCTTTTTTGCTTGCTCTTCCGTCAAAAATACAGCTGCCGTGCATATCTTCGAATCTCGGTTGCTCCTCGCCGTTCCGTTTATTGCGTGAGGCCATCCGCAGCAACCAGGCCACACGCTCATTCGCTTGCGGGCAAACGGCCACACAACCTTTTCACCATCACCTCAGCTTTTCAACCCCTCCTGGCCCCTCCTAACCCGTCCATTGCTTCTGTCTCAGCTGTCGTTCCATTGTCCGCTTCCACTTCTTCAAATTCCTCGTCGCCTCTTCTTGTTCATCGCTTCACTTCCCGACGTCCCGGCCATGTCCAGCTATGGAGGTCTTCGTCCACAACCTGCCCGCCCAGGGCAACCTTAGCAGCCAAGGCTTGCTGCTGCAGCTGCGGCCATTTATGCGGGACCTCAAGATTTCCGACACTGCATACGACTGTGAAAAGGCGGCCACGAAACGGCACGCCTTCATCACATTTCTGTCAGAAGACGATGGCAAGCGCTTTCTCGGCTCCCATGGCGAGGTTCCGCTCATCAGCTCCGTTTCTCACGGCAAGGGTCCTCCCCGTGGCACCGCTTCGCGGTTAAAAATCCTCGGTGCCCATGTCATGTGCCGGAAGAGTAACCGACCTCCGAGCCGCGCCTCACTCGGAGTGCTAGCTGCAAAAGAGAACGAGCGGTTGGGGACTCAAAAGCAGGGCACACCGCACACCGGGAACAAGACAAACTCTGTGGTGACTGGAACCGCGCCGACCGGCAAGCAGACAATGCAACCCACCTTTGCCTCCGCCTCTGCCAACGACAAGTCCTTCATGTACGAGAGATTTAGCTGCGGCTATTACAAGTACATCAATGGCGGCGAGCTCGTTTTTGTTCCCGAGTACGTTCAGGTTGTACAGAAGGGTCTGGCAGAGTTTGGCAAACGGCACTTGACCATCACCAGCGATGATCGTCGCGTGATATACGTCCCGCTGTCCACTATTCAGGAGATTGTCTGGTCTCCCCAGGGGCTCATCACACTCACATTGAGTACGGTGCCCTTGTTTTTCTCTGCCCCAGATGATGCGGGCAAGCGGTGGCGGCTGACAGGCCTCGATGACCGCCATGCCAAGATTGTTGGCAAATGCTTGGTCTATCACATCGTCGTCCGACCAGAGCAGATCCATCGCAAAATGCAGCGTCTTGCCAACTTAGGCGGCTTAACCGTGACCCGGCATGACGTGCACTACGCCGCGGGTCCGGATTTCTCCACCAGCGACGCGAACTTGCGCACTCTCCTCAGCCAGTTCACGACAACCAAGCGCCTGCCGTTCTCCCTCCTGTTGCAGCTTCAAGCCCTCGCCAGCAATGCATATTTGCATCCAGATACGGTGAACAAGCTGGCTCGAAAACTTGCCTCCAGCCACGATACGGCGCCCATTTCGGCCGAGGCAATGAAGAAACTCTTCCAGGCCATTGACTGGCCCACGCCGAATCACCACGATCCGAGCGAGTTCGAAGTGCCTGCCCTCTACGACTACCTTGTCGAAACAGAACAAGGCATGGAGAAAGGGCTCTATGTCCGCGAGGGACTGGTCAACCCCGGCCGCAACCTGACCGCCATCCATCGTGTCATGGTGACGCCGACGCACCAGACACTCCACGGTCCGGAACTCGAAAACAAAAATCGCGTCTTGCGCAAGTTTCCCAATCACCACGACTATTTCATCCGCGTTCAGTTCTGCGACGAGGATGGCCAGAGCCTGCGCTTTAACGGCCGTGTTGACTTTACCCACGTCTACGATCGATTCCGCAGAGCAATGGTCGACGGCATTAGCGTGGCCGGCCGGACCTACATCTTTCTGGGATGGTCTCACTCCTCTCTGCGCTCTCACTCCATGTGGTTCGTGGCCCCTTTTATCGACGACAACGGCCAGCTGCAGACGCACTTTACCATCATCTCTGCCCTGGGCAATTTTGACACAATCTACTCGCCCGCCCGGTGTGCTGCTCGCATTGGTCAGGCGTTTTCAGAAACGCCATTTGCCGTGCCAATGGCCGAGAACAACATCAGTGTCTACGAGATTCCGGACATTGTGTCGTCGACGGACGCCAGTCGCGTCTTCAGTGACGGCGTCGGCACCATCTCGTGGAAAGCCGCCGAGGCAATTTGGAAGCAGTTGCCGCGTGGCAAGAAGAAGCCCACCTGCTTTCAGATTCGGTTTGCCGGTGCCAAGGGCATGCTGGCTCTCGATTCACGGTTGACCGACAACAGCATTTGCCTGCGGCCCTCTATGATCAAGTTCAAGAGCACAGAAATGGCCAACCTTGAGATCTGCGACATGGCCACGCAGCCCATTCCCCTGTACCTGAACCGCCAGTTGATCAAGATCCTCGAGGACATGGGTGTTCCCACGTCCTGGTTTCAAAAGCTTCAGGATGATGCATTGCGCGAGCTGAAGCTCATAACGTCCAGCCCGTACAACATGGCCAGCTTTCTCAAGGTGCAAGCAGTAGCCACGGCCATCAAGCTGCACAAGCTTCTGCTGCTGGCCGATCGTCTGGGCCTCGACTTCCGCACAGATCCCTTCCTGCGCCGCGCCACAGACGCCGTCATTTTGCGCGAGCTGCGTCTGCTGAAGCACAAGGCTCGTCTGTTTGTTCCCTTGGGCATTACACTGTTTGGCATCATCGACGAAACGAACTATCTCCGTGAAAATGAGGTGTACATTACGTTTGATGTTCCCAAGAATGGCTCCAAGTCACGCCGCTTCCGTGCGCCGCCTGGCAATGGCAATCCGGTGATAGTAACACGCTCGCCTGCACTGCATCCTGGCGATATCCAGCGGGCGACAAATGTGCATCCTCCCGCTGCTGATGCCACCCACCCACTGCACTACCTCCGCAACTGCATCGTGTTCAGCTCGAAAGGCGTTCGTGACCTGCCAAGCCAGCTCAGCGGCGGCGATCTAGACGGTGATATTTTCAACATCATATGGGACCCAGTGGTCTGTGACCTGCCCGGGCTCAAAACGTTCGTGCCGGCCGACTACCCGCGCCAAGATCCCGTCAATATTGGGCGGCGCGTGACGACGGCCGACATTGCAGATTTCTTCCTTGATTTTGTGCGCACCGACCACTTGGGTACCATTGCGACACGCCACATGATTCTTGCGGACCAGTTGCCGGAAGGCACACGTGAAACTAACTGTATCCAACTGGCTGCGCTGCACTCGACAGCTGTGGACTTTTCCAAAACGGGCATTCCGGCCGACCTCAAGAACATGCCCCGTGCCAGCCGATACCGACCGGACTTTCTGTCTCCCGGACCGATTGTGGAAGTGCACAGCCGCAAGGACATTGACCTGGAGCAATTCATGGCGAAGAATGTCGACGGCGACGACGCTGACGATGACGAGACGCACGAGCTCGACGCACCCACCTACAAGTACTACCAGTCGACGAAGACGCTCGGCACCCTGTACCGGGCGATTGACGAGCGCCGAATCTGGCAAGACGACGTGCGCTACACAATTAGCAATGGCAATGGCGATGGCGATGCCGACGAGGAGCCCATGTTCTATGATGCCTTTTTGGAATGGGCAACCCATGAGTGCGAGCTGCTTGGCGGCACAAACTGGCAGCAGCGCACAGATGAGGCGCTGCGGATTCGGTCTGCATACGAAGACTCCATTCTGACGACCATGTACGAGTTCTCGGAACACCCGACGCTACCAATCACAGAGCTCGAGGTGTTTATCGGCACGATTGTGAACAAAACAGGCTCTCAGACGCTGCGGCAGCGCGACCGGTCGCGCAAGCTGCGGGACGAGTACGAACGAATCTCCTCGTGGATCACGGCACAGATTCGGCCTCATGGACGAACAAACGAGGGCGATGGTGGTGTGGACGGGGAAAATGATGGAGACGACGGCGAGGAAGACGACTTTGACAAGGAAGGGCGAGACTGGCGGTCGCAGCGCCTTGCAGTCCTAGAATTGTGTCTCGCGTGCACGTACAGCCAGAAGGACGACAAGAAAGATGAAAAGGACGATCGCAGGACGGAACGGAACGGACTCGGACACGCAACGGAAAACAAAAACAACAACCGAGTTGAGTCGTTCTGGCTCGTGGCGGCGTCGGCGCTGATCCGAGAGCTCGAATTTATCCACCGTGGCCTTCGGTTTGATGCCGATTTGCGGCAGGACATGGCGCAGCTGTCGCTTGGTGGTGGACGGAAGTAGTTCTGTTGGACATTTGGCGCTTGACGCCATGAGCGATGTCTTAATGATTTAGTGGCCTGGCCAGTGGGCTGCGAGCCGTGCCGGAGTTAATCCAAGATTTTCAGAAGCGATAGTTTGCCATAGGCATCAATCTTGACGCAATAGGTCGTTGCTAGTCGTAGTCAAACCGTCAATATAAAAATTCAATACTCTTTGGTGACCAGCCTCGGGGCATTCTTGTCTTCACCTGGCATTCAATTCACGCACACGTTGGCCAAAACCCATCCACAGTTTCACTAACCCACGGCGCCAGGGATCACCATGGCCCGCATCTTCATTACCGGGTCGTCTGACGGCATCGGGCTGCTGACGGCCAAGCGCCTCGTGGCTGACGGTCATCGAGTCGTTTTGCATGCGCGCAATGCTAAACGGGCACAGGAGACAGAAGCAGCCTGTCCGGGCGCCGAGGCCGTGCTGACCGGCGATCTGGGCAGCATTGCCGAGACGAAGGCGCTGGCCGCACAGGCGCAAGCTCTTCTCGAAACGGAACCGGGTGCGCGGTACGATGCCGTGATCCACAACGCAGGCGTCTATCGTGGCCAGGACAACGCCGTCAGCCGCGATACGGGCTTTCCACGGCTGTTTGTGGTCAACACGCTGGCACCCTACATCTTGGCGGTGTCGATGGCCGCGCCGCTGCCTCGGCGGCTCATCTTCATCTCGTCCAGCATGCACTACGGCGGCCGGCCCAAGCTCGAGACAATGCCGCGCAGCGTGACGTACAGCGACAGCAAGGTGCACATGGTGATGCTGGCCAAGGCGTTTGCGCGGCGATGGGCCAGCGGCCTCGATGTGTCTGTGTCGGCCGATCCTGGGTGGGTGCCGACGAAGCTGGGTGGCTGGTCGGCCCCGGACAGCATCGACGACTCTGTCGCAACCTATACAGCGCTGGCTCTGGGTCAGGGAGAGGCAAAGGGGAACGGCGGCACAAACGGGGGAGGCGTGAGCGGCAAGTATTTTGTCAACTCGCGGGCGGAGAAGCCGCAGCCGGTGACCAACGACGAGGCGCTGCAGGACGAGCTCATCGCGAAGCTAGCGAGTCTAAGTGGCGTGCCTATGGTGGATATATGACTTCGAGGAAGGCTGGGAGGAGGCTAGGAAATCTCGGATACAATGTGATATTACGAAATAGTGCTTATTCTGGGCTGCTGTCAATGCGTGTCTTCGACGTTAGTTGTCTTTCGAGGTGTTGATTCCCTTTCGAGCCTGTATTGTCTGTCCTCTCATGTGCTGTGCTTTATATCTCGGCTTTCTACTGCACGGTTGCTGTACGTCACCGGTGGCGATCCATCCAGCAAACCGGCGTGTTGCTTGAATTACCGCAGCATATGCTCCGTGCTAGTGATATATCTCCATCAAAATGGAAAGATAAAACCTGAATTAAAGCCGCGATCGTCAACGTGCATATTCTCACGACAGGGGTGTGCGATCGCACATGTTCCAGCGCGTATGCCCACTGTCGAGCCTCTGAAGCCTCAAAATGTCTTGTAATGTTTTGCACAAGCACGACTTGAGGATGCTGTAGGGATTGGTTGGCCCTTGCCGGAGAATAAAAAAGACGGCTGCCAAGACGCCCGTTTGCTTCTGTACGTCGGGCTTGTTTCTTTTCAGTTCGTCTCTTTTGCGACATTGCGCTCTTATGGCTGTGTCCCCACAGCCGAATCTCGATGGCCCATGACGTAGATGACTCTCAGGTTGTGCGTGGTACTGGCCACAATGCCACCATCACCTCTATGCGCAACGCGGGACACATCTCGATGCTATGATCGTCCAAGATGGCTCGTCTTATGGTTCGTCTTTTTTCTGTTCTCAAAAGTGCACACATAAGTATGCGTGTCCGCCATTTTCTTTGTCTTGGAGCAACTCGTCTGTCGTCTCTTGTCTCACTTCGGTCAAGAAGCGTCCCAGCTTCAACATTACCTTCACATCCATCGTTGCCGTCGTTGCTCGAAGTCGTCTTTGACCCTGCGCCGTCTCGCAGCGTTCCACCTTGACCCACCTGTTTCTGTCCTTTCACATTCATATTTCCCCCACATATACCACCATCACCATGGCACCTCCTCCCGTTCCGCTCCTCAGTCCCCGGGTGCCGCAGCCCAGCCGCACGCTGCCGTCGTCCCGTGTGGTTCGCGAATACCTGCTTCGCGTTCGTCAGGCCACTTCGAGCACGGTGACTGTCGTCGCGGATGCGTCGGGTGATGGCGGCGGCAACAACCTGTCGGGTGGTGCCATTGCCGGTATTGTCATCGGCTCCGTCGTCGGTTTCCTTTTGTTGCTCTGGATCTTCCGATCTTGTTTCAACCTCGGCGCACCACCGAACGACGAGCGTGAGGCCTGGTACCGGGACGTCGAGCCGCGCCATGCCCACCACCGCGATCGCCATCGCCACCACCACCACCACCGCAGCCGCAGCCGCGACGACCGTGACGGCCGCTACTACTACAGCAGCGATGGCCGCAGCCACAGCCGTCCGCCCTCGTATGGCTTGTACACGCAGTCGACTCCTGTTGCCGAGCCGGTGCCTGTCGTTGTGCGCGGTAGCAGCCGGCGCCGGCGTTCGTCGCTGTCCAAGGCGCGCAGCCCGCGGCGGTCGAGCACAATCGTGGTGGAGGACTCGAGAGGACGGTATTGATAGACGCGGCGGAGGACGTGATAGCAGAGCGATATTGTAATGTTGTATGAAATGGTGGCAACGCTACCTGGAGAGAATAGGGGCTTGTGAACGGAAAGCTATGCAATAGAGGAAGGAGCCGGTGCGGGCTTGACATCGGAATTGGGAAGGAACACTCGCGCAGGAAAGCGCAACTGGGAAGCACAGAAGAGCATGTACATCACGTGCAACAGCATGTACGGCAACAACATTTATGATACCTTTACGATACTGTCGCGATAGAATGGCAGACGACACGCTTCGTATTCATGACCACAGACTGTCTTCAAATGCTATAATACAAAGTCTACCGAACGACCGAACAGCCCATAGCCCATGCAGAACGCGGCGAAAGTAAACCCGCAAGCCAACACCACCGCATCAACACATCCAGCAGCCTGTCCCTCTCCTACTTCCACAGCTTGCCTAGCGACACCTCCTTGTCGTCGTGCTTGTTGAGGATCTTGGCCGTGGCCAGCTCAAAGTCCTCCTGTGTCACATGCACCCGCCGCTCACGCAGCGCGTACATGCCGGCCTCCGTGCACACACCCTTGAGCTCGGCGCCCGAGCAGCCATTCATCTTCTCGGCAATCTTGGTCAGGTTGATGCCGCGCGTCAGGTTCATCTTGCGGCTGTGGATGCGCAGAATGTCGGCACGCGCCTCGACACTCGGCGGCGGGAACTCGATCTTGCGGTCGATGCGACCCGGCCGCAGCAGCGCCGGGTCCAGAATGTCGAGCCGGTTCGTCGCCATGATGACCTTGATGTTCTTGGTCGGCTCAAAGCCGTCCAGCTGGTTGAGCAGCTCCAGCATCGTGCGCTGCACTTCCGAGTCGCCGCCGCTGCTGCCCTCGACGCGGGACGAGCCGATCGAGTCGATCTCGTCCATGAAGATGATGGACGGCGCGTGCTCGCGCGCCATGACAAACAGCTCGCGCACCATCCGCGACCCCTCGCCAATGTACTTTTGCACGAGCTCCGAGCCCGACACCCGGATGAACTTGCAGTCCGTGTGGTGCGCCACCGCCCGCGCCAGCAGCGTCTTGCCCGTGCCCGGCGGCCCGTACAGCAGCACGCCCTTGGGCTGTGCAATGCCCAGGCTCTCAAACAGCTCTGGGTGCTTCAGGCCCAGCTCAATCACCTCCTTGATCTCCTTGATCTGCTGGTCCAGGCCGCCAATCATGTCGTACGTACTGTCCGGCACCTTTTCCACCATCATCAGCGAGACCAGCGGGTCCACCGACGACGGCAGCATCTTCTCGAGCTTGTAGCTGTCCGACAGCAGCGTCACCCGCTTGCCCACCGTCAGCTTGGCAATGTCGACGCTGTCTGCCACGTCCACCACGTATTTGCCCTCCGGGTGCACCTTGACAAGCACCTTTTTTGTGCTCATCACCTTGACGACCTCGCCCACGTACGACCCGGGCTGCTGCAGCAGGCCCAGCTCTTCGCGCAGCAGCCGCACGCGTGAGTTGTAGTCGTTGCGCTGAGCCTCCAGACGCCGCAGCACCGCCTGGCCCTTGAGGATCTCAAGCTTCATCGCCTCGATCTTGTTCTGGTAGTAGTTGTCCAGCGACATCGTGAGGAGGTGGGGTGGTCGTGAGACCGCCAGTGGGAGAGAGGGTTCGTTGGATCAATAAGTAGTCGCAGAGGTAGTGATCGTGTGGGTTGTTGTTAGAACGTTGATGCGAATGTGCGGTTGTCAATTGGTGCTGCTCGTGAAATGGATCGTGGCGGGTGGACAGTTGTGTGCACCGTACAGCAGCAGTTGAGGTTGGTTGACAGAGCAGCGCCACCCAAAAGCCGACCATCCTAGGCACGGTCAACGACAACGCGTCCAGCGCGTCACGTGAATTGTGGGGAGCTATTGGCAAAGAATGGAGTCCCACTTTTTCTACGTTTCGCTCACATCGCGACAGCTCCAACAACTCGCAATTTGACGACGCCGTGATTATATTGTACAAACATACCACAGGGCACTGCACGATACTACCGTACATGTAGGTATACAAATTTGAAAGTAAAATCCCAAAGCCAAAAAACGAACAAACCAACAAACCAGCAAACACCAAAGTAAATCTTTAGATACAGCGATGGTTGCTTCAGAATATATTACGCTCCAAATTCGCAAACAAGATAGAAGGCGCAAGACGCAAGGCGCAAGGCGCAAGGCGCAAGGCGCAAGATGACAAAAGCAAAAACCCGGCCCGGCCTTAAAGACCTCGCGTGATCCGCCGCCGCTTGGCGGTGCCGGATCCCTCGTCAGCATCGGCCGCACCGGGGCCTTCGTCGTTCTTGTCGTTCTTGTCGTTCTTGTCGCTGTCGTTCTTGTTCGGACGGTCCTCGTCCTCGTCGGCACCCTCGGCGCCGCCGCTGCCAACAACGCCGACCACGTCGATGTCGTCGAGGGGCAGATCCAAGCCTTTGGCGCCCGGCGGAGGGGCAGGCATGCCGCGCTGGCGCTCGGCCGAGCGCATCTCGCTAAGAAGCTTCTCCACCTCGACGTACATGTCGCGCGTGTCGTTGACCACACCGTCCTCGTCCACCTTGTAGCGCGCGTTGTCGCCGCCGGTGCCGCCCGTGTTGTTTACTAGGTCGTCGTCGTCGTCGTCTGCGGTGTCGCCGACCAAAAAGGCCGGGCCGGGTCCACGGTGCGAGTCCGGGTTGTACATGACCGCATTGGCAAACATGTGGACAAGCTCGCTCTCAAGCTGGCTGCTGTTGATGATGCCGCGCGGCGGCACGAGGTCGGCATGAATCGGCAGCCAAACGCTGCTGCTGTTGCTGCTGTTGATGCTCTCGCGTTCCGACTCGGGCAGCGCGGCGATCGCCGTGTTGGCGGCCTTGTTGCCTTGCGAGATGGCCATGCGGATCGACTTGAGGTCGACGGGGTGGCGCACGATGCTGCCATACCCAGGAGCATCGCGGTCGCGGATCTTGTGCGCAAACATGTTGGCATGGCGGTGGCTGCTGATCTGGTCGAGTGCCGACGCACTGATCTTGGGGAAGCCGCGCATCCACAGAACGTGTGTGGGTGGCGTCGGCGCGCCCACGAGGCGCCGGCGCGCAACCACGGACGGGTCAGGCTTGTTGCTGGCGGTGTTGAGGAGGAACATGTCCACGGATTCATCGTCGCCGCCCCGGCCCCGCTTTCTCTTAAGAGCAGCACGCGAGTGGCCGTCATCGTCGTCCAGCTCGTGAACATCGTCAAAGGACGCTCTCGGTGTCGAGGCCTCCGCCTTTATCGGACGGCTCTCGTCGTCCACGGTGCCTCGCTCACCTTGCGAGCGAGAATGTCTCGATGGCCGACCAGGTCCACGCATACTGCGGTCAGGGGTCTGCCCCGACCGCGATGCCGGGAACTGCGGCTTCCGCAAGTTCCTAGGTTGGCGCAGAGCCGCTGCCGACGAGCCAGCGGCTGAGGGCGATACGGGCGAGGCGTCGTCGTCCGAGGCGTCGTCGTCGACCATATCCAAATCGGCCGAGTCAGCACGCGCGCCTGAGCGCGAGGAGCGGGATGTTGCACTGGGCTGCACGGGACTGAGGGGCTCGTATGCTGGGCTTGCCATGTCGCCAACGTCGGGGCCAGGGGTCGACGGTGTGGGATCGCTCGGCTTCCAGCGCGTGCCACTGCCGCGTGGAAGGAACAGCGGCCCAAGCACGCCAGCACCAACGCCTTGGATGGGCGTATGCGGGAAGGCAGGTCGTGGTGACTGGACAGGCGTCGGTGTCCGGGACGGCGGACCACCGCGCACATGCTCAGGAAACGGCGGCCGCGGTACCAAACCAGGACCACCTGCAGCACCCTGCGGGCCGGGGGTCATTGGTGGACCTCCTGGGATACGCTGGAATTGGGGAGTCGGAGCAATCGGTGTCTGCTTTTGTGTCGCAGGAACAAGTGGCCGTGGCGTACCTGCCTGCGGACCAGCTGCCTGAGCCAGCTGCCGGTCCGCTTGCACAGGTGCCAGTGGTTGCGCGGTTTGCGAAGCGGCGGAGTGTGTTGTAGAGGGCGAATTGGAAATGGGTGTTTGTGTGCCTGGTGTGTGGGAGGGCGGCGTCGCTCTGGAGGAACCCGGGCCTGTGGCGACCTTTGGGGGTAGCTGAATGGCATTGGCATTTTGTGGCAATCCAGTCTGCTGTTGTTGCAAAAGTTGTTGCTGTACAAGTGGTGGGGGATGAGGAAGTTGGGCGGGAGAAATAGACCGGGACGCAGGTTGAGGAGGCGCGGCAGATTGCCCAGCAGGTGCTGCAGGCAACAGCTTGCCGTCGGGAGGAGATTGTGTCGATTGTGTCGATTGTATCGCAGCTACAGATGGCGTTCGCGAGGAACGCTGTGCTGGGGCGGAAGCGGGAGCAATAGGAGTAAGTTGTGGTGTGGTGCGAGCATGCTGTAGTTGCTGTGCGTGCTGCACAGCTGGGATAGATGTAGTTGAAGGAGGAGTAGATGCAGAAGCATGCGCAACTGTTGCCGTCGTAGGAGGTTGGTTCGCAGGACGCGACGTGGCAGGGAGCAGGGGCACATTTAATGCAGCGCCGCGTTGGCCGAGAGAGGAGAGATGGCGCTCGGGCGTATGCCGTGCCGAGGCAGGAGGTTGTGCGGACACGGAATCAGACCTCGACGAGGAAACAGATGGGGGTGCGTTGCCACCATTAGCTGCCCCTACTGGACCAGCATTCTTGCTGAGCGTGGGAGAAGCAGAGACGTATTGCGTCTGCTGTTGCTGTTGCTGTTGCTGTCGTCCGTTCTGGGCGGCGGCGGCGGCAGCGGCTGCCGCCTTAGCTTCAGCGGCACGAGCATGGGAGCCGCGTCCTCCACCACCGGCCGCCTGCTGTTCGAGAAGCTTAATCTCCCCCTGGACCTTTTCTATGCGCCGCTCATCCTCGCGGATGGCGTTGACAATATGTTCGCGATAGCGCACGTAGAGGCGTTCGACGAGGATGGGCAGTTGCTCGGCATGCGCAGCTGGCAGAGGGGGCGTGTCGATCTTTCGTTTCTTTCCGTCGGTCGGCGTCGTCGCGTCTTTGGCGTCTTTGGCATCTTTGGCATCTTTGGCATCCTTGGCTTCTTTCGGCTCAATCTTGGTATTGGCAGCATTGCCACCGCCGCTCTCGCCGGCGGCCTCTCCAAACTCGGACCGCAGCAGATGCAGGAACAGCTGCCGCAGCGACTCGGCGGTCAGGCGGTCAGCATTGTATCGGTCGTCGCTGCGTATGAAGGGATTTGACTGGAGGACGGTGGCGATGCGTGCAAAGGCGTCGGGCTCGACGCCGTGCTTGAGAATGGACTGGAAGAGCAGCAGCGACTCGAGCGGCGTGAACATGGACGGCGAAGGGCCGGTAGTCGTCGTCATGCCCCAAGGAGGAGGAGCCCCGCCGCGCCAGGAAACGACGGGCGCAGCTTCGCGTCTCGGCAGGAGGTGAATGGGCGCCACGGTCTATGTCGTGCTGTTAGTGAGCAGTGTGGGAGGGGTGACAGAGGTATCTTGGTGGTGACGAGTGGACGAAAGGGTACTGCGACGAAAGGGATGAGGCGATGTCGATGATGCCGCCGACGAAGAAGGGCGCAGGTAGGGGAAGGTGATCGGAAGATGTATTGGATGTGACAAGAAAGACTAGAAATCGGACGGGCATCCCATCGCCAAGTCTATCACCAGCAGGGGAGAATCCATCGCGTCACGTACCGAAGTTTGCCGCAAAAGCAACAGGCAGAACCACAAAAGCACAAATTGCCGCGCGAAAGCAGCAAAACGCGCTCGGGCGGCCCTACTGCATCAACACGCCCGACACGGCGAACTGCTTTGATGGAAACGAGGGTATTCGCCGCGAAACTTGATGGAAATGGCCGTGTGTCGTCCGTTTTGCGCATACAACGCGTCTCTCGCGGTCCGCGGAGCTGGCTGTTTCTTCTCGTTCAATCGCAGCGCCAGTCGGAGCCTGGCTGGGCCTTGCAGGAAGATTTTTTCCCGGGCGGTCTGCTGGTCATGTGACTTGGTCAGAGACGCAAGCGCCCCGCATACTACATATCGCCCCATGTCTCAACTTCTCAGCAACCACATGGAAAGGCGATGGGGGGAAGCGCAAAGAATGAACAAAGGAAAGAAAAGCCACGACAGGAAAAGGCGCTACTGGAGCGCTACAATTGGCTGATTCAGTCATGCAGACGTTTGGGGTTGGAAACAGCATCCATGTGACGATGTTTTGTTTAGCCAAGTTCGGCGCATGCGTCTAACGGGGCCATCTGATTGCGGCTCACGTGGCCCTGCTTCACACCTAAAATCACCGACGTCTCTGCCATTCCTCAACACAATTCAACCATCAAATGCAACAGTTCGAAAGGCACAATCAATTTAGGCTGGGAAAGGATCGCCTATGCGTTTGCTGGCTGCGCAATGCAGGCGCACTATGAACAGGGACCGTGTCTGGCCATTCTTTAATTCATAGTACCGTAATACATCACAAGTCTCACAGGGACAAAAGTCACATCATTTGCAACAGCCATGGACAAGAAGCGTACACGAAACGTGCGAATGACAGACGCAAGATCGACTGGGAGAATGCTCGCATGCGTAAGTTTGATTGCGACGAAGCAAAACAAAGACGGAAACCCTGGTTTGTTGAGGCTTAGGCCAGGGGCCCAGAACAGGGGCAGTTTATGCGTGCCAGCAGAAGCTTTACTGACAATGTGGACAGGGCCCTCAAAGCCTTCTTCCATAATGCCTAACAAAACACAAAAGGAGATTGGATTGGGCCCAGCCTGGCATCTTCCCGAAGATCGTCTCGAATACGGAGGGACGGGGCTGATATCAAATTCTCCAATAGGGGCAGACACGCGCGCACGTCCTTTCACGACCGCTGTACTGGGTGAAGGGATGTCACCACACTTGTCTCTGTCTACTCTTTTGTCTTTGTCTTTGTCTTCTGCTCACTTACTCTGTATGGCCCGTGCCCAGTCTCCAGACACATCGTCCAGCACATGCCCAGACGACCTCGTGTCGGTCTCAGCCCGTGCCAGTTATGCTCTTCTTTTGGTTCTGTTTTCTCTTCGGTCGTCTATCGATCGCTAGTCGTTCTTGTTACTTTGTCCCCTTCTCCACGATGATCAACGGGCTGAAATTTGATTATGACGCCTGGATTATGTGCAAACTAGAGGGAACTGTTTATGACCTGGGCACGGTGGGCTCTTCGTCTCTCCATAAAAAAGGAGCAAACTGCTAAAGTTGCTACACTGCTCGAAATGTCTGCTAATTACACCAGTAGCGTCTCCATTTCCCTTTTTGTTAGCGGCGGGTGCAAATCAAAGCAGCGTCCAAGCTGGACCGCAAAAGTGGGGAACCCCTTGCCTCGCTCCTCGTCAGTGAAAGCTGTCGCCCGTTGTCACCACCGACACTGCGAAGTAGTACCGTTACAGGGCGCGTGTCGAACAAGATTTGCTCCCATTTTGCGGCTTGGCTGGCGCTGAGCTGTCGCCTGTATCACTCCTTCCACCCCACCCCCATATTTACACAACGCACCTTTCGTTGCTCCCTGTTGCTCTCCTGCCCCCGACACTCCCTTCCTTTCTCGTCCTCAGCCTTTCCTTCCTTATTTCGTTCTTTCTCTTTTCGTTTTCTCCTTTTCCACTTTCCCATTTCCCTCTCTTCTCTCTCTCCCACTCTCTTGCCTAAGCAAACATCTCCTCACCGATATCGCCAGCTTCTCTTTCTGCACGCAACACGAACCGTTCATTAGTCTGCGACGACGACCCCTGACCAACCGGTTGTCCCCTATCAGTATCGCCGCCCACAATGTCTGACGAAGAACTCGATCGTGACTGGAAGCCCAACGGCCGCCGGCCCCAGTCGTATGTTGCCATGCTGCCCGATTTATACAGCCTTTATGTCTTGTTTTCTTTCAGTCGCTAACCGCACAGAACGATTGCGCGTTCTTTCTCACTCGAGCTTATGGACATCTTCCGTATCGAGAACAGTGTTGCAGACCTGGATGAGCAGGTTGACAAGCGGTGAGAATGTGGCCCCCTCGTTTCCCCTCCCCTGTTGCAGATTCACCAGCGAAAGCGTCAACAACGCATAAATCATCTGTTTATGCGTGATTGTGTTCTCCTTGATTCTGGCTTCCTTTATTTGAGATTTGATGCCCTCGATACGTATGTTGGTGTGCCCGCTAACTCGCAATGTCCCACGTCCAGGAAGCAGCAGGTCACAAGCCAGACCACCGAGCTTGAGGCCCTCGAGGCGCGCATTCGCGAAATGGAGGCTATGCTCAATAAGAACAAAAACCCCGCTGCCGGCGCGTCGCCGACAAGCCCCCGCAACGCCCGTCCCTCCATCAACAGTGTCTTTGCGGACGCCAACACCAACACCGGCGGTCCCTCGGGCGCCGACACCCACTCCCAGAGCGCTACACCACGGCCATTGGAGCACCGCCAACGGCAGCAGGGCCAGCAGCAGCAGCAGCAGCAGGTGGACGCACAGAAGTACGGCAGCAGCCGGCCAGGTACGGCACGCGCAAGCCAGCAGGCTGTGCCGGGCGCTTTGCCGCCAACCCCCGTTGGCAGTGAGGGTGAGCTTTCTTTTGTCAGGTGCAGAGGCGAGCCAAGCTTCTTGGAGGATCTAGGCTCTAGGCTTTTGAAAGAGTGCCGCGTGACTAACTCGTGCAACTTGACAGACGGTGATGGCGACCGCTACTAGACAACGACAGCACGCACATACAACTCGTCTTGACGTATTCTGTCATCACACGGACCGGACCTGAAATCAACTGTACAACCACAACGACGCCTGACTACCAGATTCAGTTTTCGATCCGCTGGACAGCGACATATCTCACTTCCGCGGGGCGGGCGTCTCCTGCTTTTAGCGCCACTATTTGTTTACATACATCTGTTTAATATTTGCATCGGGGATGTCTACTTTTTTTCTTCCTGGTTTTTTCTTTGTCATCCCCTGTCTCAATACCAAACCCCCGTCACGATTCCCTATTCCCTCCTTTGCACTTTGGCCACATCCTTCCGCCATATGCTGTTTACCATTTACAATTCACTTGGTCACTTTCTGCGTGCATCTGGAGCCATATCCCATAGCCATATCCATATATAGAGACATACTGAACTAGTATCGCACATTCATAGTCTCGCAGCAAACTATCATAATCTCCCTTGCCATTGTCTGCCGTCTTCAAATATCGTTACATATGCGCGTAAGATCCCTGTAAGTGGAACATAGGTGAAATGGATGTCCGCAGAATTGCAACAGAGGCCCGTTATAGTATGTCGTGCATCTTCCAACGTACGGCACGGTACGGCCCGGTTAAATTTTCCAACGGCAATCAAACGGTAGAGGCACACTCCAGAGGACATAGAAAGCCTCGACTCGCGAAGCTGTTCGTGGTTCGCGGCCATTAAATGATGATTGACTCAAAAGGGTCAAAAGACAAGATTGAGAGATACACATGAGACGAATATTCGACAAATGTGTGAAAACAAAAATAGCAAAACAACCCGAAAAGGCGGCAAGAGCGAGAGACCCCTTCCCCCCTCCCTCCCATATAAAGGGTTCACCTGCCTCCGATCTCCAAAGTTGGCCCCATCATCGTCGACGACCCCATTTCAACCCACAAACAGCTCTCCGTTTTCCATCTACGCCAAAAGCTTCTTTGAGGCGAGTCCGACGCGAGAATGGCCCATGTCAAAGATCATGTACAGTGCCTTGAGGAACGCGTCACCCAGTATGCCAAACGGCTCCATACTGTCCTGAATGCCGCCGTAGCACAGCGCGTCGCTGACGTTCTGGAAGTTAAAGTAATGACCAGGGATCGTCGCGTTCCAGTGGTCGTCGACAAAGCCAAAGTCGAGCACGGGTAAGGTCACATTGCAAGGGAAGACCCAGCCGTAGTACACGTCGCTCATGTACGCGCCCGGCACAAAGGACCAGTATAGCTCGACCAGGTCCGTCGGAAGCAGGAGCAACGTGGTGCCCGTGTCCGCCACCACGGGCCAGTTGTGCATGCGCCAGACGTTGTCGCCGCCAATGTGGATCGACTGGATATAGAACTCCCAGAATCCAGAATGAGGCAGCACCGTACGCCAAGTTATGTCGCCCGTGTAGGAGCTCTGGTTGATGTAGCCAAAGTGGTACTGGCCGACGTCCTGGTACTTGAGATCTGCCGCAAACAGGTTTTCCTCCAGAACGGGGCGGAGAGCGTCAAGCAGAGTCGGCTGCTGCGGGTACGTGGTGCTCGAATGATTGAGGGCCAGACCCAAGATGCCAGACATGACGGGGTCGGTCGTCAGGCTGCGGGAAACAGCCGTAGCCGACTCGACCGTCGCATTGTGCAGAGTCACATTGCCAATGCGAACCGAGTCGCGGTAAATACCGCCACCGGCGTAGCTTCCGTCGCCATATGTGATGGACCAACTAGCATTGGCAACGTCGACAGACGTACGGGACTTCTCTGGGTGGTAAATTTCTTGGCCGTCCAAGTAGAAGCTCGGCGTATCGGAACTGAAGAGCCAACTAGCAAGTAAACACGCGTATTAGCAAGGCTAGCATTCATACAAAAGCAACGATTATCCCGGTTTTCATCATCAAGCATACAGGTCTCCAGATCCCGTGTCGATGTCGAGCCAGCACAGTTGGCCAGGCTCGCCCATGTAGACCGGGCTCAGGTACTCGCGGTCGTAGGTCTGGTTGTAGGCACCGATGGGGCCCGAGGACAGACGGTCGTTACCATTCGTGTGCACGCCGGCCGGGTCCTTGTTGTACTTGGCGTAGGTCCACGCAAGCTCGGCTGCGCCATTCCTGCGATAATCATTGTTGCGGACAAGGTCGACTGCGAACGTTGCCCTGTTGGCGATGTTGACAGGGCCGTAGCGGGCATTGAGGGTTTTATCGACTGCATCGGACACATCATAAGTAAGTACAAGATCTTGAAACGCGAGCTACATGTGCGAGCTGGTATCCTTACTTGCGATATCATGAAGGACTGGCTTTGCCAGTACGGTACCGGTCCGCAGCAGGAGCGCCAACGACGCAAAAAAGGAGTACCGCATGCTGAGCAAGTAGATATAGCGAGAATGTATGAAAGAAGATGCCGCGTTTTCAGTCGAGGGATTAGGAATGACGACAGCGAGGTCAACAGCGGCGTTTGAACGGGCCTCTTACGATAAATAGCACAATTAAGGATTGTAAGCAGTCAATGGCCAGACAGTGGCTAGATGGGTGAAATGAGAGGCAGAAAGCAAAATCAAGTAGTAACAAGAGAACAACTGCAGGAGTAAAAGAAGCAACAAAATAAGGGATGGAAAGCGTCTTGACAGGAAAGGAGGACGACAAGGCCTTGTCAGTCAAACAAGAAGAAGAAGGTGCGAGGCACGACTACGGCTTTTAAGGCTGGCCGCAGCTTCCCCATCTGGCCAGAACTGGTCTTCCATATTCAAGGCGAAGAAAGAGCACGATTGGGGTTGCAAACGGCGCACTCTGGGAAGGTACGCGTCGCTCGTTTATCGTTCCTTCCTCGGCCAGCTTGTGCGTGTGCGATGCCTTGGCCTGTGGACGTGTCTCTCAGTTCTGCACCGGACCGCGTAGTACACGTTACCGCGGCAGCTACGCAATCTCCCATTTTTGGTGATGCTCGAGACCAGGCCTAGATGCTAGAGAGTAAAAGTGAACCATCAGATGCACCTCCCCGCAAATGTCTCCTTCATACGCACGTTGGTCGACTGTGTCTCGTCTGTGTTCCGTACGACATTGTGGCCGCCACAGTGTTTGTACGTTCTGGGCGCGTCTCGTTTCTTTGTTTCTCCTTCTCTTGTGTTCTTGTGTCTTGTCAATGTCACTGTCGTGTTCGGTTGTTTCTGGTGGTGCTCGGTTTGTTGTGCTCCGTTTGTAATTGCACGACGGCCTCATTAATTTTCTACAGAAGGAGAACAATCTCGTTGAACAGAGTCAGCGAGAAACAACTCTGGCCATATATCTATAGTGTCTCGAACGGCATTGACAAGACGTCAGTGTCAGTAGGAGAAAGTCGGAGTTATTTATAATATTGATTGCCTTCTCAGTCGTCTGGATTTTCTGTTAGAAGTGTGTACATTTATATATATATATACATTTTTTTAAAAAAGAAACATAAAAGTCAACAAAATCATATCAATAAAACATATCAAAGTAAAACACAAACAGATGCAAATAGTAAAGTTCACAATCCCTACCGTGTTTTTATATACGCTTTCCTGCATGCCAAGGAAGAGGCAAGCACAATGTTGCTTGGCTGTGCTACGATTATTTGCTGCCGTGTTTCGTTTTGTTTGACCCTTCCTTGGCGATCATAGACGGATGTGATGCAAAATGGTATCTTCTTTTTTCTCTTTTTATGGGGTTTTTGGGGCCTTTACGGGGCATGCTTGAGAAGGATAAATACAAAAAGCTATGCCTTGCAAGAACAGAAATAGGACGCACTCCTCGACTCACAGCTCCTCGTGCTTGATCTCCTCATCCTGTGCGGCCTGTTGTGATGGTTTGGCCTCTGCAGACGAAGACGTGGACGACGAAGACGACGTCGATGCCGTCTTCTCGCTCTTGGTCGTCGCCGTCGCCGTCTTGGTCTTGCTCGACTTCTTGGACTTGCTCGACTTGCTTCCACTCCCGCTCTTCTTCTGCGTCTTCTCAAAGTTGCGGACGGCCTTCATCGCCAGGTCCATGCCAACCTTGTCCAGGTGGTCGCGCTTCGCCTGCAGCTCCTTGGCCGTCAGCACCGGGTCGTCCGTAGGGCCCAACTTCGCTTGCGCGGCCTCCTTCTCGTCCAACCATGACGCAATGGAGGCGGACAGTTCGTCGGACTCCTTGAGGTCCTCATGTGTGTAGATGGGCGGGATCGGGCCGCGGTCCTCGAGGGGCTCCTCTTCAGTGGCTGCCTCGGCAACGACTGGGGGCTCGTCGTCCTCGAGGTCGTCAAAGTCGGCCTCAGTGGCAGGCGATTCTGATGTAGAGGCCGCAGTCGAGGTCATCGTCGACGATGACGATGACGACGACGAAGCCGCTGCCGCTGCCGACTTGCTGGCGTGGAACGCCTCATACTCGACAATACGCTCGCGAATCGAGTTTGCAAACTCGCGGCTCTGCGCCAGAGCCTCACGGAGGCCGGCAATAAGAGCCGGGCGCTTTTCGGCCTCGGCGATGCGCGTTTCAATGGCATCGACGGGCGTCTTGAGGGCCGTGTACTTCTTCTTGAGCTCCTCGTGCGTGGCGTCGACGCCGCCGTCGTAAAGCCAGTCGCTGGTCTCGCCACGCATTGTCTCGAGCGTGGCCCGCTCCACGGGCGTCGACGCGGCGATAAAGCTGTCACTCTCGAGCAGGCCGCGCACCTTGTAGGTAAAGGCCTCGAGCTGGTTGAAGCTCTCCTCGCGCTGGACACGGGCGCGATCAGACGCATCAAACGCCTGCAGACGCTTCTTTACCGTCTGCATCTCGCTGTCAGACAGGGCACGAGTGCCGGCCTTTTCCAGGGTAAACTTGATGGGAATGGCGACCGGCACCTTCTTAGCCGGCTCGCTGGGATCGGCAGCGGCTGGGGTCGGCGAGGAAGATGTAGACGAGGAGCTGGTAGTGGAGGAAGAGGTCGTGCTGCTGCTGCTGCTGCTGCTGCCGCTGCTGCTGCTCGAGGCGCTGCTTGACGAGCTGGAGCTCGAGGCATTCGCCTCCTCGGTCTCGGAAGCCTCGTCGCCCTCCTTGAGGGGCTGTTGGTCCTTGTTCTTGCCAAAGCCAAACAGGTTCTTCACACCATCCATGAGGCTCTCCTTCTCGGGACCTTCTGCCTCGCATTCAGCAATAGCCTTGACGACCTCCACCTCGCCAGTTTCAAGGCCGAGCCGAAGGCCGAGCTTAAACTGGATGGTGCTCGGCTCGCACGCGTGCTTCTCCACGAGCTTGTCAAACGTGTCCGTCAGGTTGCTGGTCGTAAATGTCTTGACGGCCGACGCAACGAGCTGACCATCGGCACCGGGAATGTGCTGATAGAATACGACAGAGGCCTCGGCCTTGTTGTCCTCGCCCAGCTCGTACACGAGCTCCTCCTTGGAAGCCGCAGGGCCGATGTGTGACGTTGGCACCCAGATCTGGCGCTCGGGAATGACGTTGGTGGCAGCAGCGTCGGTGCTCGCAGGCTTCATGCTCACGCCGTAGACGGCGCCCTCCGCGACACGGATTTCCTTGACACGGAAGCTGGGACTGAGCTCGGCCGCACGGAAGCCGGCACCAAACACGGCCGCCTCGTCGGCGTTGACGTTGGTGCGCAGCTTGCTGGAGCCGCCAAAGATCTGCTCGAGCTGCTTCTGCACAAACGGCGTGCGGGTTGCGCCGCCGTGCAAGATGACCGAGTCCAGATCGGCCACGGTGAGGCCAGCCATGCGCAGGGCGTCCTGCACGGCGGCGTTGACACGCACGCTATGCGCCTCGGCCATTGCCTCGAAATCGGCACGGCTCATCTTGTAGCGGAAGTCGATGTCGTTGTAAAGGCCCTCGAAGCTCGCGGCCGTGTTGGTGTTGGCGCTCAGAACGTGGCGGACACGCTCGGCCTCTTTGGCAAGCTGGGCAATGGTGCGACCGTGGGTCTGAACTGACGCAGCCGTGATCGCCGCGGCCTTGGCGGCCTTGCTGTCCACAAACTGGGCCACCATGTCGTCGACGATGAGCGCATTCAGAGCGTCGCCGCCCAGCGTGCGGTCCCAGCCGCTGCCCAGCACATCGACCTCCTGGACGGTCTTGTTGAACTTGCCCACGTCCTTGATGGAGCGGCTCTGGAAGCGCAAGACGGTGGCCTTGGTGGAGCCGGCGCCCATGTCAAAGACCATGTGCACCTCGGGCTTGCCGCCCTCCTGGACGCTGGGGAACTGGCGGCTGGTGGCGTAGTTGAGGCCGACGGCGAGGCCGTCGCTGATGAGGGAGAGAACACGCAGGCCGGCGAGGTTGGCGGCGAGCTCGACGGCCCGCTTCTCGTCGGCGGTGTAAAACGGAGGCACAGTGATGACGGCGGCACGCACGGACGTGTCAGGACCAGCCAGCGCCTCCGCGTTGCGGCGGACGCTCTTGAGCTCCATCGCCAGCAGCTCCTCGACCATCCAGGCGTCTTCGCTGTCGACAAAGGCCCCGCCGCTCTTGAGTGCAACGGTCTGGCGGTCCCTGTATGCGGCCTCGAGCTTCAGAGCCGGGTGGCGAGCGGCGTATTCTTGGATCACAGCATTCGCGTCGTCGCTGCCGTCCATGGTCAGGCCAAGAAGGGCCTTGAGGTTGGGGAAGACGTCTCCGGGGAAGCGGGCCGCCAGGGCCATGGCATCGGAGCCGTATGCGCGCTCGGGGTAGACGCCGGCCTTGGGCCCGCCTTGTGGCGTCTTGAAAGCAACGGCGGAGATTTCTTTCCGCCGCGAGTCCTTGGTGAGGACAATGTCGAGGGGGATGCCGGGCTTGACGAGCGCCGCTTTGATGTATTCCGTGCCGAGGTCGACACCGAGAACGGCCGACGCAGCGAGGGCGTGGCAGGCAAAGAGGAAGAGGCCCGCAAATGCGAGCCGCCAGGATATTGTGCGTCTTGCCATAGTAGTAGAGGGGCTGTGATGGACGGAGAGGGGGGACGTTGTTGACTGACGCTGAGCAGTGCGTTGGAGGCACAACGGCCAGTACAAGACGGCCAATGCAGTCAGAGGAGGCCAAAAGAATACGAGCAAGCCCGGCCTTTGTCGTCGAACCTACAATGAAGAGGAACACAGACCTGAAATGAAAAACAAAAAAAAATAAAACAATTAAGGAAGTGAGGGAGGGAAAAAAAGAGGCAATGCAAAAATAATAAAGAAAACGGGAATGAGGGAGGGTTTCAGGTGCAGTTCTCACGGTATGATCTGGCCTGATTCCAGAAATATCCCGCCGACGATCGAGTGCTGTTTGCGCCGCGATGGAGGGTTGCGGTCTGACGTCGAGACAAAAGGACAGCGACAACCAGAGCAAAAGGACAGCTTGGAGGTCTTGGCCGTTGTGACAGCTGGGGCCGTCCGATTCCGATAAGCGTGGCAGGTGTGCGATAAGAAAGACCCACATATTTTGTCAGCTGTCACCAGCTGCCACATCTCCGTTTCACTTCCGAGGCACCCAACAGCGAATAAAATCAGGAACCATTCGTCCAGGTTTGCCGGTTGCTTGTTGTACACCGTACTGTGAGTAGGGAGACGGACCTGTTCCAGTGTCGCACAACATGCACAATACGAGAAGCCCAGCTTTTACGGTGTCACCTGGCCAGTCAGCGCGCCTAACCATCGCAACGTGAGCATGCGTAGCAGGTAATTACGGAGTGCCTTTGCCAGTCATCTGTCGTCAGTCGCTCCTTCTTTCTCGCCCCTCCTTGCCGGTGCCTCAAACGGCAGGGGCCAATCCACCAGCGCGGAAAGAGCTTTGCACGACCAGCCGCCCCTCTATTTCTCATGCTTCATATGTCGTAAAAATATACGTCGTAATAGTGTTCCCTTTCAATTCAATATTCGGTATTTACCCTGTCGGTGTCATTTTGACTCACAGTGCTTTGCCTCTCTAGCGCCGAAAGCCGGCGTGTGTCAAATAATACACCAAGAGACCAAATACACCAAAGTGCACTCTAGTGGGCGCCAACACAAGCCGAACGGAAAAGTTTTGTTTTGGCCCGGCGCTCCTTCCTTCGCTGCTCAGTTGGATTTCGGCCTCTGGCTTCCGGCTTGCACTTTGCCTCCTCCTTCCTTCCGGCACCACAAAAGCAACTCGCTCTTTTGTGCCGACTGCAACCTCTTGCAACATCGACATCGACATCAGCATCGTCGTTGTTCTGATCTACCACCCACTCCCGACTCCTTTCCGCATATCCCCGGACCTCCTCCCTCTCGCCCCAACCCCGCGCTAGACACAATGTCCGGCCAGTCCAACGGCGTGGCGGAGAAGACGCACACGGCGTCGCAGCGGTATCTGTCGACCCGCGGCGAGGATGAGGATGTATGTTTTGCTTCCTTCGTACGCTGCAGAGCGGTGTGCGCATGGCACCACCGCGTCGTTTGCCGCAATTGCGTCTCGTCCATGACCAATTCGACGTTTGGCTAACACCCCTCCCCCCTTCAGCTCTCCTTCGAGGAGGTGGTCCTCCAGGGTCTCGGCTCCGACGGTGGCCTGTTCATCCCGCAGGACATCCCCAAGGCGGCCGACTGGCAAAGCTGGGCCGGCCTGTCGTTCCAGGAGCTGGCCTTCCGCATCATGTCCCTCTACATCTCCCCGTCCGAGATCCCACCAGCCGATCTGAAAGGCATCATCGACCGCAGCTACTCCACATTCCGCACCGAGGATGTCACGCCGCTCGTGCACATGAAGGACAACCTGTACCTGCTGGAGCTGTTCCACGGCCCCACGTTTGCGTTCAAAGACGTCGCGCTGCAGTTCCTCGGCAACCTGTTTGAGTACTTCCTTGTGCGGAAAAACGAGGGCAAGACGGGCCGCGACCGCCACCACTTGACTGTGGTTGGCGCCACGTCGGGCGACACGGGCAGCGCGGCCATCTACGGCCTGCGAGGCAAGAAGGACGTGTCCGTGTTCATCTTGCACCCCAAGGGTCGCGTCAGCCCCATCCAGGAGGCCCAGATGACCACCGTGCCCGACAAGAACGTGCACAACCTTGCGGTGACGGGCACCTTTGACGACTGCCAGGACATTGTCAAGGCTCTGTTTGCCGACCCGGCGACCAACAAGGCCCTGCGTCTGGGCGCCGTCAACTCCATCAACTTTGCACGCATCCTCGCGCAGATCACCTACTACTTTTATGCGTACTTTAAGCTCACGCAGGGCCCGCTCGCCGCCGAGGGGTTCAAGGTCGGCGACAAGGTGCGCTTCGTCGTGCCCACGGGCAACTTTGGCGACGTCCTGGCGGGCTACTTTGCGCACCGCATGGGCCTGGTTGTCGACAAGCTTGTCATTGCCACCAACGAAAACGACATCCTCGACCGGTTCTGGAAGACGGGCCGCTACGAGAAGCACCCCCTGTCGCAGCGCGAGCAGCAGGCACAGCAGGCGGGCACGAACGGTGCCGGTGGCCTGGCCGTCGACGGCGCCAAGGCGCACGCGGACGGCGTCAAGGAGACGCTCAGCCCGGCCATGGACATCCTGGTGTCGAGCAACTTTGAGCGCCTGCTGTGGTTCCTGGCGTACGAGTTCGCGGCCGCCGCGGGCATGGACGACGCGTGGAACAAGAAGCAGGCCGGCCAGGAAGTCGCCACGTGGCTCAAGGACCTCAAGACCAAGGGCGGCTTTGGCCCCGTGTACAAGGACGTGCTCGAGACGGCGCGGCGGACGTTTGAGAGCGAGCGCGTCAGCGACGCGCAGACGCTCGAGACCATCAAATCTGCGTACCGGAACGGCTCCGAGGGCTACATCCTCGACCCGCACACTGCCGTCGGGTTCACGGCCGCCGAGCGTTCGATCGGCCGCACCAGCCCCAGCGTGCCGCACGTGGCCCTGTCGACGGCGCACCCTGCCAAGTTTGCCGGCGCTGTCGTCACCGCTCTGAAGGACGAGGCCGGCTTTGACTTTGAGAAGCAGGTCCGCCCGGCCGAGTTCATTGGCCTCGAGGACAAGGAGCGCCGCGTCTCGACGGTGGCCAACGACTGGAAGGCTGTCAGTGCCCTGGTCCAGAAGCAGGTGGACGAGGAGCTGTCTGCTCCGTAAACCCTGTCATCTTCAACATTGACGGCTTTCTTTTTTCTTTCCAGCATCCTTTTCCATCGTCATATCCTGCTCCCACTCCCCTATTCCCCCTTTTTATCTCGTTAATCTTCAACACACATTCTTATGTCGGATACAGTTCCTATTTGTTTATTCCATTTGGACTTAGAACGGTGGATGAGGGTTGCATAACGATACAGCGGATCCAAGCGTGACGAGAAGTTCAAGTTCGACACTCAGTGCTTTACTTTCTTCTCGTTTGGGGATCGTATTTGCTTTTCTTTTCACATTTTCTAGCATATATGGCTGGAGAGTCTGGCAAGTGCAAAACACTCATTGCTTGGCTAGATTCAATGAACTCCCAAAAAAGAGAGAGAGAGAGAGAGAGAGAGAACCAATTAGGAGGGCGATGCCACTTGGCCACATGTTTTGGCTCTGTCTCTTTGAGGCCGACGGCGTGCATACTGCATGCAGAAAACGCCTCTTATCACATACTGCACCCTTGGCTGTCCTGCTCACCGTGATTTGTGCATATGAGACAGGGACGAACCGGAGGACGATACAATGAATTTCCATCCAATCATACTATGCAGCTGTGTCCTGTGTCCTGTGTCCTGTGTCCTGTGTGTCCTCTGTCCTTGTTCTTTGAAATCTCCAAGAACCCTTGGTAAATGCCGCCCTGTCACCGAAGCGGGCGCTGCTTCCGAAGATGTGGCAGCCGAACACACTAATGTGGCTGCTTGGCACCTTCCCCTCTCACGTCATTGTGCTATCCAGCCTCCATCACTGCTCGCGCCCCTCCTTCCTTGGCAGAATGCAGCAGTGCGCCGCGGGGCCCCTGCAGCATGCAATAGTACGCCTGGATGGTACAAACAGTGAAGCATGTACGTGCTCAGAATGAGGTTGGCGGTGAGGGGGCCAAGTGAGTACCAGTTGTTCTGCTTGTCCTTTTCAGCCGCTCTTTTTGTTCTTTTTCTACATGCTTCTCTTTCTTTTCATTGCTCCTTCCCTGGCGGCACTCTTCACTTTCTTCACACCTTCCTTCCCTTTTTGACAAAACGACCCCGCGACCCCCACCGCCCATCACATGCCCCTCGCTGCTACCTTTCCATGCATCCTGCCACCTCCGTACACTGGGAGACTGGTAATAAAGGAAGGCGCGGGTGACGTATTGGGTAATCCAGAGGGCACGCACTTTGGAGCATACCTTCCAGAAATGTATGACAAGGAAACTGCAACCATCACGCCAAGTCAGCCACTAGACACCTTGGGAAGGCCCAACCTGGCGCATTGCAGGCAGATAAAAAGATAAGAACAAAAGGACGAAAGAAGGTTTAGCGAGGAAGGCGCCGACGGCGGGTAGTGTCCACCCCCCACCAATTAGGGCCATCCAGCGCCCGCCAGCAACATTGGTCTTGCCTTTCCCGTGCAGCGCCCCACTGTTTTCTGCACCGTTGCTTTGGAGCTCTGCTGTGGAGAGTCCCTTCCACTTACACGCACCTTCTAGTACCACTGTTTGTCTCTTCGCCCTCTTCTTCTCCTCTTTTACTCATCCACACCAACAGACAAAGAGCACCAACCGTTGCAGCATCATCCATCCTCGGCCACCCCAGCGCACTTCTTTCGGCAGGTCTTTCTGCAGGCGCGGCCCTTGTCTCGATGGGTTCGTGCGATGACACAGCTCAGCCGAGCCGGCCAAACAAGCTCAGCCTTAGCCCTGCAAATACCAGCCGACTGTCTTCGGAATGGCTTCGCCTGACCAGTCACTAGCTGCCACTCCCAGCGAACAATGACGCTCTATCTGGTCTTGAGCTGCTGCAGGTGGGCGATCACAGCTTAGACGAGCTATCTTACGGCCGGCTCTGTCACTCCCCCGTGCTGTTGTCTCGTGCTCGTCTGTGCTCTTTGTCTGATCTCGGACCGCACGGGAGCTTCGATCCTTGCGCTCCTCACTTCCCCTCCTCATCTTGTCTTGTGCTCTGCTCCCTGCGCCTGTTCCTCTTTTCTCTTATCTTTCATGTATTCTAAAACAGCATACGTGTTTTTCTCGAATTGACGGCATCGCATCCCATCACACACTGGCCAGCTCGCTGTAAACCATGGCCGCCCATTTCACGCTTCCGAAGAGCCTCCTGCTTGCCCTGCTGGCAGCGACAGCTGCTACGCCGGCCATGGCGCTGGACATCACCGTGTGGTCCGCCGTCGCATTTATCATGTACGGCGAGCGCACGCCGCTGGTCGGGCCCACAAGCCCGGAGCTGACGCCGCTCGGCGCCCAGCAGATGTTCAGCCAGGGCACGGCGTTCCGCAATCGCTATGTGCTCCAGGGCACCGCGAACGCCAGCTCCGCCGCCGACTTCCCCGTCTACGGACTCGAGAGCAATGCGCTGGACACCAACCAGGTCACGGTGCTCAGCACCGGCGACAGCTACGTTGCCGCAGGTGCGCTCGCCTTTATGCAGGGCCTCTACCCGCCGCAGACCCACGAGTACGCCTACGACAACGGCGGCCGCTCGGCGGCTGTGCTTGCGAACGGCGCCCTCGTCAACTTCCCGCTCGACGGCTACCAGTACCCGCTTGTCACCACCGCGTCGCTGCAGGATCCGGCCTCCTCGTGGATCCAGGGCAATCTGGCTTGCACCCTGTACCAGCAGTCGGCCATCGACTACCACAACAACAACGAAGCCGCGACGCTCTACAACAGCACGCTCGGCCTGTACCAGTCGCTGTGGCCCACGCTCTTCCAGACCGTCTTCTCCGAGACCAACACCAACTTTTACTTTGCCTACGAGCTCTACGACTACGCCGCGTACATGTACAACCACGATCCCCAGGTCGCCAACGCGCTCAATGCCTCCCTGCTCGAGGACCTGCGCATCTTTGCCTCCGCCCAGCAGCGCGACCTCAATGCCAATCTGACCGTCTCGGGCAAGTACACCGGCGACATGATCCGTGCCGTGACCGGTCGCATGCTTGCGCAGCAGGTTGTCAACTTTTTCCGCGGCAACATTCTCAACAGCGGCGCCAGCAACAAGCTCAGCCTCATGTTCGGCTCCTTTGAGCCCTTTGTGGCCTTCTTCGCCCTGTCCGGCCTCCTGGGCGGAGACGATTTCGCCGTCTTCGAGTCTCTCCCTGGCAACGGCGGCGCCATGGTCTTTGAGCTGTACTCGTTGTCGGCCAACGACTCGACCGTGGCCAACAACACCGTCTACCCGGGCCCGTCGGACCTCTTCGTGCGCTTCCTATACGTGCCGGACACCGACGCCGACAGCAAGTTGACCTCGTATGATATTTTCAACAGCACCCAGGTCAACATCCCGTACTCTGCGTTTGCCAGCGCCATGCAGGGCATCGGCTTCGACTCGGTGGCCGTCTGGTGTGACACCTGCGATGGTGTGAGCGTGTTTTGCCCCGGCATGCTGGAGAATGCTGGCTACGGCGACGGCTGCAGCAGTGGCTCCGGGTCGTCGGGCGGCGGCAGCGGAGGCCTCCGGAGTCAGAGCGGTGGCATGGCGCCCGCCGTCGCAGGCGTCATCGGGGCGCTTGTGACGCTGGCCGTGGTTGGTTTGGCGATTCTGGCGGCCATGCTCCTTGGGGGCCTCCGCTTCTTCTTCGCGGGCGGCCGTCGCGGCAGCCACGGCGGCAACAATGGCACGGATAAGTCGGGCATCTTCAAGAAGCGCTTCAGCTTTGGCAGCGGCGGCTTCAAGGGCGGCGAGCGCAAGATGGCCGACGCCGATGTGGCCGTCTCCAAAACGGGCGTGGGCCACGAGCGCGTCGGCAGCTGGGAGCTGCGCAATGGAAGCAGCGCCGGCAACAACGCGGCGGCCGCAACGTCTGGCACCTCTGCAGCGGGTGCAGCGGACGTCGAGTCTGGCGAGCCTGCGACGCGCACAGAGCGCGTCCGGTCAACCATTGTCAACCGCGACCCCGGAGAGGACGATGACGCTATCATGGCCGACCTGGGACTCAACCCCGTCGACCCGCGGGAGCATATCTAAGTTTATTCCCGTCACGATCTGGACACCCAATGTCCCCCATTTGGCATATCATGAAGCTTCCTTTCTTTTCCATATTTTTACTCGTCGAATCGTTTTATCAACCCGTCTTGGTATATACCCTCTGATTCTGGCTCTCTTTTGATACCCATATTATTGTTGGACTTTTTTATACCCCGGTGTTTTATTGGCTGGGTTTCGAACACACGCATACACCGACCACATCGTGGCAATCGTTACCATTTGGCTCTTATGAGGTATTTATGTACAGACAGGAGTTTGGAATGGATGCTTTTTTTCTTTTTTTCTTCTTTTTGTTTATCGGAACAACCTGGGTTTCACCCGAGAGCTGTTTCTTTAGCTTGCTTTGACTGCCACAATCCTGTATTTTGAAGCCATTATCGTACCAGGTCACTACTCGTGCAATATCATACTACATTCATAACACTTCACATTCGTTCAAACAAAAGTTATTATCGTCTCATCCTTGTATTCATTTCGTATCATTCGAGTATGGGGTATTTTAACTTGCAGTACATGGAAAAGAAGTGGTAGAAAATGGGTGATCCCTAGGGAGTGCAAGCGAGAAGAAAGCACAGAAATGAAAGAACAATAACGTCCAAAAGGAAAACAGAAAAACGCAAGGGTCATGTACTGCTGTATATGTGCTGCCAAGTGCCACTTATGCGGCGAGAGTCGGCTGGATGCCAGCTTCCTTTTCCTCGGCCTTGCACGCATTTTCAAGATACTTGAGCCAGACCCCGGGCTCAGCGGCGTGAGACAGTTTCAGGTGCTGGCCAAACATGTCCTCGCGGTAGAACTTCTTGGCACTGGCCTTGCAGTCATGCAGCTTATGGTCAATCTCGATATGCAATGTCAGGGCCTGGTCATGGGCGGCCTTGTCGTTGGCGCCGGCCACACTGTCTCCACCACTGTTCGACGACAGTGACGCCGGCCGCTGGAACTGGCGGCCACAGAAGCCACAGACATCGTATGTGGTTGTGCCGTCGCTCACCCGTTGGAATGCCAGCAAGGGCGTCGCGAGGCGGCGGCACGACCAAGAAAACGGCCGCAGGTGAATGGTGGTGATGTGGCGCTCGGCTTCGTTCATGCGGCTGAACCGGCGGCCGCAGAACGCACAAATGTGTGGCTTCTTCGTCTGGTGCACCTTGAGCTCTTCCATCGTGTTGAAGCGCTGCGGACGTTTCGGACAACACGTGCAGACCAGCTGCCCTTCGTCGTCAGTAACGGTCATGCCACTAGCCGCGGCACCGCTGGTGTTGTCATCGCCGCTGGGTGCTAGCACATTTGTGGCCGTTGCGGTGCTTCCGACGCTGCTGCACCCGCTTTCGGAGACGATGGAACCGGCCTTTCCATGCGACACGGTGGCGCCCTTGCCTGGCTTCGATGGGAGCGGCAGAGAAGTAATGGGAGTCGCTGCAATGGTACCGGGATTGAAGGACGGGAACGAGGCTGCAGACAATCGGCTCGGGAGCGATCCGATGCTGCTGCGTCGCTCGGTCATCAGCAGGGACGTGCGCGGCGACGACGCGGACGACATCGGGCCGACGGACGATGGCGGACTGATCACGCCCGTTGTAGACCGAGGCGCCGACAAGGAGCTTGCAAAGCTCGTCGTTGAAGAATTGGGGCTCGAGTACGCCGAGTACGATTCGGATTTGATGCCACGGAGTCTCCGCAATGGCAACACCGCATCGGAGCCCTCCATATTGACATCGCCGCCTGCACCTGCCCCACCGTCAACCTGGCCCATGTCGAAATCCAGTGATCCGATGTTGAGTAGACGTGTCAGGAACTGGTATGACGACTTGATGCCCTCATCCAACCAGATATGGACCGCGCAGGCAGAGCGACCGGCGGCAAAATACCGATCCGGAACAAACATGTCGGATGACGCCCCGTCCTCTTCGGCCAGAAGCGATTGCTGGAGCTGCAGCCCGCCACTGCTGGACACGAGCGGGTCGTACTGGAATGAAACCGCAATGAAGAGAACCGTCACGAGATGGAGATACTGGCTGCTGTAGAGGACGTCGGCGTCGTCCGAGTCGGGGTACAGCAATTGTTGTTCGATGACAAGCAGGGCACGGCGAACGTACGCCTGGATGCACAAACTGTAAAATGTCGAAAGCCACCACCGGCGGTCGCGCAAGTTGACTTTGCGGAACATCAGCAGTGACAGCTCTTCGATGTACGTGTCGATGCAGTTGGCCAGCTCCCGGAGGCAGTTGATACTGCAGCGGTCACTCTGGCACGTGCTGTGGAGGCGAGCATCGAGGATATGAGCCGAGTTCAGTCGTAAAGCATCGAGGCAGTTGCGAAGACACACCAAGGACAGGGACACCATCGGAGACTACAACAAAAAGAAAAGAAAAAAAGAGAGGTTAGCAATGACAGCAGGCACAGCAGACCACATTATCCAATTTTGCGGCGTCTTACCTTTCCGACTTCCACTTCATAGAGGCATGCTGTTTCCAAAAGCATCATGAAGCTCTCAACCGACTCGATCTCCAATACGTTGAGGCACTCGTTGTTGTCGGCCAGCTCCCAGGCGATGCTTGAGATGAGATCTGAGTAGGTCGAGGACGTCTCATGAGCCTGGCAGGTGACATTGAGAGACTCGTTCGCTCTGTACCGGCCATTGCGAATGGACTGTGAGAAGTGATGTGCGGCAACAGAGTGGCCGTGCGTCCGCAGGAAAAGGGCTGGGTTGTCTAGGACAAGTTTGTTGTCGGACAAGCACTGCATCTCGGCTTCACGGAAGCAATGCGACACGACGTCGGGTTGTCCCGGTGGCGGGCCGCCTGTCAGGTCGTCGACGACGTTCTCTGCCGCCAGGATGGCTGGCATCTTGTGAGAGCAAGACGCAAGAAGGGAACGGGACTTGGTGCAGAGCACCTGTGGTGGCATTGCTTCGCGCAGGTTACCGCGCCGACAGCCAATCAGTGGCCACGGAGGGGCGTCTTCGCGGAGATCGGGAGCAGGGCAATTCTTACATGGAATGCCTGGGTCGCATTTCCGGCGCAGAATCTTGCATCGCCAACACGCACCACCTGCCCATTCCAGGTCCTTGATGTCTTTGCGGCTTTTTGCACTGAGAGGACCCCGGCGGCCTCGCGGTCGCCGCGACGATATGCCGGAATGAAAAATACTCCAGCTGCTCGACAGGCGGTCACCAAGCGACGGCGTGTCTTGGTGGGTTTTGTCGTCTTCGCCAGGGAACCCTTGACCAGGCAGAGCCAGAGATGACACAACGGAGGCAGCAGCACTGCTGTCATTGCTCAGCCGCCGGGCCGGCGGTGGCGTGAGGCCGACAGACAGCCCGACTGTGTTCGTGTCTTGTTGCACAAGGGGGAAAATGACGGGCGGGGTGATCGTAGGCCGTTTGGGGGGGCTGCCATCGCTGCCTGCCGGCTGTGGGCCGAGAGACGAAGGTACGGCAGGCGTCGCAGGTGGCGGTGCGGCGGAGGCCGGCGAGGCGGGGGGTGCGGAGCGTATGTCGCTCGCGAACGTTGGTGTCGGCTGGGGAGCCAGTTGTGATGGTACGGTCGGTGGTTGCGAAACAATGGCCGGAGTTGATTCGTAGTTTACAGGCCCAAAAACTGACGATCTCCAGATGACGGCCTTCCGCTGCACAGGATCGTAACTGTAGCTGAGCTTGAACTTCAGAGCCAGACGGTGCAGCACAGCTTCTTTGGCCGCATCGCAGCTGTCGAATGTCAGCTTGTCACCTGCGAGGTGACTGCCGCGCGAAAAGATGAGCAAGTCATCGTACAGCTCCAGCGTCGCAGGCTCGTTGAGGTCCAGGCCAGCGGCGGATGCCAGCTGTGCACCGGAAGGCTGGGCGGCAGCTGGGGATGGGAGAATCGATGGGCCCTGGTGAGTGTTCTGCTGAACATTCGTGGTGTGGACCTGGTTTGAGAGCACAGCCGCTGTTTCGTCGTCCGGGAAGAGGAAGTCGTCGGGCCCCATTATCTTGCCAGTTTTGTTCAGGTCGGGGTCTGCAAAGTTGGATGGCAAAGAGCTGATCTCAAACGACGCAACTGAAGCTTGGCTGCTAGAGAATGACTGCGTGTGCTGTAACTGTTGAAATTGGTGCTGCTGCTGCTGCTGCTGTTCCTGTTGCTGAGGCAGTTGCTGCTGTTGATGTTGCTGCAGTACGGGCAGCTGGTCGCGCAAGGCTAGTTGATGCTGATGCTGTTGCTGTCGCTGCTGGCTCAGCGGTTGCTGAGGTAGAGGCCGCTGGGGGGGCTGCATCTGTTGTAGCTGCTGTAGCTGTTGATGGTGGTGCTGGTGGCTCAGGTTTTGGTGCTGCGACGGTATCGTTGGCGACATCTGAGCCAGCGCAGGTGTCTGCTGCCGGTGCGAGGTGTTGACAGTCTGGTGAGGCGGCGGCGCATCCCAAGAGCTCACCCAAGACGCGAGTTCAGGGTCATAGTCGAGGTCCATCGGATCTTGGGACCAGACCGCGTACGTGTCGTCGCCGGCAAACGATCGATGGGACGTGGTACCGTCCGGCGCCACCAGGCCACCGGCGTCCGTGCCAGGCGGATGCATATCGTGTTGGTGTTGTTGCTCAAAGACGTAGAACGACAGGTCGGAACCGGTCGGATGTGCTGTGCCGTCCTGTTGTGGCTGCTGCGATACATGGAGCCCCAAGGCATCCCGAATAGCGGACGCCGACTCTGCGGACGGGTCCATTGGCATATCCATGGTGAATGGCGATGTCGGCGAGCGCTCAAGGCATAGGTGTGCTGTCTGCGTCGCTGCTTGTTGCCTCTTGGTCGTGTGGCTGCTTCTGACGTCGAGAGAGACAGGTCTTTGTGGTTCTGGCCTGATTTGATGTTCCTCCGAAACACTGACACACGTCAACCGGGCCGCGGCTGTTATCGTAATTGCAGCGCTCGCTGGCAAGGGAAGCAAAGAGTGTGGCTGTTCCTCTTTCTCGCCCTGCCTAGTATGCCGTCGGTTGTCTGCTCGATCGTCCCCCCGTCCGTCTCGTTCGCCCTGTTCTCTGTACTGCTGTAGATGGGGGAAGCGGCCGTCGATGGACGCTGCAGGCGCAAATCAGGTGTGGCTTGACATTTGGCCTGATGACGGGTTTGCCAGAGCTCGGCAGCCAGGGGCTAGCGGTCGATGAGAAACAGGCGTCGCAGGCTGCGCGTGGATGGTCAACGAAATCATTCAATGTGCATCTCTGTCGAAAAGGTCAGGTAGGTAGCTTCAGTTGATAAAGTACGCTGGACGATGCATTTGTTTCTCGTTTCGACTTTTACTGCTAGGGAAGGGGGGGCCGTGGGCCTGGGGTGGTATAGGCCTCGTTTCCTCATTGCCCTCGCAACAGGCTCTTGTCCTTGGCTCCTTCCATCATTCATTTTCCCATTCGCTCTCTCTTTCCCTCCTCCTACCCATTTTTTTACCAGTCGGCAGGTGCCAGCCAACCACAATAACACACAGAGGAAGGCGCATGTGTGACGTTCTGAGCAGGGGGCAGGAGCGAGCGTAAAACCAAGTCAGCCACCTATTTGAGCTAATGAGCCAACGTACCGGGGTGTGCCTGGCTTGTTTGCTCCCACCAGCATTTGTATGGAGTTACGTTCGCAGTGGCAGGTTCCCGATGTGAAAAACTGCCCTGCCCACGCTGCCCCCTCATATCCCTGCAAGCTGCAGAGTGAAAACTACAACGGCGACCGTTCCTGTGGTGCTGAAAATGGGGACGGGCGACAAGGCAAGAAGGGGGAGTGGGGCAGTGTTCGCACAAGGCAACCAATGGTGCCGTTAGCAGCAGGAACACCCGGTCTGCCGGTGCGGTCCTCCCCATTTGGGAAGAGCAGGCAGACGAGAAAAACAGGTGAGAGGCTTGGGCGAAGCATGGGAAGGAGCGAGAGATATCCCATGAACAGTCACAACAGAGCGGGAAAGAACCTACCAGCCAGATCGTAAAGCGGCAGCAAGAATCAGGATAAAGTGAGAGAGGAAAGAGGGGAGAGGAGAGAGGGTCAAAACGCATGCTCGCATGTGAGCCTACCTCTTTCCTGCTTGCCGGGAATGCGTCTTGCCAAGGATAAACAGCTAGCCGACCGCCTCTCCCCACGTCGCTTCCTCTTTCGGCAATGGTCCGCGGACAGATGGCGTGATGAGTGGACAGAGGGCTGGAAGCTCCAGGATGCGTAGAACATAGCATGCGATCCTCCTAGATACGATGCCCAGCATAAACAGCACAGAGTATACGACATGCTTGCTTGTCAATACGAGACCGTGACCTCTACACGACTGCGACGTACGACGTACGGAGTACGAAGATGCATCCGAACAAATTGAGTTCGGTTTTGCCGGTGGTATTTTCCACGTGGCAAAGCGTGGCTGTGGGTCGTCGACTTGTGTGAAAGGGAAAAAGGACGAAGCGAGCTACAGGTAAAAGGTACTTGAGTGTTTATTGACATTACTGACTAGGATTGGTAGACGGGAAAAGAATAGAAAATGCATCGAACCGCCGACAACGCCATGCTCGCTCGCTTCCATTACCATGCTGCGCCCCAAATCCATCAAAATGAAACTCCCGAAAAGCAACAGGGAAAGAAAACAATGAAAGAGCAAATGGAAAAGAGCCGACTCAGTTGTCTCGCAGAGGCAGCGAACCGCCCGGGCGCATCACACGTCCGCCGCCGCCAGCATTGACACCGCCGACACCCATGGACCGCTTCATCATAGCGCGTAGCTGCTGCTGCTTCCGCTCGAGGGGACCGCCCGTCGTGCTGGCCAGGCCGATAGGTCCGGCGGCAGCATTGTTGCCGGTGCTACCGTTGCTACCGTTGCCGGCGGCACGCACCTCTCGGCTGTCCCGCTTCAGCGTGGCAAAGGGACTGACGGTGCCTTCCCGCAGCCATTGCTGTAGGCTCGGCTGTGCGCGCGTCGGGTTGTTTGTGGTGGTGTTGGAGCGGTTCAGTGTGTTGGTCATGGTCGAGGTGCCCGTGGCGTAGATGGACGGGGAGACCACCGGCTGCTGCGTCTGCTCTTGTTGAGACGCTGGCACAGCGTTGTTGGCCGGCCCCGTTTCGCCCGTTGGTGTCTTTGGGAAGAGGGAGAAGGACGAGCGTCCATTGATGCCGTTGTTGTTGCCGTTGTTGTTTGCTCCACCGCTGCCTTTCCGTCCGAATGGCCCTTGCGGGAGACCGCCGGTCATGCTGATACTGCTGCCACTGCCCGATCCAAAGGCGCCAAAACCAAAGCCAGCACCGACATCACCACCAGCGCCTGCACCTGCACCTGCGCCAGGTTTGTTGGTCGTGTTGGTCGTACCAGCACCTCTGCCCGACATGCCTCGTATGTACGCTGCTTCAGGACGCTTCTCGTCGAAGCCGTCGCCATCAGCGTTGGCGCCCGTCATAGACGGCCGCGGCGGGTCTTTGAGATCGATTGGGTAGCCATAGGTGCCCCGGTTGCCGCCGTCGCCATCGCCGTCGCCATCGCCGTCGCCTCCCTGCTGTTTTGGGTACCCAATTTCACCGCGTGTGGCAATGAGGCGCGTCCGGCGGCGTTTCCGGTTCGTCTTGTAGCGCAAGACGAGGTAGAAGGCGAGAATGGTCAACAGCGAGGAGCCGACAAAGGCGCCGACAATGGCCAGGGCGGCCTGCGTCACCGACACGGCCGTGCCTTGCGCTTGCTGCACTTGCGTGGCGGCATCGGCGCGCGCAATGGTCGCGTCCGCTTGCGCCGACTGCACCTGCGACGCAGCCGCCTTGGCAAGGCTGGCCGCGCTGACGCTGGCGGCAGCGATGATGGCCGACGCGCTGCTGGTAAGGCTGGCCATGTTGGATGCGATGGCGGCGTTGGCGCTGCTCTCGGCGCTCGAAATGGCACTGGAGACGGCCTGCGAGGCAGACTGCGAGGCCTGCCGGGACGCGTCCTGTGCAGACTGGGCCGACTGCTGGGCCTGCTGGACCGAGTTTTGCAGCTGGTTGATGGATTGCGAGAGGCGGTCGGTGGACTGCGAGAGCTGGGTGACCTGCTGGGCGAGCTGCTGTGACGTCTGCGAGACGGAGCGGCTGGCCTGGCTGATGGACGACGCGACGAGGGAGATGGACTGGATCTGGGCACTCAGAGCCTGGATCTGACCGCTGTTGTCCTGGCGGCGGGCCAGCGACGGTGGTGGTGTTTGCCGCGGCTGGCGTGCGGCATTGGCGGGTGCTGCATGGTCTCTTTCTGCTTCTCCCTGCGCTCTGCGCATCTCGTCCCTCCTTGCAACCGCCTGCAGCATCTGCTGTATCTGCTCGTCGGCGTCGGCGGCCATGATGTTCGGTTCGGCAGCAGCCGCGGCTAGCGGCGCGGCCAGTCGGCGAAAGAACTCGACCACGTTGTCGCCGCTGCCACCGTCACGGCTGCCGTCGCTGGGTCCTGGAATCCTTGGTGCTACCAGGGCTTTGCTAGTGCCTGTATCTATATCGAGTCCCCTATTTGCCCACGCAGGACCAGCTGCTGCTGCGAGAAGCAGTGGCAGCCAAACTGCAGCTGGCCACCACCGCATGTGGCACTTTTGTCTCGCCATTCCGAGTATGGAGGGCGTATTAGGAGTGTGTATGCTGTTGAGAGATTCGTAGATATAAAACGTAGTGGTGATGTAGAGTGGTCACGGTATCATAAACAAAAGGCATACAAGCAAGAAATCATCGTCCTTGGTGACTAAAGTGATGGTAGGAAAGTTCGAAAAAGCTCGGGAGGCAAGAAAATCAAGTAAATAGGCAAAAAGAGAGAAAAGGAAACAAAAAACAAAACCCGTGGGAGAAATGAGATGGGGGGACAAGAAGTAAAAGGAAAAGTGGACAAAGACAGAGAGAGAGAGATCCGGGTTAGAAGACTTGCAAGACGTACTAGAGGATGGAATAAGATGGACATATCAGTTTCCATTTGCCCTTTTCCGGGCATCGTGAGCCAAACAATTCATGCAATCGTCGACCTGTCTCTTCTACAAACGGCAAACCAGGGTGCCGGCGAGGTTGCCTCCGGAAAGACGGAGAGTATGGGAAGGAGTCACAGTAACCCAAGCAAAGCATGAAGACGGTTGAGATGTCAAGTCGTTCGAGACACCTGTAGCCACCTGCGGTCGATGGGGCCAAGCAATCCATCTTTTCTCTTCGAGTTTCCCCGTCTGCGGCCTTCCAAATGGCTCCATCGCCCGCGTATTTGGACCCTACACGTCGTGAGGGACATTGGGCGATCACGTCGTATGACCTGCGATGGATACCGAGGAGACAGAGAATACGGCAGAGAGCAAACGTTCTGCATACGGTCAAGCCAATGAGATGCAATACGGCCCCATTCGTCTCCATGGAAGACATGCGTCCGCCCCCGTAACCTGTCAACCCGGGGTTTGGAACGTCTCAGCGCTGGCCATCCCCCTTGTCGCTGTCTTTAACTATTTTGCAGTCGAACTACCTTGTGCTCCGGATCCAAAGCGGAAAGCATGCGACGCGATGCCCGTTGCAACAATCAGAGGCAGAACAAGTACGGATTTCGGCGCACGTCGTTCAGCACTCCCTGTTCTCGAGAGTGATATTCTGAAACAATGACAGCATTCTAGCAGCGACAGAGAAGGCCGGAGACAGACATCACGGTAGGTGTAGACAGGGGGACACGACAAGGAACAAATGCAAGCCTTACGACGCACTAGAGTTGCAAAGGCTAGATACAAAATAGAAACAGTAGAAATATCCTTGATTTCAATACCGCCCTTCGAATCGTTCGTCCTGGTATATAACCATTCTCGTACGCCGTGCAGCCGTTTTCTTTCCCAGGTTTGCAGACAAATGTTTGTTTCGTGATGTACTGCCTAAAGAGAGACTCGCCATCCACGCCAAACACCAGGACGACGACAAACGGGACATTTTAGACAAGGTATAAGGATCGTTGTTACCAAGTCCAAAAAAACCGACATCAACGGGTAAAGAGGGCTCGTCGTAATGCTCGGCGCCGTCTACCTGGTCGACGCCATCACCAAAATAGTGACACTAGAATTCATCGCGAGGTTGTATTCAGTGCCCTATCCACCAACTGTCCCGTTTCTGCCCCGTGGCATTTCCATTATGCGTTTGGCATTTTCCTGTCAAAATCTGGCGATCTAAACTGCCGGAGAGAGACGGGAACAGAGAGTGCGCGAGGAGCGATGTCGGATAGAGCGAGGATCGCCCGTCTCAAACCCGCCTGAGACTCGCCCAGCAATCGCCCAAAACCATGCGACAAGACCGTCTTTCATTTATGCGTTTTGCACTGCCAGACCCTGCCAACGTCGGTCGTGTCCCTTGTGTTGCTTATGCCTTGTATTTCACCACGCAAATAAATACTACATTAAAATAACGCAACACAAAATCGTCGAGCTCGACATGGATACAAAACCAGAAACAACAGTAACGCCGTAGATAATACCGTACCACATAAAACCCCGGCTCTTCCAGCAGAGGGCTGGAGGCTGAGAGCCGAAAGCTGCATTACGCATGCGCGCGCAGCATGCCGCCATGCTTCTTCTTCATGTTCGTCTTCTGCTTCTTTTCTTTTCTTTTTGTCTTCCATATCCACGCAGCCATGCGAAAAGAGGTACGATGGTCCCTACTTTCCGCATACCGCTCTCCTCATCGCCGTAACCAACATCCAAACAAGAGACATACAGAGGCACCTTTTTCGGCACGGCTCCATACTCTCCTCTCCCATTCTCCCATGGTCCATTCTTGTCCTATCATCGAAGTCTTCTTCTCCATTCACCCCGGCGTCCTCATTCGAGCTCATCCACCGCGCGACCTCGCTGCCAGCCGGCTTGGCCACGCGAGGCGCTTAGACGGGCAGCTTGAACTTCTTGCCCTTGAACACCTTCTGGTAGTAGATCCAGAAGAAGTCGCTGTACAGGATCGTCTGGATCACGCCGGCCACAATGGCAATCCAGTCCACCTTGTGATGGGGCTCGGTCACGTAGCGGTACACCCAGTTGGGAATGTAGAGCGCGCGGTACAGCCCCAGCGCAAAGATGTAGTGCGTCGTGATGGTCTCGGCCTCGCCTGTGCGCTGCAGCATAAACAGCTGCGGCAGGATGGCGACGGCTTCCAGCCAGATGGAAAAGGCCCAGAGGATCTCGGACACGGTGTACTTGTACGGCACGAGGATGCCCAGCACCGCGGCGCCGCCCAACAGGTACTCCACGCGGAAGGTGTCGAGGTTGGGGTCGTTGGTGGGCTTGTAGGACGTCGTCATGAGGTAGAGGATGTAGCCCTGGGATGCAATGAAGAGGACCTTGAAGACGAAGTTGTATGCGCTCTCGGTCGAGAAGAGGTCTGCCGCGGTCCGTCAGCAGGGGCCGCTGGCGGTCGGTCGCCGCTGCGAAAGGGAAGAGACGTACCAAGGTATCTTGTAATGTAGACGATAAAGTAGAGAATTTGTGACTTGAACGAGATGCCCGAACAGCTCTATCCCCAGTCAGCTGCCAATCTACGTGCGATCGATGCCACCTTCTCCCATCAACGTACCTTGAGCTGGATCATCTTGTGCAGCAAAATGCCAATCGACACCAAATGGGACAAGTCCCCTGCAGCTGCTGTTAGCCCATGGGCTCTCTGCCTCCTGCCATCGGCTCTGTTTCCATCATGGGATCTTCGCTCCCGCCGTCGTTACGTACCAAACACGCGAAAAACGTTCAACCCCATCGTGGCGCCCTTGTCTCTCGGTCCGCTGCACTTGGCAGGATAGGAGGCACAGCGGCGCGGAAGGCCCAGTACACAGTCCCAAACGGGGGCGAAGCAAATGAGCTACTATCGTCACCGGTGGTCGTCGTTGGTATCACCGCTGTCGTCGTATCGTCGGTGCAGCTGTCAGCTGTGCCGGTTTGGTTTTGCGTCAGGGGAACGTGCGGGAGCCAGATTCGTGGAACGGATGCGCAGGTTCGCAAACGCGCGTATCCTCGGGATCAAAGGCGAGGCGAAAGAAGCGAGAGTCCGTCGGATGCAGCGATTGAATGACAACGACTGCCGAGCGTTATCTGTCCCCTTGTGGAAAGTGGAAAAGTGGTGGATTGTTCTTGCCGAAATGAGAGCAGAGTGCAGCCCGCGCCGGAAGGTGCAAAAGGGAAAGGACACGAACGCGATTAGCTCCTTATTGGCTGCATGGCCCACTGAGAGAGATGAGAGAGAGCTGTCCCGCGTTGTGGCCTCTAGCGCGTTATGCCCACTGAGGGTGCCGAGTGGATCGCCGCCACAGCGGCACACAGTGAGCAACGGCCCCCCTTGTGTGGCAACAAATCTCAGCCGCCACAAGTACCCCTTCTACCAAACACTGCTACAAGGTACTTTTACTACTGCTCACTCAGGCAAGAGGCGGTCCGCCAAATCTTCCGCTTCTGGACGTTTCCTTGGCCCCCGCCATAGGCCCCAAGCTAGCGCCTTCCGTCGTTGTCATTCAACATTACCAAGCAGGCGCACCAAGGCTAGGCGGCCGAGGCGTTGCGCCAGACGCTCACGGAAGCATCGACGACATCCCATAAAACGCTCCTGCCCGCCTTGTTGCCCTCCCTACGGCGGCCCTGTGATAACAAAACAAATATCTACGGGGCCAAGGGCCAGCTGCAACGACTTTTCCACTTGCTCCGTGCACTCTTCTGACTCTCTATTTCTTTCTCAGCTGGCCATATCTTTATTGCGTCATCATACTCCGTGCACAAGATACATATCGTTTTACAGACAACCACCACCCGTCACCATGTCGGCAGACGAAATAACAGACGCTGCCTCTTCGGCCGACGATGACTACATCGAGATTGTCGTCACCCATGGCAAGAAGTCGTACACGTTCCACATGCCGTCCCAGGCCACCGTCGAAGACATAGTGCTCCTTTGCGAGATCGAGCTGCAGGGCCAGGCGGCGGACGGCGAGCCAGCCACGCACTACACCGTCACAAGACTGATTGCACCGCCGCCCGTCGGCTTGATCAATGTGATAAAGGACGGAAACAATGTCCTGGCCGACTACATTGCTCGCCTCGCGGCTGCGCGAAGACGGTCGACCAAAAAACAGCAGCAGCAGCAACCGCCCAACCAGCTCAAACTCACCCTCTTGGCGACGCCGTCCAGCGCCATCCGGAACGTGCGTGAGGCCAGTGAAGAGGCCAGCCGGCGCATCTCCCGCATGTCCCTACTGCGACAGCGTGCTGTTCCCGCGAGGCAGACTGCACGACAGGGCGTGCACACCGTCTCCGGCGCCAGCTCCTACACGTTTTCCGACATCAAGCCGCTGCCCCACCTGCCCGACCCGGACCGCTCGCTTGCCTACCTCCGTCGCCTGCGCGACGACCCAGGCATCCGCCATGTCATGCAGACGCACCAGTTCCGCGTCGGCCTGCTGACGGAGATGGATCCCCGCCTCTACACCGAGGCGAACCACGAGGGCACGTCGCGCACGCTGGGCCTCAACCGCAACCACGGCCAGGTCATTGAGCTGCGGCTTCGGACCGACGACTTCACCGGCTACCGCGACTACAAGACGGTGCGCAAGACGCTGTGCCACGAGCTGGCGCACAACGTGCACGGCCCGCACGACAAGCACTTTTGGGCGCTGTACCGGGAACTGGAGCGGGAGGTGGAGCGCGTGGCCGACAGCCGGGGTGGCCGCGCCGGTGGGCGGACGCTGGCGGGCGGCCGCGACGGAGACTACTACGAGCCGCCGACGGCCTCGTCGGACGACGACCAAGAACACGACCACGACCACGTCGATGCCGGTGGTTTAATCGGTGGAACCTTTGTACTGGGCGGCGCTGAATCCAGCGATCTGGGAACGTCGACGGCGACAACGACCGGACCTGTCGATGGAATTGCCGTCCCGCCTGCGATGGGCGACCGCGAACGGCGTGCGCACGCGGCGGAAGCGCGACTTCGGCGGGGCACCGCAGGCGAGGGCGGTGCTGCCGGCAACGACACGACGAGCAATGATGGCTCGGGCCAGTCCGCTCGCCAGTAGCCGGTAGCTGTTGCTTTTCACGTTTTCACTTTCCTTTCTTTTTCTTCAGCCTGTATTTTGGCCTTTATGGCATGGCCTGGCATGGCATCTGTTGACTCTGCATTGCGAGGGCGTTTTGGGGGTATCTGTCGTTTTTGTATGGTTTGGTTTGCTGGTTGTTTATCGTTGTTTATTGTTGTTTACTAGAGATGCATTTTTATGACAGCATTGCATTTGATGCATTTGATCCATTTGATCCATTTGATGCATTTCAATATACTGTTGCGCATCGCACCACTGCTAGAAAGCAATTGCACAATGGGAACCTCATGATGGTGAACTTGATGGCGAACTTGTAAACTTGTTCGTTGCTTTAGGCTCTTCCATTCGGCGTGTCTGCACATTCAAAAGGGTATCTGACACCAAAATGTAACGAGAACAACACGCTCGTTCCATCACAAAGCGTGACTTCTAAAGAGAGCTCGGGTAGTTTCGACAGAAATCGAAATTGCCACTGTCGGCCGTAGTCCCATAACCAAACGCCATTTTTCCAAAGAAAGTATGCTGTATAACATGAAGAAATACATGAAACCAAAAATACAAGGTAGGCCGTCCGCTAACGCCGTCGTAGGTTGCAGGAAATGCAAAGAATATAAAAGAAATACGTCCTGTTCGGAAAATGTAGGTCCACGAACAGGTCGTGGTCGCAGTTGGTTGTTATGTCGATGGTCGATGATGTATGGAGCGTAAACGATGCTCAGTGGCTAAAAATGCCACCGTGGAATCCGCGCTTCGTCTGTGCGGCGTCCTTTTCAGACGAAGCGGCTTTCTCGGCCGTGGCATCGATGTGCGCCTGCTTCGTGTGTGGGGGGTTCTTGACCCATTCCTTGGCCTCGTGGTTCCATGTATGTCTAGTTGGTTAGCAGGATGCATCTGGCGTTTTGTGTATGTCTGTGTGTATGTCTATGTGTCTGGCACATACCCCTCCCATTGCGTAGCGACGAGGCTCTTGGAGCCATATTCGTCGGTCAGGATCTTGTCGAAGCTGTACGGGATCGTGGCCGGCACGCCTTCAAACTCGGTCTCGCGCATGGGGTACAGCTCGCGCGTCCGATAGCGGTGGAAGTTTTTGCAGCTCCAGATGCCCGGGCTGCGCTTCGGCTCGCGCTCGGCCAGGCCGGTGATGTCGATGAACATGCCGTTGGACGTGTCGATCCAGCGCGCGTCGATGATGTTGAGGCCGTCGCCGCGGGGCAGGCCGTGGTTGGGGTTGATGTCCAGCAGGTACTCCTTGACGACGTCCTCGCCCGTGGCGTCGTCGCGGTAGCGGTACGTGTGCAGGGTGCGGTTGTAGTGCTTGGCCAGGTAAAAGAGCGTCACGTCCGACACCTGGACGTCCAGGTCGTAGTCCCAGGGCATGATCCGGCCGTTCCACCACCAGCCGAGCAGCGTGCCGTGGGCCAGCCAGGTCTCGACGTTGAGCGAACGGAACGTGGTCAGGTACGAGCGGATCAGATGGCGGAGGGCGGGGCGGTGCTCGCCGTAGGGGACGAGGCCCTTGAAATAGCGAATGTCGTAGTGGCCGAGCTCGTTGTCGCTGCCCGGCTCATGGAAGTACTTGTCGCCTTTGACGGGGCGGTTGGGCGGCCGTCTCTTTGCGAGGCGTGGTGATGCAGGTGGCTTTGCCAATGGCTGCTTCGCGGCGGCGGTGGCTGCTGAAGTCGAGCCGGGTACAGTAGCTGCAGCAACGCGTGCTGGTGACTCTGCTGTCGCGAGCACACCGCAAAGCATGAACGAGGCGACCAGTAGAAAGATATGCCGCAGGGAGGTCATGGTGGGCGACGTATAGGCGAGAAACGCAGTTCAACGAAACATGGAAGCAGACATGAATGGCGCACTAGATATGTCGTCCAGGCTCGTGGGACACAAAAGAGTCGCGATATAATCTGTAGAGGAAACGCTGGTGTGTGTTCTGCTCAGCTGGATCTCGTCTGGGTCGGGGATCTGCAAAGCCGAATCGCAAGCCGAAATCCGTGACTGAAAGGATGAAATGGCAAGCAACAAACGAAGTCAAGAAGACAATAGAATGGAAAAGAAAGAAAAAGGCAAGCCAAGGAGTGTCGAAAATAAACAATAGGTGAAAAACAGGAGAACACAAAACAAACCCGACCCGCCTCCGAGGCTGGGCGATGGTTGGTTCTTTGTACGTCTACGAAGTATGATCGGTCGTTCAACTCAGGGACGGAGCATCAAGAAGCGAGAGTAAGGACACGACATATGGGGACAAACTACATAACCACTTATTACGCCGCCCCTTGCGAGGCATGGCAGGAGCGGCCAAGACAACGCGGAAGGCGGTCTTGGGTTGTGTATGGACAGGAAGGTGCAGACGTACACATACCCCGTTCAAAGTGCAAGAAAGGAGAGGCATGCTTGGCGAAGTACAGCTCACAGTGCGAGGAAGTTGACAGAGACTTTTCAGACGAGCAAATGCCCATCGGTTCTGAAAACAGAGTTCTGATGACGGGACTTGGACAGGACTCGGAGAACCTGAGTCTTTCCTTGAATGGCAAAAGGCCACGCGGACAAGGGACCATCTGCCAAAACCTGCAGCACACACTGGAGCCCGGTGGATTCGCAGAGGCCAAAACTGGGAGGCGACGAGACCCTTGCAAAAAGGCATACGTAAGTCTTGGCGCTAGATGCATACCGTGCCGAAGCCAGGCGGCGGACACGGAGTACTTGGGTTCCTGGGAGAGTTGGCAAGCACGCGACCAAGGAAGGAAGGGACAAAAACAAAACGCGCCTTCCTATCTTTTGTTCTGTTCACTACTGTGGTCAATGCAAATGGAACGGGAAGGTGCGTTGCCTTGGCTCTTGGCTCCGTGCAGCCGTTTTGGCAAAATGCAAAATGCCAAATGCCAAAAACAACACAAGAGTTGCAATAGTCGTGGTGTTACAGATGGTATACGGAGTACGATGGAATAAGGAGGGACAAGAGGACTGGACAGGCGAGCACACGACACAACGGCCGATAGACTCACGGCAAGGCGAGTTGGAGGAAATCTTGGCGCCAAAATCTTTAATCAAGTTCTTGGCAGGTGGGTCTGCGCCAAGCCAGTGAGAGCTTGCTTTGGACGCCGGTATCTTGGTATCTGGCCTGTGTCGCGTGTCCTCTGCCCGGGTATTGGCAGGCACAGTTACGGAGCACGGAATAGAGCCTTCTTGTGAAGCGTCGTCCCGCGTCTCCCTTGAAGAGTCGTCAGACAGACTCTCGCTTGAACGGCTCCTTCCTCCAGGGTAAGGGCAGTTCTCCCTTTCCTCTGTACATTGTAAATTGCAATTGTGCCAAATTGACGGAAGGTGCAGCCGTCTGTGGGAAAGAGCGACGGGCTCTCCTGCCAATGCCCACTTTATGCTAACGACTGCTTGCCGCGCGTCCTGTCACTTTTCCGAAACCACTTCCCTTTTCGTTCACTCCTTCCTCTCAGTTGCTTGTGTGCTTGTATTTGCCCCAATTTGAGTTTACGGAGCGCGGAGTGGCTTTTATTGCACCGCGGTGGACAGCGTCTATCATCTCACGAAGGACGTCCGCTCACACTCGCACATAAACTGAACCTTTCTCGCGCGAAAAAGTCGCACTGGACTCTGTGTTGCTCCGTTGCAAAAATACGTGGAAGGAGATTGAAGAAACAGTGGGTCTGTCCGTCTTGGCGCCGTCATGCCAGAGGCGAGGAAGGAGCATGGCGCCAACGGAACACGGCTGCCAATGAGCCTCACATCAACGGGGCCTGGAGGCTCAAAACGACACGCAAACATCCTGACGATTGTGTGCCGGTTTGCCGGGACTGGCATTTGACTGGAAGAACAGAGTATTGCGACTATGCCGTGTGCCGTAGGTGCGGTCGGGCTTTTCTGCGTCATCCAATGGGAGTGCGCGTGCCTTTCCTTTGGCAACCGGCCATTATTGAATGTGATAAGTTGTCCGCTGTTCTGTGGCAGAATTGACTGACGAGAGCGTAACCATACTAAGCAATTACGGGACCTGTTAGTTACGGGGTGCCGCATTTGCAATATCCTTGCGTCGTATATCGAGATTCGTAGAGTACCTGCAAAGCAGCTTCGCAGTTGAGAAAGAGCCCCGAGTGTGTGCTGCTACCCTCTTTACTAATACTGGTTTGTCGTTCCAGACGACTGTCATATCCGGTATTGAAGTATCGTTTCTCGTGTGTTGGGCGTGTGACAGTAATCCTCCCAGCAAGCAGAAACGTGAAACACGTAAACACGATTCTGTCGTTCAACACGACTGTTTGTTCCAAGAATGTGGTTTCAAAACCAGGACCGGTGTGCAAGGCCAGAGGCTTCCACGTAGACGCCGCAGCATCGGTCTTCTTTGTCTATTTTAAGAAGTGGACAAAAATGCAAAAAGATATTTATAAAAATAAGGTAAAAATAAATAGAGGTCTCGCCTCCTTCGTCCGGGCGTCCGGTTTCATCTACGATCGGTCGATCATTTACGACAGTGAGCAGACAGGCAAACAGGCAAACAGAGCAAATGAACAATGCATTCAAACTGAAATCTCGTATGTTGTATTTCGGCAAGGCAATAAAAAAGGTTCGCTGTCCGCCACGTAGCCAATTTTATATCGTATCATCATAACAAACAACTCAAATGTGTCTAGAATAAGGGGACAAGACGCCAAAAAAGAATACCCAAAACAAAGACAACGGTCAAAAAGATGCCAGCGTAACACAAAGCTGACGGGCTCACACATCCGTACTCTCCGGATCCCTGCCCGTAAACACCTTGTAGAGACGCCGGCTCAGCGCCGGCCCGACAGTCCGGTCAGAGGGTGCGCCGTTGCGGTTCCGGCTCCGCAAGCAGGCTTCGAGGGCCAGCGGTCCTTCGTCGGCAAACCCGCGCAGCAGCTCAGGCACCGTATCGTAGCGCGCGGCCACGCCCATGGCGATCGGCTCCGTGACCCGCGCCACCTGCTGCAGCATCAGCACGTACGATTCGGCGGCGTCTTCGCCCGTTGCAATCTGCCCGCTGTCCATGCAGAACGACGCCGCCGCCGCCGCGTACAGGTCGTCACGCTGCTGGCGGTAGCGCGAAAGCGCAATCTGCTCCGTAAAGACCTTGATCCAATGCGCCGTGTCCAGGCCACCACTCGTCTCGTGGACGAGCACATGCCCTTGCCCTTCGCTGCCGTCGCCGTCGGCCCCGCCGCTGTGCTCCATCTGCAGATCCAAAAGCGCCTCGTCCACGAGCGCCTCGTCCAGGTGCTGCGGTGCTTGCTTCTGGCCCCGTCGGCCGAGCCGCTGTGATGGCCGTGCTGCCTGCTGCGCGGTCGCTGCTTGCGCACCGCTCCCGCTCCCGCTGCCCGCCTCGCCCCGCACGGCGGCCACAAACTGGCGGTTTCGAATCGTCTTGTTTCTGCTCCGCCAGTCCTTCAGCCCTTCAATCAGATACACAATCGTGTAGCCGGCAAAGGCGGTCTTCACGGCCGCCACATGGCTGTCGAGGTCGTGGCCGCCCGTCTGATGCAGGGTGTCGGGGTCGCCGTCTCGCGCCAAAACCAACCGCACAAACTCGTCGCCTCGCAATACCACAAGGGCATGCTTCTCGTCCTCGAGACGCGTGGGGACGGGCACCCAGTGGCCCAGGTCCGGTTTGTAGTCGTTGGATACCTTGCGTCGCCACGTCACAATGTTGTCGACTGGGCGGCTTGTCCACTCTTCGTGGGCGGCCTTGACCGCGGCCAGCTTCTCTTGGGTCGTCTCCTTGGTTGCCTGGGACAGGGTCGAGGGCAGCCGGACGACCATCTCGGGTGCGGCCGCGGCCTTGGTCAAACGAGACTTGTTGGCGTCGTGAAACGCGGCCGCCTCGGCCTTCTCTTTGGCTTTCTTTTCTTTGGCCAAGTCGGCTGCAATCTTGCGCCGCTCTCTCTCAACCTCCTTTTCTTTTTGTCGACGCTCCCTCTCGGCTTCCTTCGCTCGACGCCGAAGAGAGGCGTCGAGTTGCTTCTTCTTCTGGCGGTCTGTCGCCACAGTCTCGTCAAACGAGGGTCTCCTCTTCACTGCCCGAGCGGTTCGTCGAGCTGAGGGTTGTAAGGGTGATTTTACTGGCAGTTTCGATTCGATCAGCTTGCGGCTCTCCCTCCACTCTGCCAGGAGCGCATCGGCGGTCGCTTTGTCATACACGTCGTCTTCTTCGTCGGAAAAGACCAACGGCGGGCCCTCTGAAAGGCTTCTTCGTAATTGTCTCTCGCGGTGTGGCTGCGCGTGTGTCGGTGGACGTACGCCAAGATGATCCTTCCTAGACCTTGCAACGGGCGAAACGACAGATGGACTGGAAGACACAATGATTTCATCGCAGGGTTCTCTTTGGTGTCCGGCTTGCTTTTCTCCGAGCTGATTGGTTTGCCAGAGGTCGGCTCCTGGCTGTTGTGGCTCCTGTCGCTTTGGAGATTGCTGCCGTGATCTGGGCGACGGGTTCGCAAGCAGGTCGTCAATGTCGACAAAGTCAGAGTCGATCGTTGATGGCCGCGTCGTTGACCGAGACCGTTCACGTTCCGAGTCAGAAGAACTCAGCAGGTCAATGCATGCCGCATGGTCCTTTGGTGCACTCGGCAGCGGGATTTGAGTTGGGCGTACGGTTGGTGGGAGGGCGTCGTCAAAGACGTCACAATCGTCAAGATCGTCAACGAGGTGCACAAAGCGGTCATTAGGATCCGCGGCGGGTGAATAAAACTGGACAGGCAGGTTGTGCCGCGGTGGGCTGTCGGTGGTCCCGGCCAAAGGCGAGGTCGGCATGGCACGCCGGGGAGCCACGCTCGGCGAGCCAAGACACGGAGACAGCCGTATGCGCTTCGCTGGTCTGCCCTGCGCAGCCTCGGTACTGTCATCGCTGTCGGCAGCATTGGCTCGGAGTCGCTCGAGGGCAGCCCCAGCAGCCTTCTCTCGCATCGACTCCTGCGGTGGGCTTCTGTGTGCGGAGAGCGGTGGTTGGCTCGGAGTCCGGCTCAGAGCCGGCAGTCTTGGTGTAGGAAAGGCACCAGGGAAGGGAGAGGTAAGAAAATCGTCCACGGGGAAACTTGAGACGCCAGGTCGAGCAGAAAGCCGCGCTGCTGGCGAGTGGTGGCTTGGCTTGGACGGCGCCGGGGTATCGAAGATCTCGATGACGTCCGCATGGACGCCCACATTCCGCCCTGCCGTCGTTGGAGCCAGCTTCGGTAGATTAAGCCGTGGCGGCGGAAGCGTCGCCTCTTGTGACGATGCAACTGCACTGGTCCGATTGTTAGCTGGCGATGCGGTGGGCGGGTGCGGCGTGACAAAGGCGCCGTCCGAGTTGGAGTCGTCGCTTAAGAGAATGACGACGTCTCCCGCCATAGTCGATTGTGGTGGCGGATACGAGAAGCGATGGCGAGATGGGTGCGAGAACGTCAATATCAACGTCGCATCGTCGCCAGGAGATCCAACAGCAAGGGAATGGCAGGAGGAGGGGAAGGAGGGACACAAAATGGCCGTTTGTTGACATTGTCAGCTGCAGGCAATTAGCGGCCGCATCCAGCAGTCGCGACCCACAGCGCGTCTATTAAATGCACCCAACGCGAAAGAGCCCCGACGGTCACGTGCGATAGTCAGGGTAATTAACTTGAAGCGCAGTTGTGCAGTGAGAGAAGGCACGATCGACCATCTACCAACCAGCTGGTTGAACGGCACATTCTCATATATTTACCCTTTGCGAGCAGTATCGTATTGTTTCTGCTCATCACTCAGAACTGCGCCAAGATGGTTCCTCTCACAGTAGCTGTATGGTGGGTGGGGCATACAGGAGACGAAAGAAAGGGCCACCAGGCACTGTAAAGCAAGCGACCACGAAATGAAAAGGCATCCTTTTAACGATTGTTTTCGTTGTTCATTATACGACATCAACATTTCTTTTCCTTAAGCACTGTCAAGCCTCTCAAAGTATTCAGTCTTTGTATCTTTTTGTAAAATGTGTGTATGGTATATGTGTGTGTATTTGTACATGAATGGGCTGTGGACAACCTCGTTGAAATCATAATTAGGTATAGTGACAAGGAAAAAGAAGGAGTGCGTAAAAGGAGGAAAAGGAAGGGAAACAAAGAAAGCGAGAAAGGAGAAAAAATAAGAAAAAAAAAGAAGAAGAAGAAACGTCAGCCTAAAAGGCAGAAACACCCACAACTCCCACACGTATCCTACACTCGTCCGCTTGCCACTCGCTCGAAAGACTGACGGGTATCAAGCTCCCATGTTGAATCACCAGACACGCGCAGTTCTGGCCCGTCAGCCCGACAGTCGTTGTCATTGGGTATGATTGCCGCCCGGACCGCCAAACATGCGCACGTTCTGGAGCGGGATGTTGTTCCCAGACGTGGTCGTGGCGGTGACGCCGCTGCCGCCCGTGGACACGGTGCCGTTGTTGCTGCTGCTGCTCAGCTTCTCGTGGGCGCCAAGGGCCATGGCCATGCCGATGCCGTGCATGCCGCCCGAGTGCGCGTGGACAGCGCCGCCAGGGCCGCCGTGGACGCCGACGCCATGGCCGGCGCCGCCCATGGCCGAATGGCGGCCGTGGCCGTGGCCGTCGAGCGAATACAGCGAGCCGTTGTCGTTGTTGCCGTCAATTTCGTTGAGCACCTCGCGGGTCAGCTCGACATAGTCATAGGCAAACTCGCCAATCTCCGAGTCGTCGATGCCCAGGATCTCGGCTTCCTCGCTGGCGCGCAGGCGGAGGCCCGGGATCATGTTCATGACGAACAAGATGAGGGAGGTGCCGACAAACGAGTAGGCGCCGCCCGAGAAGCTGTCGGCGAGCTGGATGCCGAGCTGCGCCCAGTGGTGGTTGACCCAGCCGCCCGCGATGACCTGGACGCCGTCGAGGTGGGCAATGTAGTCGGCGGCAAAGAAGCCGGTGCAGACGTTGCCGACGAGGCCGCCAATGGCGTGGACGGCAAAAATGTCGAGGGCGTCGTCGATGCGCAGCAAGAACTTGAGCTTGGTGGCGTAGTTGGCAAACGCGGCGCCCAGGATGCCGTACGGGATGGCCGCCCAGGCCGGCACATAGCCCGAGCCGGGCGTAATGGCCACGAGGCCCGCCACGACGCCCGAGCAGAAGCCGACGGTCGACCACTTGCGCTCCAGCCGGTAGTCGAGGACGCACCAGGTGATGCCGCCGACGCAGGCGGCCAGGTTGGTGACCACGGCGGCCATGACGGCGCGCAGGTTGGCCGAGAGCGCCGAGCCCGCGTTGAAGCCGAACCAGCCGACCCACAAGAAGACGGTGCCGATGACGATGTGCGTCACGTTGTGCGGCCGGTAGTTGAGCTCGTGCGTGCCGTGGCCGCGGCGCTTGCCCAGCATCATCGAGTACGCCAGCGCCGCCGTGCCGCTGGCAATGTGCACGGGCGTGCCGCCCGCAAAGTCCAGGCCGCCCAGCCGGCTCGTCCAGCCCGACGGGTTCCACGTCCAGCAGGCAATCGGGTCGTAGATCACCGTGGCCCAGATAAACATAAAGAGGACGCACGGCAGCATGCGGCCGCGCTCGGCGACCGCGCCCGTGGCGAGGGCCACGGTGATGGCCGAGAACATGCCCTGGTAGACGGCAAACATGAGGTCCGGGATCCGCGGCGAGCCGACGGACGGCCGCGCCAGCACGTCCTTGAAGCCAATGTTGGCCAGGTCGCCGATAAAGGGCCCCGCCGTGTGTGAAAAGGTCAGCGAGTAGCCCCACAAGAACCACTGGAATGTCGTGACGGCCGTGGCCATGACCGACAGCCAGATCAGCGAGAGCGCCGACTTGCGGCGCGCGAGGCCCGAGTAGAAAAACCCGACGCCCGGGATCATCAGCAGCACCAGCGCCGTCGCCGTGATCATCCATGCAATGTCGCCCGTCTCGTACCAGATGTTGAGGTTGTCAGTAAGGGCGTCGCCGCCCGTCGATCCGGTGCCATTGTACGGCACTTTGAGCACGTACGGCAGGTCGTCAAGGTCGACGCCGTCGATGGTGGCCATTGTAGCGGTGGAGGGGTGTCGGAGGAGAAAAGTGGCAAGAAAAAAGAACAAGAAAAAGAAAAGAGGGACAATTGAAGAGCAGAGACTGCCGGTTCTGAGGTGTAAAGATGACGACGGGATGTGAGATGGGAGTGGGATACGAGTGGGTATATACACGGATGAGCTTGGAGCGGAGGATGTGGATTGGCGTCAGGGAAGCAGAGGGACAAGGAGACGAAAAAATAAAGGCCAAACGACACAAAGGCCAAAAGTTCGAAAAGGCAAACAAGGTACCTCTACGAGTATCAGCTGGTGTGATATGCTGAGAGAAGGTCGTATGCAGACACGGAGTATCACAATACGACGGTTTGAGACACGGAAGAAGGAACTGGGGGCGAGGAGAGAAAACGAAACAAAGCAGCAGGGCAGGGTATCCTTTACTATTCAAAAAGATGACGATAGACAACGGGAGAGCAAAGGTTCACGGTAATTTGAGTCTTTTGATCTGCTGGTAGGTGCATACGCATTAAAGTGAAGAAAAGTGAAGTAAACGGAAATAAGTAAAGAAATAAAGAAATGACAGAATCAAATAAAGGCCAGAGACAGTCCAGCACAAGACGAGATGAGGAGATGAAGAAGGCGTCGACCAGTGTGATGTAGACTATGCCATGCAGTACTCCGTAGAATATACCGCTGCTATTCTCACGGCTGCGGGCTGTGGTCTAGATTTGCAGTGGAAAGTATGAGGCAAAATACATCGAATTCAAAGTACGGAGTATTGCACCGTACTTGTTACAGTGTACCAAAACACTGGAACAGGGGGGTGAAAAGGAAATCGACCAAGCAGAACCCCATGTACGTGGGAGCCGTCCGGCTCGATGATAAGGATACAGCGGAGAGTGGAGGTGGAGGAGAAGAGTGGGTGATGGGTGTGACCGATGCAAGTGGCATGAGTGGTGGATGTGAGTGGAAGGATGCGGAACGTCTGTCCATTGGAGCTTATCTGCGACTCCGTTGACACGAAAGAAAAGCAAAAAGAAAAGGAAAAGAAAACGACAAGTCATGGTCTATGAATCAGGCGGATGTTACAACGTGCATCCAGGAGGCAGCAACCCGGAAAAAGAAACCTAAACGGCAGCGAAATTTAAAATCTATGAGGAAAACAGAAGCAGGAAATAAGAAAATACAAAACGACACTGGATGGACGGCGACTCCATGAAGGGAATATTACGAGAGGTAAGGCAAGTCGCCCAGGTTTGGCAAAACGATAGAAATAGGAGTATTCGAATGGAGAAAATAAGGTGCCAACGGTATTCGGTCGTCTTTTGTCGTCTTTTGTCCTTTTTGACAACTAGAAACAGCTGGGCATCGTCATGCGGGCGAAATTAAGGTGTGAAAATGACAAACAGGGCGAGAGAGACCGCAATGTTGTCGAAAAAGACACTTCTGAAAGCCATCTCCGATTCTTCCTTCGACGCAGGGCTTGTATTCGATATAAAAGTGGGTCCACCGTATCAGCAAGACATATTTCATCGTGTCGAGACTCCAGCAAAGAGGTAGATATCACTTCGAGAGTCGAGTATCACCGATGCATTGGGCATCCCCTGCAAGTGGCCTCGGTGGCTTGCACTTGTATCTTAAGTGACGGTGCGAACCCCTGTCGGAAATGGACCCACAAATTGATAACACTAACAGCGTCGTGTAATAGATAAGGACGGCTGCGGGCCGCCATTGGCCAGACCCGACGACATGCGGAGGAAGGAGCGCAGGACGGCCACCCGCGCAGAGTGGTCTCGAGGAAGGCGCATTCGAAGGACATGGAGCCGCAAAACGGCCTGCATGATGCTTTTGCCAACCGGGAAAGTGCAGGTGGGGGCAACCAGTTGGAGAAGGCACGACCTGCAAACCAGCCAGACTAAGCGGTATTACACAGCACATATGCCTTCGACCAGGTGCCGTTTCTGCTTCTATCTTTGTTTCTTTTTCCTGGATACCACCCTCCATCTTCTTTTCGGGACCCTTTATTGTTTTGTCTTGCATGGAATTGTGCTCGATCACACACCAAAATGGAGGGACAGAGGACAATCACCGTGAGAAATGATTGTCCAGTGAAATAGGAAAATGAGAAGAATTTCAACATACGATCCATAAACCGGTATTGTTGAGACGTAAAATGACCATCGATCGAACCACGTTAGATACGGACTACACTATGTGGCAATAAGCAATCCATACTATGCTTTAAATCCCCAACCACTGTGGCTAAGATCAGACTTAACGCTTGCTTTCTATTGTCTATTCGCCTCGACCGTTCCAGTGCCATGGTAGGGTCCAATGATTGCGACGCAGACGTCAATGCACACTCAAAAAAAAAAAAAAAAAAAAAAAAAAAAAAAAAAAAAAAAAAATAACAAGAACGGGCGGCAGGTCACCGATAGGACCTGCATAAATACTGGATAGTACCACGTAACGGTGAAGGCGGTGCAACAAACACATTCAGGGGAAGCCACGCCAAGTACGACAAAAATATGGTTCTTCAAAGGCAATATTGTAGTAAGTATTCGCTTCCACTATTTGATATGTTCTCGACACGACCATGGTCGAGACGTCACTCGTCAAAACGTCAATCGAGTCGATTTAGCTAGCTCTTGGTCACAGATCGACGGGGGAAGACAAGAATGACAAAGGAAAGACAGCAATCACGCTATGAACAAGCCCTATGAACAAGGATCAGGTACCGGCTGAACGTCAGTTGTATGAGGGTCTCATCTACCAGGGGATGAGTGGATGTGTGGGACGGCTTTTGTGTACTTGTCACCAACGGTCACTCGGGGCGAGGCCCAAGGACGGGAGAGCGGCGCCCAAGGGTTGATTTCGTGAGTTATAACAGGTCGTTCTTTGTTCTCGAAGATCACTATCCACGCCGAGAGAGCTATACCTGGCTACAGCTCATGTAATACGCATATATAAGTGGACGTCGAACCCGTTCTTTCAGACAAAGGTCCTACTAATAACCAAAGAATGAGACAAAACAGATGAGAGATGTGAGTACGAGAAGATACGATGAAATGATGATACGACACGGAATGGTCAAAGCTATATGCCAATAATAAGAGAGAATATCGATTCACAGCTCCATTCAGCCTACTGCACACTTTCTAATGTCTGTCGCAATGCAAAGGAAGAGAAACAAGCCGAGTTTTACATTGGGGTTTTGACAAGTTCCACGCAGGGCAGTTGCAATTAAATAATCAAACTGGGGCACGACCTCATGTCTAAAAGCGTTCGTGATGCTCTCGAAAGACAACATACAACATACACGCACACCCCACATATATACTCGACTCTGCACGTTGGCCTTCTCTCTCATCTTCTTCTGGATAAGTCGGCTCCATCCGCCCACGGCCGCCCCAACGGCAGCCTCTTTGCGTGATAGTCTCGTGTTTTCTACCTTCCTGTAGGAGTGCCATCTTTCATTTTGTCCTCCCCCAACAGCGGTACTGTTTCCAATTTCAGCCCCGCGCGCCCCCCGAGCAGCTGGTCGTTCGCCAGCGTCAGCTCCAACTGGCACACAACACGCGATTCGCGGCCCCACCCCACGCACGACCCGTCGTTTGCTTGTCCCCCTTTTCCCCCATCGCGGCGTCGCCGATGGCGAGAAAGATGCTGCCAGTGAACTAGCACAAACACCAACCCCGTGCATTCAGCTCATCGGTCCTCAAGTCTCCGATCTTGGATCCGCCTTGACTTGCCTGCTTTCATTCTTCCAGAAAGACGCGTGGAAAAAAGCTAAAAGGAAAAAAAATAAGGCGGCCCGGAATTGAATTGCTTGCATCTATTGACCAGTCCGTCCTTCAACCAAGAACAAATAGCGGTGAACTCTGTGTTCCCCATAACAGAGTGGGCAAGTCAGGCCAGTTCTGTAGACACGTACTTTTGCTTCGACTTCACAAACGAAAGTAATGAATGGAACGGCAGTCGTGTGAAACAAGGGATACCTCTTTGCATCCGACTTTAATTTGTTTAAAAGTTAAGATAAAAATATTAACAATAAAGTGTAAAAGCCAAACCGGCCGTCTCAACCATCTATTGGAAGGCGGCCTGGTGATGAATGTGTCTGTTTATACAAGTAGGAAGACGAGCAAAAAAAAAGCAGAGACCCAAACGCCCTCAGATTGGGTTGCCTCCCCGACGAGGCACCCAATATATGCTGTGTGAAATATGCCAAGTTGTACAAGAAGAAAGAAAGAGGCAGAAAGTGTCAGAAAGTCAAAACGTCGTAGTTCGTTACACGACACTGCGCACGCCACAGCATTAGGCAGTCGTCGTCCGGCTCAGCAGCTTGAACCGCTCCTCAAAGCCCTTGACCTTTTCGGTCTCGAGCAGCCGCTGCAGCCGCCGCGTCTCACGGCCGGCCGTCTCCAGGTCCTCCTGGAGCTGCATCACCTCAATCTGCGCCGTGTTCATACGGCCAACCACCTCCTGCATATCCGAGTCGGCCTTGGACAGCGCCGTCTCCAGCTCGCTGACGCGCGCCTTGAGCGTGGCCACCTGCGCCTGCTGCTCCTCGGCGGCGGCCGCCGCGGCCGCGGTGCCAGACGCACTCGCACCGCCACCGCTCATGACGCTGCCACGGCTGCTCGGCCGCGACGACGACGCCGCCGGCGGTGGCACCAGCTTGCCGTTCACCGAGAACATGGGCGACATGGGCGACTTGATGGCGCCGCCGGGGCCGCCGAGGCTGCCCAGGCTGCCCAGACCGCCGAGCTGCGCGGACGAGAGCATGCGCGGCGACGTGACGGGCGACCGGCTGGGCGACGACGCGCGGATGCCGCCCGAGGCGTCGCGCAGGCGCTGCAGCTGCGTGTTGTGCGCTTCCTTGAGCGCCGCGACCTGCTCCTCGTGGCGCGCCACGCGGTCCTCGGCGGCCGTCTGCGTCGCCACGAGCTGCTCCTCGAGGCTGCGCAGGCGCGCCTCCAGAGCCGCGATGCGGTTCTTGTGCGCCTTCTGGTCGGCATCGCCGCGCGCCACCATCTGACTGAGGCGGTCGCGCAGCTTGGCGTTGGTCTCGAGCTGTGTGCGCACCTGCTGCGCGAGCTCTTCGACCCGGCGCGCCGAGGCGTCCAGCTGGCCAGCCAGGCTGCGCTCGTTCTCAAGCATGGTCTTCTCCGAGCCGGCCGAGTCGGCCAGGCGTGTCAGGTGCGTGGCCACCTCGTCGCGTGCCGCATCGCGCTCGGCCATGGTGGACGAGAGCGACCGCTCGAGCCGCTGCAGCGCGAGGGTGGTCTTCTCGTCGGACGGGATCACCGAACCCAGCGCACCGCTCGACGACTCCAAGGCACGGATGCGCTCCAGTGCCTCCGCGTACGACTTTTGCAGGTTCTTGTATGCAGTCTCGAGCGAGGCCGACGTCACGGGCCCGGCGCGGAGGCTGCCGATGCTGGTGGCGGCGGTGTCGTCGGTGTCGTAGACACTGGACGTGTTGGAGCCGCTGCGGCTGGAGCTGCTCGAGGGCAGGAGAATGTCGTGCTGCTGCAGCAGGGTCCGCAGGTGGGCAATCTCGTCCTCGGCACGGTCCAGGTCCATCTTGAGGCCACTCAGGCCCTTCTCCACCTGCCACTTCTGCTCAAGCGCCTCCTCGGCCCGCCGCCGCAGGACGCTGACCTCGTCCCGCAGTCCTGCGACGTCGCGCTCGTAGCCGGCCTTCTTGGGCGACGCCGTGAGCAGGCGCTGGCGCTCCAGCTCGAGGACGCGGATCTTCTTGTCGTTTTCGCGGTTCTGGAACTCCTGGCGCTCCAGCAGGCTCTTGAGGGCGCTGTGCAGAGCATCACGCTGGGCCTCAACGTCCTTGAGACGCTCGGCCAATGCCTCACGGGACTCGGTCGTGGCATTGGCTGGTGTGGCGGACTTGGACGGCGGTCCGCCCGGCATGCCCTTGACGGTGTTGGACCTAGACAGGCTGGCGGCGCCCGATGCAACGGCATCGGCGCTGAAAGCGGCTGCCGAGCGCAGGCCTGAGTTCTCGTCCTTGAGACTTTGCAGCTCCTGTTGCATCTTGGTGGTCTCGTATATCTGGCGCGCGTGCTCCGCCGCCTGCGACTCGAGGCCCTCGACGCGGGCCCGCAGCTGCGGGACGACTTCGTCGCGGAGGTTGTCGCGCTCGTTGGAGGCGTTTTGCAGCTCCGTCTTCATAGCCGACAGGAGATCCTCAAAGTTCTCCTTGACACCGCGCTCCTCGGAGAGGCGGCGGCGCAGGTCTTCGCACGTGCTTTCGAGTTGCTTGACGCGGCCGCTAGCGTCGTTGTTGTTGCGCACGTCCATATCCAGGCCCGATGCGCGCTCGCTGAGCTCCTTGATCTGCTGGTCGAGCCCGCGGCGGCGGGACCGCTCATCGGTCAGCTTCTCGGTGAGCTCGAGGCGGATCTGGGCCTTTTCCTGCTCGGCGCGGCGCTGCACCTGCGCAATCTCCTCCTTGGCGGCATCGTAGTCGCCAAACTTGGAGGAAATGGCGCCCGAGTCGGAAAAGTAGTCGCTGGTGCGCTTGCTGCCTGTGGGTTGTGGGTTGTTGACTTCTGTTTGTAACCTGTCAACGAGGTCTTCGAGGTCCATCTCACGCCGGATGGACGCGGCCAGCTCGGCGCTGATGGCCTTGAGCTCGTCCTCCATCTCTTCGATTTGCCCAAACTGCTCTTGCTGCTGGGCCAGGGAGTGGGGGGAGAGGGTGGAGGATGCAGGTGATGCGGTAGTACGCGCCCCAGGGGTCAAGATGGGGGGTGTCTGCAGGTTCTGCAGGTAGTCCTCGTAGTATGCCGAAGACTCGACGCCGGTCGTGGTCGCGGCAGAATTCGTTTTTGCGGGGGCAATGATACCGAGCAAGTTTCTGTTCTTGTTGGTGTTTGTGTGGGTGCTGCCAAATGCGGTGAAGCCGTCCTGTGCTTGGGAAGGTGAGTTGGTTCCGGGCGTGGACAGCGTTGATGCATGGGTAAAGGTAGTGCTGGGCGGGGGCTGCAGCGAAGACGGGGACGGCAGAGGCGAGTAGCTCTGGTCCGAGAATTCGGTGGTGGACGGCGACGCAGAAGGCCAGCCGAAGAAATTGCCAAGCTTGAAGGCAGAGCTGGGGGATTTGTTGTTTGGTTTCAGAGTATTGGGGCTGTCGACGTCGTTGACGTGATTGTTGGTGACAATGGTGGTGATGGTTTCACTGTTGCCGGTCTTCGGAGAGGTGTTGTTGTCGACGTTGACGACGTTGACGACGGATGTAGAAATGGTGGGGAGAGCAATGGGGATGTTTTTGTCTTGCAGTTCTTCGTCGTCGTAGACCGAGTAGAGTGAATTTCGGTCGTCGGGTGACACTGATCTTTGTGCGTTGTCTTCTTTGTCGTTGAGTGTGGTGTGGTTGCTGTTGCCGTTGGGATTTGTGTTGCTGATGGAGCCGAGACGTAGATGTGGTGGACTAGTCTTGCGTGTGAAGAGGGACATGGTAGAGTTGCGCTGTGTTATATCGTAGCTGGCCTCGCGGTCTTGCACGGGAGACTCGGACTCTTGCAGGGACTCTCTCTTGGAATCGCCGCTCGTTTTGCTGCTTTCACGCTCAGAAAACAACTGTTCCGTGCGGATGTGATCGCTGCTACCCAAGGTTACAGTGGTTGCAGTGGTTAACTCCTGTTCACGTTGCGACGAAACAGTGGTTGGGTCTGTTTGAGGGGCTGCAGGGGTGGTGGCCGAGCTGTTTCGAGACGGCACGATTCCTGCAGCAGCACTCTGAAATCCAGTCTCAGAACCTTTGAATTCGCGGGATTCCTGGATTGCCCGGGATTCCTGAAAATCGGTACTTTGAAAGTCTAGAGCGACGGCAAAGGATCTACCAACCGGGTTAATGAACGATGATTGGGAATAGGCATAAACGAGAGAAGAGAGGCGGGAAAGGAAACAAAGCAAAGAAAAATGATCATAAGTGCTACGTAGGTCGCAAAAACAAAGGCGGCCCAAAACGGGGAATGAAACAACATCAAAGCGTAGAGTGGGGGCTGAGAGAAAAAGAAGGAGAGCAAGAAATCAGGAAAAAGGCAAGCAAGTGGGAGAAAATAACAACTAGGATTCATTTCACTCGCGCATGAAAAGAACGATCAAAAGAAAACCACTCACTCTTTGTTTCCGTCTTTGACCTTGGCGCTCTCTTTGTCGTCTCGGAAGATATCTTCGTTCTCTTCAACAATGCCGTCTTCGACGTCTTGCTCGTGTCCGAGCCCAATGTTCCCAAAGACGCCTTCAACAGTCTTGTCGGAAGACGAGGACGAGACGTGCGAGTGCAGAGACGACTTTGAAAGCGAAGATGGTGTCAACGAAGCGGGCGCAGCCGAAGCAGAGGAGCCAGCAGCAAAGAGCGCCGGGGTCTTGGGGAACTCGTAGAGCGTTGGGCTGTCGACAGAGCCGGAGCGGGTAAAGCGCTGGTCGGGGCGGGGTAAGAAGTCGTCAATGTCAATGTCGAGCGCGCTCTCCAGATCAAAGGCGAACTGCTGAGGATCAGGGTCCGGATGCGGTTGCGGTTGCGGTTGCGGTTGCGGTTGCGGTTGCGGCTGTTCCTGCGAGTCCTGCTCGTGGTAGGCGTCGTCGCCGTATTGGCTGTACTGGTCGTACTCGTCAAACAGGTCGAGACCGCTCTCGCTGTCGGGATGAGCCGCAGGCTCAGACTCCGGCGTGAAGTGCGGCGGGGGTCTCGAAGCAGTGCGGTCAACAATGGTCGGTAGAGACACCGAGTTGACCGACGAGTTGACAGATGAGCTGCTGGCGACTGGCTTCCGTCGGATGGGCGCGGCCGACGCGACAGAAACGCTTGTGCGAGCACTTGCGGTCGGCGTCGGTGAGTCCGAAGTCGGCTGTGCAGTAACGTCCGCGGCAGAATCGGACGCGAGGTTCTGGGATCGCCTCTCGTTGATGGAGATGCTGTTGCCTCTGCTGCTGACGAAGTGGTCGTTGACGTCGGCAGTGCCCTGTGCCGTCTTCAGCGGCAAAGGCGAGGGGCGGGCAGAGGATCGACGGGACAAATCTAACTCTCGCGGCGCCGGCAGTGGCAGGGGCGACGAGAAGAGAGAAGAGAGAGAAGACGGGTCGGTGACGGAGGCGTCGACGTCGAGAGCAGATGAAGGAGTGTCACCAATGGAGTTGGATGACGGGGAGGGGAGAGGGCGAGGGCGGGCGTGTGCTGGGAGGACGCTGGATAGATGGAGGAGTAGTTGGAGGAAGCCGACACAAGGGAGGAGGCCGATTCCGAAGTTGAGAAAGGGATGGGTGTCGGAAAGGGAGAAGGGGACGTGGACGAAACTAGCGAGGGAGAAGGAGAGGGGAGGGGGGGGAGAGGGAGAGAAGCAGAGGCAGCGGTAGATGGTCCGTGGCCGTTGTAGTTGTTGCGAACTGGAAAGAGAAGATCGGTCCTCCTTCCGGAGGACGTATCGAGCGACATGATGGGGGCCGTGATGGTTTTGTATGGCGCTCGCATATATTATTGTGGTAGTATGAGATTGTGCCAAGTGAGGGGGGGTGTGACGGAGGAGAGAACGATATCTGCCGCTCGCTCGTTCGGCCGGCTGTCTCTCAGAGTCACAGGGCTGCCGGTGTGGCGTTGTTGTTGGACGCTGCTGGCCTATCGTGGTGGTGGGATACGACGATGTACCTGACAGCGTAACCGTGTACGGCGTGGTACGGCGTATCAACGGAAGAAGAGAGGAGAGACAGAGATGACAGACGACAGGGGTGGTGTGTATTCAGGCGGCCAAGAGGGTCACGCACATTGTCAATGTAGCTTCGAGGGGGGGTAGCAGCGGAGGAAACTCTCCAAAAAGAGTGTAGACACACAGACACACAGAAAAGAGAGGAGAGGAAGGGGACGAAGGAGACAGGAAGCAACCAGGAAGCGATCACGAAAGGCAGCTCGTGAAAGGGAGCTGAGAGAGATTGCACGGACAGAAAAGGGGAAAAGCGCTGCCAATCAATTTGGGGAAATTGGGCCTGGCCGAGTTGAGAATGATTCGAGATGAGCCGATGAGCATATGAGCAGATGAGCAGATGAGCAGCGTGGGATAGTGCGAAAGGAGGAGCCACATGGAACGGATGGGCGAAAAGAAACGAGGGAGGAGGCAACAGGGAGAGGAAAAAGGGAGAAAAAAAGTCGAGAAATCGAGCAGCACAAAAAGATACAGAACATGGGACGACAACAAAAACGACAGTTCGCATTGACAAAATACAAAATACAAACGTCGTCGACAAACAAAGACGAGACGACAAAGGTGCTCGACAAAGTTAAGAAGCCTCGAGGATTCCATTGGGCGACGCGTCATGAACCGTGCGAGTCGCGCGCGGCAGCACTATTGTATGAGAACAGGCCTCAAAAGACCAGACAAAAGTACTTCTGGGTCTGTGTTTGTCTGTTTGTTTGTTTGCCGTGCAGTTGTGGAGCATCGCGGTCTCTCTTTGGGCATTTTGCATTTCCTCTGCTGTGGCAAATCTTGTTTGCTGCTCTTTTTCGGTCTATTCTTGCTGGTGCATATGCCTGCATGCACAGGGGTTCGGACGGCCCGCTGAGAGACGACTAAGCAAAGCAGGGACCCAGAAGAGAGCGGTCGGGCATGTTGACGAGTCGACTGGTAAGCTGGCGATAGTTTGGAGGGCCGTTGGAGCGACGAGGAGACGTGGGCAAGCGGCAAAAGTGGAAGAAGAGGAAAAGTGGATGTTTGCCCCTGGCGCTACTCGACGAGCAGTTGCACTTTCTGACTTTGTAAAGCTCGCGCTCGCAGCTTCCTCGAACGCGAAGGAAGTCTCGAATGGAAAGAACAGCGACCGAAGAAAGCAGGAGCAGGTCGTGTTTCCTGCTTGGTTCCTGCCTTGGTTCCTGACCGTTCCTGACCGTTCCTGACGGTCCAGCAGCTCCTGCCCAATCAGCACGCGCTGGCGGCGTGGAGAATGGCCAGGGGCAATCCTTGTCGCGCGCTCCCTCCATCCCTGCTCGTATCTTAGCGCCGCACCGTGAAGCACTTCGTACCTGTCGCCGCGTTGTTGTATGGGCAAACTACTTTGCCAGTGGGGACTGTAGGAGGTCTCATTTCGCGACTTTCTTAATTTGGCAGTTCGCCCTTTCCCTTTTGGGAGCTGCGAGAGCACATGGGAAATTGCACTGCAGCAAGCAAAAAGAGTCGCCGGTGGAAGTTGCGATGCTCGCAGCCATCGGCAGCCACTTCCTATCTTACCTCGTTGGGAAAGAGCGACTTGAAATGCGATCAACATCGTGCATGCAAAATGGTCGACATCGTCATCCCATTTGCTACTAGCACAGGAACAAGCCTCTTTTCTCGTTTACACAGTACATGTGCACAAGATATTTCGTATTCTCCAGCACAATTGCCGGCACATCCGCCTATGCAAGCAAAGTTCCGTGCATGCTGCTTATGCACGACGCCGTGCATCTGCAGAATGCACTGTATCCCTTGCTGGTGATAAAGAAGAGGCGGTCGACTCACCCTCAACGCTGTCGAACTTCCTTTCTTCAACGCCACATATTTCGTACATCGTACAGAATACCGAAAAGCACTTCTATGCCCCACGACCTCCTCTCCTCTCCAGACGGTTGAGAGACGGGCTGACACTACTGTAAGGGCGGCCCAACTCGTGCGCTATCTCTAAAGTGCTCGCAGCAGTCGATGCGGAGGAGACAGGGAAGCTGCCTCTCCATCCCAGTGTCATCGCCTGTTTGTTCTTGTGCACCTCCCTGCTCCCTGGTCTGCTGGCGATACGACACTATCCCCTCGCCGTGCAGCCTGGAGCGGTCTTTGCCTTTTTTTTTTCCACTTGTCCCCTTTGCCCCTTTTCCCCTGTTCTTCTTTATTTTTGGGCCTGCTGCGTAGTTTGTGTCCCTGGCTGTGGTCCCTTTTGCTGTCTCTTTTGTTACCGAGTTCTCAAGTTGGTGGAGCTGCGACTCCGTGTGGAGGCAGTTTGAGGCGGTAAGAGGAGACAGATGTGGCGGTCAAAGTGGGCTACAGACTGATTACATCGTATTGCAGAGTACAGTGGGCTTGCGGGTCCAGTTCGTTGTGGATTGGCCATGTCGTGGCAAGTGACCCTGGGCCGAAGTGGTCTGGCCTCTTCCTGGCCAGCCTCCTCGAGATATCGTCCAGTCGTCTCCTCCAGTCCTTTACGATGTACAGATGTTCATGTAAACCAAGCGTAACGCCCTGTGGCCCTGTGGCTGCCGGCGGCTCTTTGTCATCCTGATGGACCCTTTCGTAAGTCCTGGTCAGCGTCTTGCAGTGAGCATAGAATCGCTCTATTACGCTTATTTCTTGCCCACTGTCGCCGTCAAATTATCTGTCATGCACGGCGATTCGCAGGCCGTAGCCGTGCAACCAAAAATAATAATAATAATAGTAATAATAATAAATAAAATTAAAAAATGAGAGGAGAGAGAGAGTATTTTTACAAATTAGTAGTGCCATTTACATCAATTCCAATACCAGGTCCTCTCATTGAGACAGACTCATGACACAAATATTCCGATGACCGTTAACATGCCGAAACTGGCCCCTGTGTCTCTCCGTTGAGCCTTGATGGCTTGTCTTTGCAAAATGCCAGCCTGGTACCATCTTGCTGTCCTCTTCAAAAATAAACTGTCGGTAACTTTCTTTGTTACGGAGTCATATTCCCTGATTGAAAACCACGAACCCGCCCGTGCCCAAGACGACCAAGGAAAACACTCTTACGGTCCCGCGGCGATCAGGGAGAACACGAAAGCTTGCGCTCTGGGTTCGGGTAGGTGGTGGAATGCAAAATATGGACACAGGCCAGACAGTCTCGCCAGGCCGCACTCCAGTCATTGGAAAATGGCCGCAGTTCCTCATTGCCCATCCGACAATCCCATCCACGTATTCTGTATTACTTCGCACATGCTCCGTACAAAGAATATGGTTAAACGGCAAAGGGTCCAGCAACATGCCAGCGCTGAGCTGGAGTGACACTCTCAGGGTCCATGCCGACGTGCTTCCAAGTCATCGGCATGCCAGACGGCATTGGTTTGGTCGTACTGACCTGTTTTCGATACGTACCGAGCCAGACAAAGCGGAGTGTGTGCTCGCCATGGAACCGGGAACTCTTTCATTCAAAAGCTCACATTGTCGACACATGTCTGGCATGTTCATAGGCGGCACAAAATATGCTGGACGCGGGTGTGGCGTATGGCCCGTCGAATTGGTGTCTCGGGTAGGGCGTTAGTGCCTCATACGCGGGGTGTGGTCCCCTCATTTTTCACACTGCCGTTATTCTCTTCGTCTTTCATTCCTGTTCTGACGGACCCTTTCATTTCTGCAGCATGGCAGGTTCAGGACCTTTCTGTCTTCGTGTGGACACTGGACGTGTAAAGTTTGCGGTTGACGATTGGCAGCGAGAAATTGAAAATGCCACGGCCGCTCTGCCTTTTATGTTTCCGGCGTTGTGATAATCATCGATGCGGCGCGAAGGAAGCAATGTTATCCACGCATACAATTTTGCAGCCGTGTGAACGAAATCCAAATGTATCACCACAGCTGGGTAGTACGAAGGGGTGAAGATATCATACGTATTGAGACCTCACAACGTCGATGAAGGTAAGCACAGGTGGAGGGCTATTAGGAACAAACGGTGAATATAAAAGTAGGAAATATTTGAATAAATGAAAACATGCCTTTGTTATTATTAAATATTTTGAAATTATCTAACTAAATTCATATCAGCGGGAGAACATTAGAAATATACAATAACTGGATACGCATTTCAGAACCCACATACAGCCTCGTAGAAAATTGAAGAAACGCAGATGCACGGCCTACTTTCATCGGGTTGATGGCTGCCTTAAAAGTGATCATTCTGGAGTAGTCTGTGGATGTGTGGCACCCATTGTACGAATTATTTCTGTCTCAGATGCAGATGAGGGGAGGCGGGCGCATGACTTGGAGGTTTTGAGTACATGATCCAGCTCTCATGTGACACCCGTTGAAGAACAACTCAGTCGACGCATGGCAGGCAAGCAAGGTAAAAGACTGTCCATCACAAAATAACTCTGTAACGAGAACGAGAACATCTGCCAGGCCGATTTGGGTTCGTTTTCTATTATTTTATTTTATTTTATTCGCAACGCGTCGAAAATAAAGACATACTGGAAACAGGCGTCATTTGCGATATCGCCACCCTCATGGCTTCTGATTGGGCACGAGACCCCCCTTATGGTCAACCGGCACAGACACAGCCTTGTCGCCTGGTGATTTCCTGGTGGTTTCGCCTGTCTTATTGTCGATCGCCGGTCGGGTGCCTGCCGTTGCTCGATCGAATCACGAGGCCGCCTACTGTCTTTGTAGCCTTGCCGCAGCAAGTTCTTTTGTCGCCCAATCTTTGTGCCACACCTACTCTACCTATTTTTACCTATTTGCCTTTTGGCTTTGACCATGCAACTGCCATGTCCCGTTCTGATTGTTTCAGCCCTTTGCCTCCCTTCATCTCTCAAAAGGACCACATGGCCCAGCATCGACATCCTGATGTTGGTGCGCAGCCACACGACTGGCCCCAAAATGGCCTCATTGAGCCTCACAAGAGCATAAATAGCTGCAAAGGTGCACTCACGCGGTACGGTCACCTTTGAGACCGGCCTCGCGCCTGTTTGCATTCTGACCATGGGGAGAAAATGAAAATAGAATCAAAGTTCCGTATATAGTTCCGTATATATATAGCAAGAGAGATATATCATAGCATCGTAAAAGTTGGTAAACCAAATGTACAGCACCCAAGACCAAACCTATTCAAATAAACCTGAGTTTGACCGTCTTAATACGCAGAGCAACAAAGAAAGAAGAAAAAAACACACACAAAAGAATAAATCATCACGACACCATCGGCTGGATCACCACCAGCAAAAATACATCGTCATGAACGGCTCCTACAGTTCCCTCCAACCCACACCGCCCTTTTCCATCAACATCCTGTGGCCGACCGGCGCTGATGGAGATGCAAATTCTGATCTGCCCCCCTCACCCAAGGCGCCCCCACGATCGCCGCCACCGCCGCCGCCGCCGCTCGAATCGTACCTGCCCGGCGTCTACCGCGACGAGAGCCTTCCCCAGCTGTCCACCCCGTCCTTGACCGCCGCCTACCTCGTGACCGAGCTCGGCCTCGGCCGCCTCGATGGGTTCAGCCACCACTGGTTCTGGCTGCTCGGCTCGCCCGCCCTGCCGCGGCCCCTGCACGACTGTGTCCACCGGGGCCGCACAATCTGCGTGACAGAGCGGATGGACCGCCACCTGGGTCTGGGCCTGGGCAGCGAGGGCGGCCGCGGCGGCGGTGGCGGCAAGCGAGACCTGCTGTACCTCAAGCCGCTGCCGCGTCTCCTGCTGGACACCCGCTTTTGGGAGCAGGTGCTGGCGTGCGAGTGCAAGCGGGACGACACCGTTGTCGTCATGTCCGGGCGGCGGTCGTGGGTCAGCCGGCGAAGCGGCAACAACAACAGCAATGCCAGCGCACAGTCGTCCACCCCTGGCAGTCTGCGCTCCCAGTCACAGATGCAGCCGCCTCCACAGTCCCAGCAACAGCAACAGCGACAGCAACAGCAACAGCGGCAGCAACGGGCACAATCAGAAAAGACAGTCACGTCCTCTGCGTCGGCTGCCTCCACCTCCTCCTCAGCATCGTCCACCTGCGAGAAGCGCCACCTCTGGGACTGTGCCCTCGGCTTCCTGTACTCGTATGCCGCGCTCGTTGCCCACGAGAGTGACTTCCGCATTGCACAGGAACACGGGCTGTTGCCAGCCGAGGTCACCTGGCACAGCTGGCGACTCCTCACGCGGCAGGTCGTCACGTCGCCCGACGTCGTGGCCCATCGCTTCCACCAGCGGTTCTTGTACGGCGAGATGATGCTGCACCGCCTGCGCGAGATCAGCCAGCTGAAGCGCGGCGGGCTGGTGCCTGTGCTGATTGGCCGGCTGGACCGCTTTGCGCGTTTCTTCCAGGGGAATGTGCGCTGGTTGGCCTCTCTCATGGCCTACATTGCCATTGTATTGAGCTCCCTGCAGGCGGGGCTGACGACAGACAGACTCGCGGCGAGCTCTGCCTTCCAGTCCTTTGCGTCCGGCTTCACCATGTTTTCGCTCATCGCGCCACTGTCCATACTGCTCGCGTTCGGTGGCTACTTTGGCCTGTCTCTCGTCTACCACGTCGGCGTCCATCTGGTGACGAGCCACCTCTATGTTGGCACTGCTCGCCAGGCCATGATTGTTGACGGTGTCAACGCCTTCCAGCACCACTGGGGCGACTCGAAGAGCGAGGTGTAGACTGAAAAGGGCATAGAATGGGTGTAATGAGTGGAGCCGGCCGACTCGCATCCCGCACAACAGTCTACAGCCCGCCATATGCCATCAATGGCCCATTGAACCCCATCAAGGCCGATGCCTCGTCGGGGCCTGTGACGCTGTCGGCTGCCCACAGCAGGTACCTGCGCCCGGTCACGACGACCTGCTCGAGGTCGTTGGTTGCATCGACTACCTGGGAGAGCAAGTCGCCGTCTGACCGCAGGCCGCGGAAGCATGAAAAGAAGATGGCCACGCTCAGGAACTCCTCAAAATGGGCGACGGACCGGTACGACCGGTCACGCATGGTCTCGTAGCTGTGGCGGACCGTGGTCAAGGTTGACGCTTCCTCTTGAGGGCTCCCAAGGAGAGGGCCCTGACCCTGACAATGGATACCCCGCAGAACGAGCACCGTGTATAGCAAAGCCGCTCTAAAATCGTCGTGGCAGAGATCGAGCAGCCACCCAGTGTTGCACGCTGCTGCTGTTGGCATTTCAGCTGTCGTGGATATTGGCAGTCCAGCAACGGTCGTTATGTCGCCACCACACCCGAACATGGCTGGCGAGGACCGTCCCGAAAGTGGGATGGGCAGCTGCTGCAGTTGGCGATACTGTTCTTGCTGTTGCTGTTGCTGTTGCTGTTGCTGTTGCTGTTGCTGTTGCTGTTGCTGTTGCTGTTGCTGTTGTTGCTGCTGCTGTTGTTGGATCATCATCTCTGCGGCGGTGGGTTTGATTAGTCCCATCATATGGTCACCGCCGGTTGGCAGGTGCAACAAGGACAAGTACGGTGAATCCACACTTGCCACTGTGGCCGTTGCTGTTGCTGATGTCGTGAGATTCGTGCAGATGCTCGGGCAGCGATCGACAATCGCGGTTATCGGCGCAGCCCATGCTCCGTGGGTATTGAGCAAGGCCACCGAGATCTCGACAACAGCAGCCTTCGACAGCTCATGCAGAGAGGACATCTCTGACGATTCTCGACTTGGAATCCTCTCATCCGGTCGTACCAGGGACTGACAGAACGAGTCGTGGTGTAGTGCAAGCAAGGCGCGATTGGCAAGTGCCTCAAGATGCTGGTATTGGACTTTTGCTCGCTGCATTTGGCCGGCTGAAGTGATTGGATCGAACGTCTCCACGCCCAGCTGCTGCCAGCCAACGCTGGCGCTGGTTTCCATTGCATGCGGGCCTGCTCCTGGACCAGGAAGAAGGGCCGCTTTGGCCTCGCCCAGAAGCTTGCGAGTGCGTGCATGCCATAACTTGATTCGAGAGTATCCCGGGCTGGACGTGGTGGGTGAGTTGGCTGAGTTTACCATTGCGACAAGCAGCGGCATGAAGGCTGTTAGTTTGTGGTGGTAGAGACCATCGGGGTCACCATGAAAGTCGTCGGTTCCGGCGCTTATGGGCATTGTGTGTGTAGCTTGGAAGCCATAGTCGTTTGATGAAATTGATCTCAAATACGAGTACCCAGACACTTCCTTCGTACCAACATGGGTACAACTCGACCCTTCGTAGATAGCACTGCAGTCACTTCTACTACACGATACGTTTGAGATCGGTAGAGGCCGTAGCAGTTCAGTATCATAGTCTCCCGGCTTCTGCATTGTGATCATACCGGCTCGGAGAGCTGTCTTGAGGTCAAGAAGTTGGACCGTGACCCATATCCGACGCTTCATTTCTGTTTCGACGCTGTCTGCTGCTGTATGCTTGCTCGCGTCTGGGTGATCTGACCTGCGAAACGCTTGTATTCCAGCCTTCGTTGAGCGGTGTAGAAGCAGAGATCTGGCTGTGCTCATTGTGAACGCCATGAGAGATACAAGAGGCGAGTAGCCGTTGGTGAAAGACGGTATGCCGTCGCTACTTTCTGTGGTAGCACTGTCGCGCCCGATGTCTCCATTGTTTCCACTGGTGCTGCCACCACTGGCCTGTGCTTCGACCAACTTGGCCAGAAGCATCATGCAGAGCGTGCGAACGGTACAGAGGGTTGGCGCCACCATATAGGACGAGCGGCCAAACGAGGCCTGGGCTGCGTTAAGAAAGATGTTTGACCATTCTGTGGAAGACTGGCCCGAGCCACTGAAGAGAGAGTCAGGCAAGGATTCGGCACCGAGTGCGAGAATCATGCAAAGCTGGGCAAGCCATTCGTCGGACACCTCGGAGCGCGCATCGTAAAACTGCTGGACTTCGTACCGCAGCTGTGCCGGGTGGAAAAGGCAATGCGTGGCACCGAATGAGTCGAGATAATGGTTGACGAGCGTATCGACAACGTCGTCAGATGGTAGAGAGGCGAGAATCTGGCCCTTGGTAGCCGGGTTTGCGTTGCTAAAAGGGAAATTGACGTTGTCGTCGAAACAGGGATACAGGTATTTGAGGCTCTTGATTTGGCAGTACCTCTGTTGCCACTGTAAATCCGTACCAAACAAATATGGGAGGGCCTCTGAGAACTAAAGTGTGTTAGAAGAGAACAGCCTTGCTGCCGCGACGACAAGGCAAAATCTGGCAATGTGCTGGGCGGTTTGCCTCACCTCGCATGCAATTCGGCTCCAGTGTGACACGCCATTCAATGGTCTGGAACCCCTGCTGCTGTTGCTTTGGATCACACTGAAATTTGTCTGTTCATATGTCTCGCCGTTTGAGTCCGTAAACGCTGTCGTTTGCTTTGGGTTGATTGGGCTCGGAGGCAACGGGGAAGGCGACCGAGACGGAGATGACGAAGGACAAGGCGTCAAGGATGACAGGTGCGACGATACCGATGATGCAGAGAGAGATGGACTGCATACTCGTTTTACATGCAGCTTGGTAGGTTCGGTGATATCCTTAGGGGCTTTGTAACGATCGACAACCTTCCGATCTTGTCCCCTTTTCGAGCGGCTTGCAGCATGCAATGGCGGTGGCATGTACGAGCATTCATCTGCCATTTCGGCTGCCGTACACCGAGAGCACGGAAGCAGCTTGTCACACTTCAGCTTCCGGCGATGGCAGGGAATGCAGACGAAGACACGCCGGTTGCGTTTCTGGGCCTTGACGATGTGCCCGGATGCTGGGTTGTGTGGGTCGGAGATGGAGAAGGTGGAGAAGAAACCGGGTGGGATGTCTGATGAGTCGACTGAAGCCATTGTGGGTGAGCTAGAAGGTGATTGGGGCGTATTTGATTATTAGCTAGTGATTCTTGAGATGTGTATGCAAGACTGAAAACGAGAGATGAGGAACAGCATGTCGAATTGTGAAAATAAGTATATGAACGAGAAGGAAGAGACTTGAACGACCGCATAAGGTGAGGAAAGGAGACTGTATAAAAAATAAAGAATTACAAATAAGAAGAGACGAAGAGAAACGCCGCAAGACCCCAGCAGAAGAACGCGCTTGCGTCAAACGAACGCGGCCACCAATAGCAAATGCAAAATGGCCTCCCAGAACAAAGAGTACGGTTGCTCTGTGGCGAGGTTGCGACCGTTATATATCGACCACACGTTGGTTAGAGCTGTGGGCAAGTAATGTGCAGCTATTTTGGGAGAGCGGAGGTGGGACGGTAGGACGGCGTTGGGAATGAAACATATCAACGCAAGCTGGGCAGGATAACCTACATCAGTTCTGCAGGTAACGTGAGAGAGAGAGAGAGAGAGAGAGAGAGAGAGAGAGAGAGAGTTGTGCGAGGGACGATATGATCGACTTCGTTCAGTGCCTTGGGTCACGGCCAGAGATGGTGTCGACACCCAAGCAAGGGGTCTAGAAGTGTGACGGAGAGGCTGAAGAGCAAAGGCGGGGTGAGTTTGATGACATGGTAACCCGGAAGAAAAGTAAAGACAGCCACGCACGGCCTCGTCTTTTGCAGTGCGGGCTCGTCGTATTGACTTCAACTCTTTTCTTCCAATCCTGTAACAAGGCCACGGCATATTCCGTGGCTGTCCTTTCGCGAGCGAATCTGGAGCCGTTATTAAGGACCAAGGGCATAGAAAGAACACAAATAAAAAATGTATATCTTGGCATGATATCGAGGTTTCTGGAACATGAGACGCCCTGCTGGGTTTCGGCACATGGCCAGACCGTACACGTCCAGTCCGCTTCGAGCCGTAGGGCAAAACGTAAAACGGGACAGGACACAAGTTGCTCCGGATGCCGTGGCGCATGGATGGAACTGGCAGGGAAAGGGGTGGTCGCGCCCATGCACCACGAATCCTTCGACACGGCAGCTCGGAGGAGCGTACATGTACAAGCGTGCACGTGCATGTAGGCATGCTGGCATGGGGCAATGGACAGCACTGTCATTCTCTTGGAGGGCCCTTCCGGAAGGGTAAATGGGAACACGCGCAGATGAGCCGGGAGAATGTTGCGAGCGTATTAGCAGTGTACATCGTAGTAATTGATGTGATCGAATCCCTGCTCGTGAGGACGAATTGGTAAAACCGCAACAGCTGGCCGGCAACGCCACACGTACCAAACGATTCATTTTGTCTTATCTGCGTCTTTCTATCAGACTGCGCTTCGCCTTGTTTGCCCGACCGCGACATGATACTGTCAATAAAAAAAGTCCGGTATTGGGCCAATCGCCATCCAGGTCCCGGCGCGGCTAGCTGTTGACATTGAGACAACCTCTCAAAAGGTTTAGTGTCGAGGTCTAGACCTGGCGTTTCTCGGTTTCCCATCGTGACATCCCAGCTAGTTTTGCAAACAGACCGAAAAGGGGCATATGCCGAGACGTATGCGGAGGGGCGCGTGGTAAACAGGGCAAGGAAGAATACGACACGCGGCTCAGACGAGAAACGAGAAACGAGAAACGAGAAACAAGCAAGCCCAAAGGCAGCAAAAGCGAGAAAAGCAAGAAAGAAGTGACGACCAAGCTTGCGAAAGAGGGTGTCGTCGAGCGAGTCCTGGTTGGGCTGCATGGGCTTCACGTGGGCGGTGATTTTGACTGAAGGTCAATATGTCCAAGGGGGTTGATCCAATGGTGGTCCAATAGAGGAGCAGGGGAGACGCTCACCGGTTGAAAACCGTAGGGCCACAACAAAACGGAAACAAGAAAGGTCAGCCCATCGGAGACAATCGCTTTCAAGACAAGAGGCATGCAAGGAGAGGCCACCAGACCGGGACATTGTGCGCGGGACACTGTGTGCTCGAGGCCCCAACGTCGTAATAAACGCTTCTGCGTACCAGCCGTTAGCCCGGATGCAGTGGAAAGGTGAGAGGTCTCGGCCTGTCGAGGGTTCCATTGCTGTCCAAGGCAAAAGTCGCATCCGCGCATTCCTATTCCGCATGTCCCACTTGTCATACGGAGGATCTCGTCGAAACATGTTGAAGGGCTCGGGCGATGCTGGAAGCCCTTTGGTGTGGATGAGCTCGATGGTGCCATGGGGGAGGGCTGGCCGGGTTGATGAGGACGAGGGGAAAAAAGAACTGGGAAACGAGGAGAAAGACAAGGAGAAAGAAAAGGAGGCATCACACATGCATTCGTCACATGGACTAAGCCCAAAACCAAGGACGGCAAGAGCTTACGACAGGGTAGGAAAGAGCGACAGGAGCGGTGTGCTTAACAGGAAGCGACGATGTACGACGGGCAAAGGTGGCAAGCGCAGTGTATGCAAAGTGCGGCCCAAGATTGGGCAAGAACGGACCCAAAACCCGCGATGCACGAATTGGGAAGGGACGGACGACGCGAGGGGTGAGAAAGAAGGTCGCACACAACGACGTACTCCGTACACAGAAGGAGCGACGTGCAGGCACGACTGAGAAGCGGCAGGCAACACCGCCGTAACTCGTCACTGGCGGAGGACCTTCTCCGACAATCTGGGACGCATTAGTCCGCACGCCGTACGACACACCTCGAGACATGTCGCTGAGCATCTTTGTTGGACGATGCTTTTGCCGCTTCCAGTCGCTGGGGAGAGCTGATTGTGCGATGATGGCGTTCACAAGCGAAGCTCTGGTCTTTTGTTCTTTTGTCGACAAAATTTCCTGTTTAGGCAACTAGCACGGAAAAGTGGGTTCTTGAACGCTGTGTCTTTCCTTTCGTCGATTGTTTATGTTGAATACTTATTTTAACTCATTTTTCTTTGCTTTCTGTCGTCGTCATGATACTTTTTGGATGTTGGCGGAAGATCTAAACCTTAACAATACCGTCGTACTTCGCGTACATTATTTCTACTTTCAATCAAACCCGCCCCTTCCCGATGGCTTACTGACAGGGATGCGACCCGAGTGACGAGATTCGTAATGAAAAAAAAAAAAAAATAATGAAAAAAAGGGGAAAAAAAGAGAAATGAATAAAACACCCCATGAGAAAACGGACGCAAGAAGCAATAGTCAAACAGCAACAGAATGACAAAAAGAATGTCACCACCGGGCCTTATCTTGTTCACCGTTGTGTCGTGACCTGGGGTGACGCATTGTGATTTGCTGCCCAAAACGTGTGCCACTGTTTTTGTCATTCTTAAATGGGTCCTCTCGGCCCTGTTGGGCGGCCCTGTTCAGCCGCCTCTGCGAGCACACGTTCCGTGCATATTTGATCCAGGCAACGGCGCATTTCTGGAGCATCTAAGCCTGATTTCGGCTGAGCAGGGGGATGGGAAGAGGGGAGGAAGAATGCATACGGAATGGAAGGACTCTACGATTTAGAAAAGCTACGAATTACAGCGACAGGCATAGACTGACAAATTGTCGAGGATGGGTTTGTGCACCTGGTGGAAAGTCGGTCTAGCCTTCATTTGGATATCATGTCGGTTGGAGGGACTACCAAAAGAGACAGGATCGCCAAAGAGCGTGCGTATTCTATGCAGTGGCGTTTGTAGGGTCGCAATACACGCACAACAACTTCAAGCTACGAATTACAATATCCCAAATAGTCGGAAGGGGACGAAAAGGGACAAGGCAGTGCCAATGGTGCAACATACGACGGTGGGACGAGCAGGAAACACAGTCCCTGATTTGCAGCTTCCCAGGCGCTACCGACGTTCTTGGCCCAGTCACAAAATTGACGAGAGCATGGTTGTTAGAAATCAAAATGGAAAATGGATCGTGTGGTTAAAAATAAATAAATCCAATAGTTTGAATGAGGCGGCCAACAGGCGACACGATCCGCCAACGTCCCAAACCAATTGAAACGAGACCCAAGGTTAACAAGCATCGTAAAGATAGGGAACAAGGAACAAGGAACAAGGAATAGGAATAAGAATAAGAACAAAGTGTAGAGGTGACAAGGTGGTAAGACTCCTAAGCCTTATTCCGTACACTTTGCGTTTTGCTCAGCGTGCAACTTGATTGCATGCAGATCTCAAAATAACAGAAAAGGGCCGAGGCCGAAGATGACCGCGTTAGGTGCCATACACGATGCAAGAGTGGTTCAAAGAGGATGAAGGATTCGCGAACACGAGGCCGAGATAGGGCTCCTTGTATGTACTGGCGAAGATGGGAATGTGACGATCAAATCTTTCCACGCATCTTACTACCGCCCGAGCGTATCTCTCGCTTTGTCATCTTGCCTTTGCGAGGGGCGGCTGTTATTAACCGCCTGTCGTGTCGGTTGCCATTCGTCTCTTGCTTTACTGGTTGAAAGAACGAAAAAAGGAGAGAAGGAAATAAGGAAAGGAGGGAAGAAACAGCAAGACAAAAACATGGGACCCGCCAAAAGACATCCGACAATTAGACGCCCTGTGTGGAGTACCAGAAAGACGGACAAGGAGAAAACGCTCAGCCGTGTGGCGTCAAATCCTGTTTTGCGATTTGTTGGAAATCCTGTGCAGAGAGCCGACTCTGACATGCCCTTGTGCATCTTACCTGGCACTTTGACCCGAACGTTTTCCTCTTGTAAATTGTACCTCTGACATCGATCCTTCTTACGCCTTCCACGATACGTTCTCCTTCTCCACAACACTTGTTCCTTGCATAAAACGGGTCGGCTGTGCTGGACACGGCCATTTACAAGACCACGGGTCCTGCACACTGCACACTCATTCTCACCGTCTCACCTTCCCTAGTGTTCGTCTCTCCGCCTTTTCTGGCAAAAGAGGAGACACGAAAAGGTTTCGTCTGTTATTAATTTGATCTGAAGAGGCAGTGTGCATATAAAATAAGCCTCCAATCAGGCTTGCCTATAGATGTAAAGCAGGAGAATGCGATTCGACATAAAAAATCATGAAAAAAAAAAAAAAAAAAAAAAAAAAAAAAAAAAAAACATAACAGCACGGTACATCAAGCCATTCAATAAAACGCCGTCCCAATCGGCCGTGACACACCAATGTGTGTACAAAGTCGTAATGCAGGCCGTATACATCATAATACAAGGGTAGAGGGAGATATGGACAAGGATGAAGGGAGACGGAGGGAGACGGTGAAGGAAGACGAAAAGGACACCAATGAAGAATATGACGCAATCGGCTTAAATGGTCGACTCCATCCCCAGCGGCGCATACCCTGGAGTCGTGACAGAGAGCGGCGACCAGACGGGCAGGTCTTCCCGCCGGGGCTCACTGCCGCTGGACGTCGAGGAGAGGGACGAGAGCGAGCAAAGGGACGCCGACGGCGAGTGCTGGCTTGGCCGGCGAGGCGCATGGCTGGCGTTTTTGTTGACGTTGTGGACCGCTTTGTTGACGTTTTTGTGGACGTTGTTGTGGACAGCCTCGCTGACCGGTTTGCTGGCATCTTTGACGTCCATCCTGACATCCATCCTGACGTCCATCCTGACGTCCATCCTGACGTCTTTGCCCAAGCCCAGAGGCAGCGCCAGCGACGACACGAGGTCGAGGGCGCCGCGGCGCCGCGCGCGCTCGTGCGGGCAGCGGCCCTCGCCGGCGGCGCGGCGGTGGCTGTGGAACGAGCACTGGCGGAAGCCAAAGTGGCGGTCCTCGCGGCGCAGCTGGTTGCTGGGGATGCGCAGCTGGGGGTTCTTGATGCGGGTGTCGGCGCGGCTGGCCGTCATTTTGCTGATGTGGGCGGCGTACTCGTCGGCGAGGGGTTCCATGAGGCGGAGGAGGGCGCGCAGCCGAGCGTGTTCGGCATGTTCGGCGTGTTCGGCGAGTCCGCCGTGGCGGGCCGGTTCTGCATGGTCATCGCCGCTGCTGTTGCTGTTGGCGAGGGTCCATGCCAACAGGGCGACACTCCATTTGCGCAGACGGCAGGCGGCCCGCGGGTCGGCCTCGACGTACAAAAAGGTCAAGAGGGCCGGCGTGGCGGTCCAGTCGAAGCGCAGGTACAGGTCCTGCAGGGCGTCCATGACGGCGTCCTGGAGGACGGGTATGTCGATGTAGGCGGCGAAGAGGTGGAGGCGAACCAGGTGCCAATGGAGGTCGCTCAAGTTGGCCGAGGCCGATGAGTCAGCCGATGTGTTGGTCAATGTATTCGCCAATGTATCAGCCGATGTGTCGGTCAATATGTCGGTCAATATGTCGTTCAATATGTCGGTCGTGTCCGAGTCGTGCTCGGGGTAAAGAGTAATAACCTCATCAGGCCTGGCCTCACGGGCGAGGATGGTGACGGCGTCTTCGACGACCGCACGGAAGGCGTGTCGGCGGTAGAGCCAGAGCACAAACAGCTCAAAGACATTGGCAGACTCGCCGGAGAGCCAAATGAGGGTGGGTTTTGTTGACGGAGACGGCGAGGGCGCCGACGGAGGTGGCGTCGACGCCGGAGACGACGGCGTCAGGGCCTCCGGGACGGCGTCGATGCTGTCGCGGAAAAAGGGACTGCTGGCACAGAGCAGGCCCCGGTGGACGACAAACTCGCGGTGGTCCTGACCGACGAGGACGCGGAGGAGATCACTGCGCAGTGGGTGGTGAGTGGCGAGTGCAAGAAAGGTGTCGTACGAGGTGATGCAAGGAGGACAACTTACGAATCCATGGCTGGTTAGAAAAGGTCGATCGATGAGACAAGAAGCACCGAACCACACACGTGGGACGACGGTGACGACAAATGAGTCGATGTTGACGATGATGAGGACAGTCGATGGACGACAAACGAAGCCGACATAAGAGGGGACGGATACTCTTATGCAGTCTCCGACGACAGGCGACTATGACTGCAAGTGCAAGTGCGCCCAGTCTCTGGCACATCCGGCCTGTCATGGCACGATGTTGAGCCAGGGTCGGATGGGGGTGCCACAGACGGGGGGGGCTACATGTACAGATGGAGCGTGCACGGAGGTGTGCCGGGGGGGTGATCGGAGGGAGGAGGGGCCTTGGACTCGTCTCTCGTGCCACCAACGCTTCATGGCTTGCCAGTGTTTGTGATAGGGGTAGGACGTCTGGGATACCATGTCAGAACGGTGATGACGATGGCCGTCTTGGGTTTATGACATGCTTTGTTACTATTAGTCGATTGGTCTACGTAGCCCTTTCTTTCCTTCTCGTCTGTTTTGAACGATTTCTTTTTTGAACGATTTTCTTCATCTTCTCCTTATCCTGGCCAGCCATTTGTTAAAGTGCCTACCCACACGACGCACTTCTCGTCCCATTTATGGATCGACTTCGCGAAAGAGTGATCCGAGTTGATGTTCACCCGCATGCTACGCTGCGAGCTATCGTGGGCGGAGCATCGCTGTATTACTGTATCTTCTGTCTGCTCCCGTCTCCCCTTTCCCTTTATTGCTGAACAGTCCTGCCTGCCCTTCTCTGTGTCGTCGTTTCGCCTCTGCCGGCGTTTACCCTTTTCGTCCACTCTGCTGTTTCAAAGGGTTTCGTGGCGAGCGGAGCCTTGTTCCATTGTGTTCCCTGTCTGGTCAGTTTTGGCCTGCTTCCTGCCAGTGACCCCTGTTAGCTCGGAGAGGCCAGAGAGCCACGAGGGACAGATGCAGCACTCCGTAGAGTGGGGTTTCTCTTCTTGTACTGAAGCATCGACTCACTTTACTTTGTCTGTGCTCAAGAGGGGAAAAGGAAATCAATTAATGCAAAGTTGACGAGATGAGCAGAGATTGCTTTAACTGTGGACTGTCAGATGGACTACTCCGCACACAGTATGAATTTTATTTATTAATTTGAATTTACTTTCAGCTCCTCGTACAAAAGAATCATCATCCTGTGCTATTGACATGCCCGCAACTGACACCTGCACGATCCAGGGACGAGTCGAAGGCTCGCCCAATTCGGCCTTTTTATTTCTTGTATTTTGCCACAGGACAGGGCACTCAAACACTGGACCGCTGTCTCTCGTCTCTCGTGTAAGCGGATGGAACGGCCCAGACAAAAAAGTACAAGAAAGTCGATCTCATTTGCCAATCCACCAATCCACCAGTGTAAATAGACTCTGCCCTCGGCTGCCGCATCTGAAACATTTGGCAGGTTCTGGCCCCGCCGACAGCGAACAACTCACAGCAGACAGCTACGCGCCCCAGCCAATGTCGAAGCTGCGAGTCCCAGCTCTCGAAATCCCGTTTTCCCGACCACTTGTGTACAGAGAGCATTGCGGGACGCTGCTTTCATCTCTGTTGAAATCGTATTGTACGTCGTACTTCAAAGTCAAGTGCCTGGCCATCATCTAATCGTTTCGTCCTCGTCTTTTTATGCACGTTAAATTACGCTGTCGATGGAGAGCTTGCATGACATACATAGCTGCACGCACTGAAGCTCATTGCATCGAAAGCTGCAGCGCACAGCCATGCGCTCGAGCAGTGCGGACACGGAGCACGCCCGTCTTGTGGCTTCCGGGGTCTTATTTCCAGCTGTTTGGGGTCGTTGGCGTGCTCTGCACGCCGTGTCTTCTCCTCCAACTCTAAACTTTAATGAGGATAAGCACGACGTACGACGTACGACGTACTTGTTTCTTTCCCCTCATCTTGCCGTCCATCTCATACACGATGCGGAGAGCGCCGCCCGTTGTCGAAAGAGGGATGTTCCGTGATCGGATTGGATGCAAGGCGGAGTCGACACACCATTTTCTTCCTCTCTTACTTTTTCTTTTTTCACATACTTCCTCGACTTCGGTTTCGTCATTCATCACTTCCTTTTGTCCCCCTTTTCTTTACTCCTTTTATTCCTCCTCATCATCTCGTATTCTTCATGGCCTAACAGCTCGGCCGTCGTGCGGTTGGCCGGGGTTCTGTTTCCGTCTGTTTCATAATCATGCGTTTCACCTGCACAAAAAATAGAAGAAGGAGAAAAGATAGGACGTTTCAAAACAACGTTTCGAGAAAGCTGTGGTAGTACAGTGATTTGTGTGTTCCATACACGGCCTTCACTCACCAATTGCGTGTGATACTGTATTGATTGCGTCGTCATTGGCTCATGTCATGTGCCGCTTCCTGAGTGCTGTATTTTGAGCGCTCGGGCAAATAAAGTGATTGGCGATCTTCAAGACCCCCAAATGGAAAAGCTTGGGACAATCGTGGACCAAATACAACATACTATGTACAGAATAGAAATCTCTCTATGAATCCAGGAAAACAGCTCAGAATGACGAGGTTACAAGTAAACGCCCAAAAAGAAATTTTCTTTGGCTGACAAAACCACTGGATGAATAATAGAAGGAAAAAGCGGACCGAAGATGCTTCTAAAGGCGAGACGAGGCGAGACGCGAGGTAAGGCTGAGGAACCAAAAAGCAAAGCTAAAAACGGCCGCCAACAAATCCAATTGACCTGAACAGGAAAGCAAAAGAAAAACGAATAACGAATAACGAATAACAAAACGAGTCTCGACGCCGAGTCTCCCAGTTGGCAGCTGCCGAACCAACTCGAAGCCGTCCGAGTGAGCACGACGAGACTGCCATCGTCTAGTTGTAGTCATGAAAAATACCAGTACAAGTGCGTACGTCTTATGATGTATGGCTGCGAAAATTCGGTCGTCTGGCTGCCGCGACGAGGAACGCTTGGGTTTGTCAGCAAAGCGGCTCGACGCACGGCGCTGTGGGTCCCTTTCGTGATTTCGTCATTAGCGCCTTCCTGCCCTGAGCCCCTGGCTGTTGGTAGCGCTCCGAGCCGAATTCAGACTCCTCACACTGCCTTGCGGCGAACGAATTGCAACTGTTTATTCCTTTGACGCCGCGGACATTGTGGCTCTCCAAAACGGCCCAACGGGCGAGTGCTAGCCTTCCGGGGACCTTCTCGGTATCGTCCACGATGTGGGAGACGGACGTACAAGGTCGATGCGAATGCATCACCAACGGCCAGGTGTATTGAGCATACGTCAAATTCTCATTAATAATGGTAGAGTTGGTCGACGCGGTCATTGAAGGGCCTGCAGGAATTGGGAATCATTTTGCTCCATCGACTTACGACGTAGATGCTCCCCTTGGAAGTAAATGCCGTGTCCGGGTTCTATTCATTCGATCGACTTCTCCTGGCTCTTCTTCTGGCTCGTTCTTCTCGCTTTCCCTATGGACACCCCGAACATCCCCCCGTTCCTTCTCCCTTTAGCGTCACGGGCGTGCCCACACTCTCTAAATTCTGCCGCAAAACGCAGCCTGCCTTATTAGAAAGCACGCGCGGGAATATGTTTGACCAAGGTCCACTAAACACACAAATAAAACCCTCCAATAATATACGGCCACCGGTGGCCGCAATGCAATTCAAGATCCCCTCCTCCCGTATAAGACGCAAGACCCTGAGTAATTCACTGTGGCGCGCCCTTGATATGTCATGATTCGGAGTGCTTCCGAGCCGCGTTCGCTTGCAGGGCGCGCCTTCCCTCGATACGGGCCTAAGCGGCATCTCGGCAGCTGCCATTTTGATTTCGAACGAGTCTGCTCAATAACTGCAAGTTTTGCTCTGCTTGCGTGCTAAGCAGGCGCCATCCACTGACCGCACCTGCCTTCTTCCTCGTCGAGAGCATTCCTTCCCTCACAGGGCCCACCCCCGCGTATAGACGGCCATCGCTCCTGCCGGGCAAGACGCAATCGCATTTTTTTCGTTTTTCGTTTTTTCGTTCTTGGCTGCCGGAGAGCCACTTTTGTGCAGCTGCCTCTTGCTTCTTTGGCCTCGATCCTCTCTGGCTTTCCGCAGTCTTTGCTTGTTTTCTGTTTTCTTTCTATCTCCTTTTCTGTCCCCCACCCCCCCTCCCCCCCCGGTATAAAAGGCACGATCCCATCCAACCTCAATGACATTGATCGCTTCAGTTCGATCGCGTCACCATCTGTTGTTCTCATCCCAACACGTCTTCTCTCCACTCTCTCCCAATTTCAGCATCACCACATCCTCTCTACCTTCCACAAAGACACAGACACACCTCATTGCCACCATGACACGTCCTACGGGCATCACCCACCGCGGCAAAAAGACCGCCAGCTTGCCCGCAGCTGGTGTGCCCTTCTACACGCCGGCCCAGACACCGCCGCCCGGCACCGCCACCCGGTCGACGACGTTTGACGGCAAGCCCATTCCGACCCTCTTCACGCCGCACAAGATCCGGGGCGTCGAGTTCAGCAACCGCTTTGTCGTCTCGCCCATGTGCATGTACTCGGCCGACGACGGCCACTTGACCGACTTCCATCTGGTCCACCTCGGCCAGTTTGCGCTGAACGGCGCCGCCCTCACCATTGTCGAGGCCACCGCGGTCCTGCCCAACGGCCGCATCTCGCCCGAGGACTCGGGTCTGTGGCAGGACAGCCAGATTGCGCCCCTCAAGCGCATTGCCGACTTTGTGCACAGCCAGGGCAACAAGATTGGCATCCAGCTGGGCCACGCCGGCCGCAAGGCGAGCACGCTGGCGCCGTGGCACGCGGCCCAGCGCGGCGAGAAGCTGTTCGCCCTCGAGAGCGAGGGCGGCTGGCCCGACAACACGTGGGCGCCCTCGGCCATCCCCTATGCGCCCGACTGGCTGCAGCCGCACGAGGTGACGCTGGACGACATCCAGGAGATCAAGGCGAGCTTCGCGGCCGCGGCCAAGCGCGCCGTGGCGGCCGGCGTCGACGTCGTTGAGATCCACGCCGCCCACGGCTACCTCCTCACGCAGTTTCTGTCGCCCACCACCAACAAGCGCACCGACCAGTACGGCGGCTCCTTTGAGAACCGCACCCGCCTGGTGCTGGAGATTGTCCGGGACGTCCGGGCCGTCCTCCCCGACAGCACGCCGCTGTTCCTGCGCGTGTCGGCCACCGAGTGGCTCGAGACCGTCACCGACGCGCCCTCGTGGACCGTCGAGGACACCGTCAAGCTGGCCGACCAGCTGCCCGCCTTGGGCGTCGACCTGCTCGACGTCTCGTCCGGCGGCAACTCCCGCGACCAGTCCATCCAGCTGCATCCCCGCTACCAGATCGACCTCGTGCCCGCGATCAAGAAGGCCCTGCGCGCCCAGGGCAGCAAGGCCGCCGACACGCTCCAGTTTGGCGCCGTCGGCTTTGTTCGGGATGCCGAGCTGGCCAAGGACGCGGTCCAAAAGGGCGGCGACGTCGAGGCCGACCTGGTCCTCGCGGCCCGCCAGTTCCTCAAGGAACCCGAGTTTGTGCGGCGCGTGGCCCACAAGCTGGGTGTGCCCATCAGCTGGCCGACGCAGTACGGCCGTGCCCTGTGGAAGCCGGACGCAAAGATCTAGACGATGGGGCGATCAGACGATACTACGGTTTGCTTCGACGATTAGAGAGATACATAGACAGCGTGTTTTGACAGTTATTCTGGGTTTGTGCGGATCTGTTTTTGTTTTTGTATATAGCCTGCACCCTTGGCCTCAATTTCGACGTCATATTCAACATGCATACATGCAATCCAAATCGTGCATGTGCCGAGACGCGCCTACTGCTGACGGGCGTCCGCTTTGCCGCGCCGTAAGACGTGCCGATAGTAAGCAACAGACGTAGCTGTGTTGAGAGACTGGGGTAAGAAAGAGACGTGGGCGAAGAACAATGGGTCAATGTCACATGAATCGGGCATACGAGCTGGCACTACGGCGAATACACATAGTACATAACAGTGGGGTCTAGAAATCATGTCATCAACCAAAAGGTGGTATTGCTAGACTTATGCCACACATGTCGCTCATGCATGCTCGCTCTCACGCAGTCTCACGTCCGCTCACTCGCCCTCTCCCGTGCCCTTGTCGCCGTCCCGGTCGCCCCCCTAGTCGCGATACCACTTCCCCGTCACTGTATCTGCCCCCGGCGCCGGCGCACTCGCCGCAGCCGCCGCCGCCGCCGACGCCTTCGTCTTGGGCGTGTCGCCGCTCCCCCGGGCCACCACCTCCGACTCCACCAGCGACCGGATCAGCGCCACCACGAGCGCCTGCCCGGCCTCCACCCGCTCGGGCGTGGCGGCCGCTGGCACGTGCAAAAAGGCCACCCGGCGCCGCGCATACCGCGCGTCCTTGTGGCCGGCTTCCTGGTCGCGCCGGTACAGGTGGGCCAGCGAGCTAAAGTAGATAAAGTCGCAGAGGTAGCGCCCGGCGTCCACGGAGATGCGCAGGTCCGCGCCGGGCGCCGCATGCGCGCGCCACCGGGCCAGCACGTCGTCCAGGTCGATGTGGGACTCGAGGGCGGCCGGCACGCCGTACCAGGGCCAGCGGGGGTCGCCGCGGTCGGCGGGGGTGTCGCCGAGCAGCTGGTCGTCGACGTCGCGCAACGTGTAGCCGTCGCGGCGGCCGACGCGCTCGAGGGCGTAGTGGAGGCGGGGGCCGGCCATGCCAATGTGGAGGACGAGGTCAATCTTTTTCGGGGGCTTAAATTCCGTGCCCTCTCTGCCCTCTCTGCCTTCTCTGCCCTCTCTGCCCTCTTTGCCATCGTCATACGCCCCGCCCCCACCTTGGTCGGCGTGCCGTCCCAGAGTGTGGGCACCAGCGTGCGGACAGCCTGGTAGTTGACGCGGACGGGTCCTGGGTAGACGACAATGCGCACGGGCGGTACACTGGGAGCAGACGGTGGCGGCGGAGCCGCCGTCGTAGAGGATGTCGTAGAGGATGCCGTCTTTGTCCGCGCCGGCAGGTAGTCGGGCAGCCGGCGGGCAATCTCCCACGAGGGGTTCTGAGGGTATTCCGACTTGAACGCCTGTGCCAGGTAAAGGCAACCGTGAGCATGCGACGCACTACTATTCCATTGCAGACAAAGATGAACCACGTACGTCAAAGCCGGTGACGAGGACCGTAAACTCCTCAAACTCCTCGACGGGAGAGTCTTGGACGGAGCCCATTGCGGAGACACTGGCGGGACGGGCGTACTAGGGGACGCTTCAGGGACGCAATTGGAGGGGGAAGGACTGGAGCGGTGATGGCCAGGAGAGAAGCAGAAGATGCGGCGAAAGTACGGACAACCGGTCGCCTAGTTTCGCGGGAGACAGTTGAAAACGGCCGGTTAGGGGCGATGAGGAGAGCCGCAAGGGATAAGATGACAAGTGATGACAGGTGATGACAGAAACGGAGAGGAGGGAGTGACACAAGACCGGCGTAATGACTCTGGGGATAAGACAGAAACGACAACGGGAAGAGGCAAGACAGAAGCAGCCGGGAAACCAGTCGAAATACTTCAGAGGTCAAGATACACCACAGGAATCAACAGAAACCAGGTCCGACTGGGCATCTCGCCATGCATATCGTCTGTTATGCAAGGCAGTCTCGTGCCTTGCAATCTGCTCGGCTGAAGCGACAAAGGGCAATCAGGACAGCGATTCCAGTGGCTGTCATGGACTTTGGCGTGAGACTGGGGGGAGCTATCGCCGAAATATAGTGGTCTTTACCCCACATTGTAACTCCCAGAGGGGACACTAAAGCGATAGCGCAGCACAAGGCCGCTCAAGATAGCAAAGACGTCATTAGAAGGCGGATAGTTGCATCACAGTGCATGGAGCGCCTCCTGACACAATTGTGTTTTGTGCACGGTTTATTGAAGAACGGCCTCGATTATGGTTCCAATCTGCATCAAGTCCTACATAGTTTGACAGGGAAAGGTCAGGGTGCGCTGCCGAAAATCAACGACGCAACCACAACACCTTATTTGATAACAAACGGACACAAAAGAAGACGATTTTCTAAGAGTCTGACGAAATAGTGTCCATAAAAAATAACAAAAGTGACAAAATAAAATTTGGATGACTGCAACAAATTCAAAAACTCCGGTGTGTGTGTGCTCCAATGCTGTGTTGTGCCCCAAGAATGTTGGACAATGCTTGCCAAGGAAGATGAAAAGGAACGAAAGAAAATACAAAAAATACAAGCTCTTTGACATGCCCAATGCCCAATGCCCAAATGCCCAAATGCGCCGCGCATAACAAGCAACGGAAGGATGGTTGAGAAGACAAAATGGACCAAAAAAAACATAAACTTGTAGTGGCTGAAGAGGGACAAATGCGATAATAAAGAAACATAAAGAAACGTGGAAGCGAGTGACAGAGAAGTAAGGCGGTAGAGTCGCGTGGCGAGTCCTGTGGCGAGTCCCGTGGCGAGTCCCGTGGCAGTCGCCTACGAAGACAGAGCCAGGCCGCTGTCCAGCGACGAGCCGGCCGAGCGGTCATGCGGTGCCTTGGTGGCATCGCCGTTTCCGGGAGACGCGGCAACGCCTGTGCTCGTGCTCGTGCTCGTGCTCGTCGTGGCGCTCTTGAGGACGCCGGGCCGCGTGTTTTCTTTTCGTCCGCGGCTGCTGCTGCTGCTGCGGCTCATGTCCATCTTGCCGCTGGCGTCCGAGCTCAAGATCGTCTCGAGCTTCGTGCGGCTCGGGTTCTGGCTGTTCGCGTGCAGCGAGGACCGTGGCTGGAGGCTGGAGGTCGGAAAGGAGGCACCGGCATCACCGCTGCTGCCTGGCAGCACGGCAGTAGCGGGGAGCGACGGCATGGCGGGGACCGGCGGAGGTGCACAGTTTGGGAACCGCCACTTTGTGCGCAGCATGCCGTCATCATCCGACGACCAGTTTGGGTCCTCGACAGACGATGCAAGGCTGCCGCTGCGGCTCCTAGCGGCGGCGGCGGCGGCGGCGGCACCTCGCGACCCGAGTCGCTGCTGGCTCTTGGGACGGATCTCGTTTCCGGTGGTAGCAGACTTGCGAGAAACAGTGCGGCTAAGGTTGGCAGTGGCCGCCGCCGCGGCAACGGCTGCAGCATCGTCTTCCTCCGTCGAAGTGGAAGACGAAGCGCGTGGGCGACCCGTGACGGTGGCGCCGCTGTTGGCTGACTCGCCACGGCGCAGACGCGCCTCGCGGGCCATTCTGCGCGTGAGGGACACCTCGGAGCCGGCGACGGCTGTGGTCGACCGGCGCATGCTGCCTCCATTCATAGAGCTGGTCACACTGGTGCTGCGGCTGACGGGGACCTTGCCCTCCATCACTTTGGCCGGCGGCGGCGGCTGCAGCATCCAGCGCAGCGCGTCCTTGTGGGCTGGCTTGCTGCCGACAACGGGTGGGTGGTAGTCGTTGACGGGTGGGTGGATGATGGTCGGCGAGTAAAAGTTGGCACGGTCTTCGTCGGTGACGGCGAGGTTGCCACCGTTGTAGTAACCGCGCTCCTTAGTCCCCAGCGTACTCTCGAGCAGACGGCCCGCAGACGACCCGGCCTTAACAATGGCGTCCATGAGCTTGTGCGTCCGAGACGGCTCCGAGCCCCACAGCTCCTCGTCCTCGCGCTGGTACCGCTTGTAGTTCCAGCCCTCGGCGCTGGTCGTCGTGGTCGTACCGACTGTCGCGGCCGTCGCGGCCGTCGCTGTGGCTTCGAGCATGCTCATGCTGCGAGCGTCATCGGAGTTGAATGTTGGGCTGACCGGTGCCTGGCCGCCACTCGTGCGTGATTTGTTGGCGACATTGGCGCCGCTGGAGTTATTTGAGGCCGGCACGCTGTTGTCGGCGCTTCTTCGGTCGGCTGCGGCACCGGCTGCTGTTGCGTCGGTAGCATCACCGGCGCCAGCTGCGGCTCCTTTTGGCAATGGCTCCGAGCCACCGTTGGCTCCTTGTAGAATTCCGCCGCTGCCGCCGCTGCCACCGCTGCTAGTCGGCACACCTCCGTGATTGCTAATCGCTAGACTACTACGCGTGGCAATGCTGCTATCTTTGCCGGCGCTGGTGAGTTTGCGTTGGCTCGAGTTCTGCTTGGCGGCACGGCCCTTTTTCGGCAGACTGGGCCCCATCATGATTTCTTCCTGCCAGTAGGGGTTGACATTGAAGGGACTGGGATGGCGGTAGATTGGCGGTTCGTCTTCCTCCATCGCCGCGCGCTCCTTGCGCTCCTTGTCGAACTTCTTTTTGGCACGATGCCGGGTGCGTGCGGACATGCATGGCGTGCATGCCAGGTAGTAGAAGACGACCGACTGGATGGCTACGGGTAACGCCATTGTGGCGGATGCGTGTGAGAAGGCGGATGGGTAACGACGTCGGAAATGGGTCGGTCAGGGTCGACGAAGAGGACGAAGAGGACGAGGGAAGACGAGGGCTAGCGAGATCACGGCCGTCGTCTTCAATTCGCCGTCGTTGTTGGTTGTCGGTACACCCCCTCTCTCGTGTTTACCCTGCCTCCTGACACGTCCCCCCCAAAAAGCAACAGAGCGGCACACGACACAGCCCAGCAGCCCGGGTAATTTGACGTCGATCCCAGCAAAGCGAACTTGTGCGGGACAGGGACAGGAACGCTAAAGAGCCTCAATTAAGGGACGACTCCAAAAAGAGCGTTCAATAATCTGGTCGAGCGGGTACGCAGGTGTATGTTTCGTGGAAGCATGAAAAGGCTGGATGGCGGCTGAAAGGAGATGGAGGGACAAAAGTTCTAAGAGGAAATGAAACGCTGGTTGGGCGACTGTCGAAAAACCTGCGAGTCAGTCCTTCGCAAACGAGATGTGTGTCGCACACGGAAATGGATCGTATTGTGTATGTCGTATACAAAACAGTCTTCTCTCCAGGAGAAGCGTTTGTGTAAATGTTTTGGAGCCGTCGGCTTGGTGCGTCAAGGTTTTGCAAGAGCCAGGTGAAGGCTGCGAGAAGCGAGGAGCGAGTTAATGTGCTACGGGCCAAAACGCTGATGCTGAATGCTGACCGCTCAATCCAATCTGCTTGTCGATTTTGCCCGCTGTTGTCTGTCGTGTCCCCAGACACAACGGCACTTGCAGGGAAACCTACTTCGCCGGGTCGAAAATCGATTTGTGTCCAGGTGCTCCTGCGTTGCGTAGCCGTACACCGTATAGGCCGTGCCCGTGCTGTGATAGTCGATGCGTACAGATATATTCTTCGCGCCTGTGGGGACAAGGAGAGGGTCGATCTCGTCGCGTTCGAGGACCCAGACAGGCGGGAAAGGCAATCCAAGGGATACCGAAGAAATGTTGGTTAGCGCCGGGGATGGTTGTCGAGGGCGAGAACGAAACGATGGTCGACAGGTTCAAGGGAGATCAAGGAGCAAACACGGCTGGTGCAAGGGCGTTTGAGTTCGGACTGAGACAAATTGAGTTGTTGGCGAGAAAGAAAGGAAAGTCGGCGTTGTTGCTGGGGGAAAAGCAAAAGGGGCGCAGCGGCCTGAAGTGGGCGAGTGATGGCTAAGCGCCCTCGGCCGGGACCTTTGTTTGCCGAGTCCTAGCAGACAGAATGCTTGGCGTATGTCGTACTGGATTCCGAGGTCGAATTGAATTGGAGAGAAACTGGAGAGGCGAAAGTGACGAGAACAAAATTGATGTAAGGCGGACGAAGGAGAGATATTTGAGAAAGAAAGGAGGGCAAGTGCGGCGGGTTGGTTGCTACCCGGTTCGCCAGTCCTAATCCAGTATGGCCTGCCGTGGAGGGAAGGAACGATGCAGATTGTTGCAATGGAACTCGGAAAGAACGAGAAAACGTAAACAAGGACTGGTTGGAAGGGCAAGAGGGGGGGCGAGAAAGAGCGATGCACAAGAATAGCACAAAGGGAAACAAAAAGGGAAGGAATGTTGAAACAAACAAACGGGAAGGAACAAGCAAGAGGGCGAATATCAAGAAAGAGGAGCCTGGTAAAGAACTGTGAAACAATCAATGGAAACTAGGATAGATTCGGGCGAGCAGGAGTCCTGTCCAAAGTGAGGAAAACTACGCCCTACAATACGACGTAAAACGACGGCGCAACTGTACGAAATATTCCAAAGGCATTCCCACGAAAAGAACATGAAAAACGCCTACAGAGCCTCCCGTGCAGAAAGGTATATGGGATGTTCCTGAAAGAACCAGCCAAGGAGGGAGGGGATGGAGGATGATTAAGGTGCGGAAGAGGCGTGTGCTCACGCCAACTATAGTATAGGCTACCGTCGAGTGACATGGGAACGAACGACTGTGCCATCCTCGCCACGTTGGGGAACGCTTGGGCCACAAAGGCGTCCACACGTTGCCCCGAAAACAAAGGACGCAGGGACTGCTTGGCCAACAAAGTGTCGGACACGAACGCCGGGGGCTGATTGAGGGACCAAATACCACATTCCTAGCCAGGCTTGGCCGGGGAACTGATACGCCCAAACGCCTTTGTCTGTTCAAGTAATCCGCAACGAGATCAGTTACCAGCAGAATGCGTCACCAGCCAAGATCATGGAGCGCCCAGTAATACGAGTAATACTGGCATTTTCTTGAACACGTTCACGGTGGGCTTCGTACAAGTCCTTCGATGTCCCACATTCTGCCTTTGCCTTCCGTATTCGTGTGGAATTACGACACAACGACGCCCCTTTTGCGTCGAGCAAATGCCCACAATCCAATATTCTTGCACAATGTCTTGCTTTTGTCTCGAGTGTTTTACAACAAATAAAATGCTGACCGCATGTCTTCGGCCCGTTTGGTGATGGGACTTGTCACGAGTTGGGACGTACAGAAGGTAAGAGGCTGGCGAAAGACCCAGTCACCGAGACTCAATCGTCAGCAAAGCCAAGGCTGTTTTGAGGGGTCAGGCAACACGTACAACCAACACGTACAACATCCTTGACTGTGGCTACAGCCAGCGCATCCCGCGTGACGACACAGTCAAGGCAAGGCGACGTGCAAAATGCATACAGTGACGATTAGGCAAGACAAGTGGCAGAGGCGGAGGCCTAATGATGAGAACACGATCCCAATGGAGGAGGGACCATTCGTCATTCCCGTAGATCCCGGTGACCATTTTGGTGCTCAGACATGGACGGGGAAGAGAAAAACGTGGCTAGTAAATTGGCCAGTAAAGTGGCTGTTGGCAACGTCATGCACCAAGCTCGACTGGGACCGAAACTATGCTCATTGCAGCGTCAGGCTCCAGGAGTCGAGGAGAGCCGGGGGCGATGAGATTGTCATCCCACAGAGAATAACTGCGGAGTTCACCGTAGTTGATCGTGGCTGTAAAACGAATATGAATTGTCTGCGATAGGTGGTATTGGACCGATATCCCTTTTGAATATAAAAATGAAGACGACATACCTCCTCCGTTGACAGATTTGTGTCCTTTTCGAGCTCTCCTTTGCATACTCATGCTGACGGACCTGGCTGTTGAACCTCACGATAATATTAAACACCCCACGTTTTCCTTTTTCCCGTCCTGGTTCCTTCATCAACAGTGACCCCTGGCTGTGATCTGCACATATGAACCAGACGGCAGAGGACGTACAAAGACAGTAAATGTCTCCAACAATGCCTCCGATTAAAAGTAAACTGGACTCAAACAAAACAGGAAAACGAAAAAAAAAAAAAAAAAAAAAAAAAAAAGAAAAAAAAAAAAAGGTAGATTATTCCGGGCCTCCTGGCAAGCAAGCCCCTCACTTTAAGCATATTCCCATTTAGACGCGGTCGCTAAATGCAACCTCCTTGTCATCTGCCCGGCTGACCGGCACACACGTTGCGCCATTCCGCTTCCCCATACGGCCAGCAGGGCCAGGCCGGTTACCCAGTTGGGCGGTGTCCCGTGCACCCTCCACGTTCGGTCGCACGTCGCACGTGTCAAACCAAGCTGCCAAATGGGCCAGGCTCGTCTGTATTCTCGAGATGCGGCTCAAAAGCATCGGAGTTTGCATGTGCATCTGCGCAACGCCTGGACTGGCTGCAAGCCGCAGTCTAGGGGCATCATCAAAAAGTGAATGTCGATCGTGATTGGCCTGAACTGGCCGAAGGCGTTGACGCCTGCATCAACACGCAGCTCATGCACGACGTATGCACGATGCAGCGATAATCACAGATCGACCAAAGCTCATCAGATGAATGCAGCTCGGTTCGAAACGGTGGTAACCAAAAGGCAGTGATAAGAGCAAATGCCAGAGTGTCGATAATGCAATTGTCCAAAAATACGTGCTAAGCAAAAACGACCAAAACAGACAAGAAAGCGTTCCACACAGCCGTCGAACTCTGTAGCCACGACCACCTGTGGCCGCTGATGCGCCAATTGCGATGCTACAAGCTCCCGAGGATATCCATCTGAAAATGCACAACAAGAACGCCGGCCTCGAGTGAGCATCTGTCCTTGGACAGGCTGCCCTTCCAAAGCACAATGCCGCGACATATGTACAATCCAAGCAAGAACAAGGAATAAGAACAAGGACAAGGCCTCCCGCACGCCCTGCTTCGTAGACGCGCCGCTAGGTCGGCTGCACGACCACCACCACGACAAGCGACGTCACCATGAGCGCAAAGGCGACCAGCGACACAATCAGGATGGTGCCACGGCTCGCGGGGAACTTGCCCTTTAGGATCCACTGCTGGCTCTGGTAGTAGCGGTGGTAGCCCAAAAACAGAATAAGCACACTGATTCCCAAAAACGCGGTGCCCAGCGGACGGCCGACATTGCGCAGCCGGTGGAAGCCGCTGTTGTTGTTGTTGTTGTTGTTGTTGTTGCTATCGGTGGACGTGTTGAGACGAAACAGCTGCGTGACGGCAATGCCAATGGAGGTAAAGGCGAGCGACGTGCGCAGCCACGCCAAAAAGGTGCGCTCGAGGGCCAAGTGGTCGCGGGCGACGCTGCCCTTGTTCTCGAGCTCGACGGACTGGAAGCCGGCCCAAAAGTCCGTCCAGCGGCTGCTTGGCGGAGGTGGTGGTGGTGCGCCGGCGCTGGTGGTTCTGCTTCTGCTCCGCACCGACGCCGCGCGCGATCCTCCTCTTGGCACCCCACCGCCACTGCCATCACCCTGGCTCCCCTGGCCCCCCTGGCCGCTCTCGTTCCCTCCTGGTTTCCGCGCCCGTGGGCCAGAGTGGGAAGACCGCGACGCGGGCTCCGACGTCGTCTGGTAGTTTAGGCCGTGGCTGCCTCGCCGGTTGATGCGCGTTGTCTCGTCGGCGCTCTCGCTCTCGTACTGCTCGGCAATGCCGGCAAACGCGCCCGGTGCGGACTGGTTGCGGAGGAGCGGTTCCATGCGGAAGGTGGCGCGTCGGTTGCGGTCGGGTGACGTGGCAGATGGGGCTGCCGCAGTATAGGTTTCGGCGCGGTTGCGGGCCGTCTGTCCCAGTGTGTTAGACGATGTGTGGATGAACGGAGCAAGTCGCGGGCGACGAGAGGAAAAACGGTAAAAAAAAAAAAAAAAAAAAAAAAGTAAAGGAAAACCTGCCTCCAGAATCTCATCCAAACGGTCTTGAGTGGCCTTTCGCCGGATGCCTGACAAGCTGCGGTTGAAGAGGCCGGAGCGTCCAATAGAGCCGGTGGACGAGGACGTAGACGCACCGCGTGTTGGGCGTGTCGTTGGCGAAGAAGGTGACGCGGGTGAGGCGCCTTCGCCGGACGAGACAACCGAGGCGGATCTTGGTGACGAGGGCGCCGAGAGGACGGGGGGAGGGATCGACGGGAGCTCGTCTGGTCGGTTCTGCGACGAGTCGTGTGCCGAGGTGGAGGTCGGGATCGAGGTCAAAGAATGTCCTTGAGGTTCAACTTGAGCTTCTGCGTGCTGCGAGGAAGAAGACGTCGGTGGAGGACCAGAGACAAGACGAGGATCAGCGGTGGCAGCAGTGGGAGCAGTGGCCATGGCGGGTCATGAAATACTCGGGTACTGCTGCAATATGTCGTATAAATACGGGTCTGTTCGAGTTTTCTCTCCCGTTAATGGTGCCGGCAGTCCTGCCCACCCGACACAAAGCACGACAGATGTGCGGAAATGGGGGGAGAGAAAGGAAAATGGATTACACAGTACACAGTACGCCGTTATGCCGGGAGCATAAAAAAATAAATAAAAAAAAATAAAAAAATAAAAAAGCGAAAAGTCTGAAAAAGGAAAGACCGGGACGTGCGAGCCAGGGAAAGGGCAGGGGAGGCCCAGCACGCAAGGCACGCGGCTGGCGGGGAAAGAAGGACAACAATGAGAGAACAATGACGGGGCAAGGGCGATTGAGCACAGACAAATGATGTTGGCCAGCGCCTGCCGTCCGAGTGTGGATATGTGTACGGAGGATGTCGTAAGATACGTCCGCGTGGCGGGAAGGCGTGACGGAAAGTGCAGTAGCAGGGGGTGCACACGCCGCAAGGAAAGAGCGAATCTCATCGAGGTTTGGCTTGTGTATCTCTGCAATGCAGTGTCGACAGCCTTGCAGTTGATTGGGAGGAACAAAGCGACAAGAAACGATAAGAAACGATGCAGAACACAGAACAGTAGCGTGGAGCACGTCAGTCCGGAGTCAATGGCGACAGGGAAACGAAAGAAAGGACGCGCAAATTCGAGCGTGGTGGCTATTTTATTAGCGGAATTCGACAATGAGCTTGGAGCTTGCAAGAAGCGCCAAAGCTTGGTGAAGTGAAGCTTGGACAGGTGCACTATCTCAAGGGCGGGGTCTGTTACAGGCTAGCCCTGCTTGAAAACTGTCAAAGACGGGGCGGGCGCGGCATGTGATGGAATCGGCACAAGTCTTGGATGGCTCGAGCACCTATTTCGTATAGGAACGACCGCTACCGGTAAGCCGACTAGCAAAATAGAGAGCCTTCTAACACCAAGGCTAGAGAACAGGTCTGAGGTACCGTGGTCAACACGACCTTGTAAGGAGGTAACGATATGAAGAGGCACGAGACTCGTTCACAGTGCAACAAATACCAGCCATGCCATACGAAATCAGCGAAAACAATGAACGCGAGAGACGGCGAGATGTGACAAAAAAATATAGCAACCTTGCTCTCACAAAGAGCAGGAAAACGCAGTTTCTCTCGCTACGACGTAATCCGGTCGATACAGCCCAGACGCAGGACGGGCTGGATAAAAGCGGCATTGAATAATCGTCCCGAAAACCAGCATGGCAGAGGACACCAGACTCTAGACATTAAAACCAGTCGAAAGATTAAGAACGTTTAGGAAATCCGGGTTTACAATACATCGTATAGCAGCATGCTCCGACGCCGCACCAGAACTGCCACCTCGCTGACGTCCTGATACGAGGACCAGCCAATGTGAGATAAAAGTAAAAAATGGCAATCAATGAGCTATACGACATGTGATAGGATTCACATTGCTTCTCATACAATAGATACTTGCTTAAAGGACCTGGAAATCTGTCGCACAGTTGCTCTTTCCTTCTTGATGGGATTTCCTCTTTCCTTTCCCATGTCTTGCTCTGATGTTTGCAAAAACAGCAGGAACGAAGGAGCGAATAGGGGGTCAGGGGCAGCATGGCCACTCCACACACCCAAGATCGACGTGGATGCTTAGTGTGGATTCTTCTAATGCACACGACAGTTTGTGTTTATCGAGACGTTGGAATGTCCAACAGCAACTGCGCCTCGTGATCTCTTGATGCCGCATTTCGACCAACAACGGGCTTGCACGGCCTGTGCGGATGACAATTGACGCGGCTAAAAAGCAGCCTCGCAGACCAGACGGCATGGCCGATCGAAAACGCATCGCTGCGGATCAATCGGACGCGCACGCCGCCGAGACGATTCGGCTGCTGTCGCGCGGTCCGTCGAACGGGCGTGGCGGCGACAATGTCCACGACGACCACGACGAAGGCGAGTTTGACGACGACGTCGACAGCAACTTGGACAGCAACTTGGACAGCGCAGACGGGCATGCGGACGGCGACAGCTACCTCGATGACAGCGGCGGCGACAACGCCAGCAGCAGTCGCCACAGCAGCGAGCGCGGTCCGTTGGCGCGGGGCGGTGCCGGCGCAGGCACGACACGGGCCCAGCAGAACGAGCACCTCCGACGCCGCCGACGCCGCACGGCCGGCCTCCTGTGCGTCATCACCTTTGTGCTCCTTTTTGCACTGGCCATTGCGGCCGGCATCGACCGCCGGCACAAGAACGGCGACAACGACGGCGGCGGCGTTGGTCCTCGCGTCAACCTGGGCTACGCGCACTACGCCGGCACGCGGCTCCCAAACGTGTATCCACCCTCGAGCAACGGAGGCAGCGATCACGATACGCGTGCCAGCCCCATCGCCGTGAACAAGTTCCTGGGCATGCGCTATGCTGCACCGCCCGTGGGCGCGCGACGCTGGCAGGCACCCGCGCCACCGGACAATGAAACGGCCCCGCAGGCGGCCACGGACTTCCGGCCAATCTGCCTGGGCATGGGTGCGGATCCAGCGCCGGGCAGCGGGCAGGCCGAGGACTGTCTGTTTGTCAACGTGTGGGCGCCCGCGTCGGCCATGGACGACGCAGCTGCAGCCGACGAGACGGCCAGCGCCAAAGGCGTTCCCGTCTGGGTCTTTATCCAGGGCGGCGGCTACGTTGCCAATAGCAATCCCAACATTGACGGCGCCGACGTGGTGGCACGGTCGGGCGGCCACGTTGTCTTTGTCAATTTCAGCTACCGGGTGGGCCTGTACGGCTTTCTGGCGGCGCCCGGCACAGCCGCCGACGTCGTGCCCAATGCCGGCCTGCTCGACCAGCGCGCCCTGCTCGCCTGGGTGCAGGAGCACATCCACCGCTTCGGCGGCGACCCGCGGCACGTCGTCGTGCATGGTGGCTCGGCCGGTGCGGGGTCGGTGGCGCTGCACACAGTCGCCTATGGTGGCCGCGACGACGGCCTGTTTGTGGGCGTCGTCGCCCAGTCTGTGTTTGTGCCGACGCTGCCGACGTGTGCGGACGTCACCTACAAGTTCTGGCGCGCCGTCCACGCCGTGTGCCCGGACCGCAAAGACGACGACGACGACGACGACGACAAGGCCGTCGGCGATGCTCTCGCGTGCCTGCGCAAGACGCCCGTCGAGCTGCTCCAGCAGCGTGCCAATGTCCCGTCGTCGTTCCAGTTTCGCGGGAATGCATCGACCGAGGGACCCGGCATTGCAGGCTTCTATTGGGGCCCCTGCGTGGACGGCGACCTGCTTGTCGACCGGCCCTCTGTCCTCTTCCGGCAAGGACGCTATGTGCGTGTACCCATGCTGTACGGCGTGGCCTCGGACGAAGGCACATTGTTGGTGGCCAACGCCGCCAGCCAAGACGACGTCGTTGGCTTCATCGTCAGCAACTACCCCGGTCTGGGCCCGGCCGGCGAGGCGGGAACAGCCGCCTCTGTCATTGCCCAGCACTACCCCCAGGCGCCGGCCGTGCCGCAGCATGCGCCGTGGTTCCCGACGCTTGCGCACGTGTACGGCGAGGTGACGTTTGTCTGTCCCGCGGTCAATACCCTGGATGCCGTGGCCGCGGCGACGACAAACAAATCTGCGGCACCTCGACCGGCCCTCTTTGCCTACCGCTACGCCATGCAGGACCCCGGCCTGATGGCCGCTGGCCTCGGCACCGTCCACATGATGGACGCCGCCGCCGTCTTTGGGCCCCGCAACGTCATCTGCTGTCCGCCCGCCAGCTACTTCCGTCCGGACGACGGCTCCACGTCGCCGGAGGAGGACCGCAATGGCAACCCCGGCTTGGTGCCCGTCATGATGGACTACTTCATCTCATTTGTGCGCACCCTCGATCCCAACACGCACAAGAGCCCACACGCGGCCGACTGGGTGCCGTGGGGACGTCCCGAGGAGCGCACCGACGCCGACCGGCGCCAGCGACTCGTCGTCTACACGGGCGGGCACCAGGCCATGGAGACGGTGCCGGACGACCAGTCGGCGCGGTGCCGCGTTTGGCTGGACCTGGCAGATCGACTAGAGCAATAGCGAATGCCAGGAGAGAAAGTCGCATTTGATTTACTGTTTTTTGGGACACATATTGGCTACATTGGCTACATTGTCTACATTGGCTACATTGGCAACAATTTCGGACATACTCTTGGACATATATCCATGTAACATTAGACACACGGTTGGAAATCTTGCTCAATGCGTTCATTGCGTTTTATCTGAGCGTTCTTGTTCCTTGCTCTCTACCAATCGTCTATTTGCATAGAGAGTCTCGTCGACTAGCTTCCGTTTCTCAATGTCCACTGACCACCCCACGATGCACATGACGGTTCATTGCCTATCAGTTTCGGCGCTGGCCTGACGAGTTGCATCCAAAGTGGCCCTCTCGTCTGGAATCGGGTCTCGCGGGCAACTCTCACGGGACGGCGTCTGGATCTACGTGCCTGGCCGCTAATAATTGGCCGGCTGATGCATCTAGAACCGACCCCTCTCTGTGCACACAAGTACGGTCCTTTCACCTTTCAGCTTGCATGGCACTGGCAGGATGTACACTAAAGAGGGCTCGGGGGCGGGTAATGGGCAGAAGGCAGCCGACGAATCCAACACCCACGGTCCACCATCTGGCATACGACGTAGGCATTCAGCTTCAACTTGGGCCATTTTGTCTTTCTTTACCATTAGTCGGCGGCTTGCTTTCATGAGACGAGTGGCAACGGCTATCATGTAGTCGGTCAACAAACAGATCGATGAATGGCGACTAAATCACGCAAGGAAGGGAGCCACGTCGTGGCGGGGGGCAAAAGCAAGTAGTTGATGATCACAGAGCCAATGGGGAAGCCATCACAAGAACCATTGCGAACCATTGCGACCATCGCAACCATCGCGAACCATTGCAAACCATCATGGGAGGGATAGGCTACGGCGGGATTCAAAGCAAGGGCAGCCATCAACCACTGGCCTTCAG